GCTTCAGTTTGAATTGAAAAAATAGGTGAGGCCAAAAACAGCTGATCACTCAAATTACTCCCAGGAGTAAGAGAAATGCTGAACAAGGATATTGATAAGAGAGGAGACAGTGATATTATTTCCTGGTAGGAAATTTAAATATATATATATATACTATTCACACTTTGCTAAGGATCAAATCATGATGTGGGGTCAAATTTGGTTTAAATATCTAAGCTTCTTGTAAGCATGGATCCAAGGTTTCAGTATGTCATTTCATCTTGTGGATCCCATACCTGCTATTGACAGGTGTTGTGTACTTGTAAATGACTCGTTCCATGATTTGCAAAATGATTGTTTGGTGCCATGAAAACCATTTTTATTGTTACTCATGTATCAAGTGCATAAGGTTAGATTAAAGTGACTGTTTGCCTAAAGAGGGGTTACCGTATTATTATTTATCCAGTTTTAAATGGACACAATTTCAAATTATAAATCTACGTTTAAGTAAAGTTGTGAATATATGTGATCCTTAGCAAAGTGTGAGTAGTATATCTTAAAACTGAAATATTTGCATCTACCAGATAAACATTTCATGCCAGAATCCAGCATACTGCAAATACCTTTTAACAGTGCTCAATGTTTAGCATACCATAAGAGCTTTGCCACCCTTAATAGGTCTAAGGTATTTAAATACAGTAAACTACAGACACAACAAACTCAAAGGGAAAACTAAATTTAGTTGGTTACAACCGTAGTTCTCTTTATGCTAAATACTAAAATATACATGTGGTCAGGACCAAAAAAGAATTGATTATATCTGTTAGTTCATTATAAGGGTGTGTGTTATAGACATAGTTTACTGCTATTTATTTATCAGGATGGAGATGTTATACATTGGATACAGAAGGATGAACTACAATGACCATACCACGTGTTGACCCTGATCGACTGATAATACCTTCCTCATTCACTTGTCAATCACTGGCTGTAACAAAATTTGAGGCAGATCTTTCTAAGCCCTTGTCTGTGACAGGTAAACTGATAATGTGGTGTGGATTGGTTTGAACTGGTTTGAACTGGATCATTAAACAATAACTTGCAAGTGATTTTATGGCACTTCCTGGGCTAATCAAGCAGCTGTTTTCACAGCATTAAGTGAGTGAGTGAGTTGGGTTTTACACATCTTTTAACAATATTCCAGCCATACCATGTCAGGGGACACCAGAAATGGGCTCCACACATTGTACCCATGTGGGGAATTGAACCCAGGGCTTTGGCCTCATGAGCGAATGCTTTAACCACTAGGCTACCCCACCGCCCCTTACAGCATTAAGGTTAGGGTTAAAATCAAGCGTATGGGGAGGTACATGTATTACCATTCAGAATATCTTGTTTGGGTCATGGTTATATTTCAGCCATTGATGAACAATACAGAGCCTTTCCTAGCAGACTGACAAACCTTTAAATCAAAAGTAATGATCACTCATCAATACTGGCCTAGAATTCAATTCCATCACAGAGCATCATTCACTAGTCTTTCACAATCTACATAAAACCATTCTCGACAATCACTGTACAAAGGTATAAATGTTGGAATAGGTTGATTGTTATCCAATCACAGACTATACAGGGCAATAATGATATATACAATCTTCTACCACATGACTCAGGGGCATGTATATATTGCAGATGAGGGGGAGATGACCCCTGGGTGTAACAGAACAAAGGGTACAGCTCAACACACCTCATAACATTTCTCTCCACATCAACAGTCACCAACAGCACCCAAAACGATACACCCAAAGGTAGCCATCTTGAAATTTCTAGTTTTTCTCCGTTTGACAGTCACAACCTGAAGTCTTTTGACTTTTCCTATACTGGATAATCAAAGATGCACAGGTCCCTGGATGCCCTCTGTCAAACTTCTTGGTGGTCACTGATTGACCGGAGAAATCAGGGTTATAACACGGTGAAATCAAGAGCATGGAAGAAATGGATGGCTGCTGGGTGACTTTGGGACCAACAGAAATTGAAACTGTTATGTTAGAGGTTGTGCGAGTTGACCATAGAATGAGGTGCAGGTGCTGATACCAATGATACACTATCACGCACACACACTAACATAATGCCCATGCATTAGCACATCTTCACATTGTGCATCCCTATATTGCATATAAACCTAGTACTTTATATAATGCATACATGACACATCTATTGCTTTTATGTTGAGACTTAGAAGACACCCTTTCAAATTCAACAGACAGGGACCTGGAACTTTGTGTTAATTTTGGCTGTAATATATAAAGCAGGTGCATTTTTTTTTAGTGACAAAACACATCATAATACATAATCTGCTTTCACACTTCCTATATTTTATTTCAACAGGAGCCAGATATGTAAGGGCTGGATTGAAAAACCAATAACACCCCAGAGCCACACAAGATATGAAATGGTTCCTTATCTCCTGAATTGTAGGATATTAATATTTGTAATACCATGCGGCAAAGAGCTGTATATCATATCAATATCATACACTTCTTTCTACTGCATATATGGGCATCAGGGGAATTGTTTTTCAACAAACTAAACTTGATGATGTACAGAAAAACACCAACAAATTGTTTCCTGAAATCATGTGCTAGTATTTTCATGTTTTAAGTGCACCAATGTATAACATATTTTGTATTGAAAAAAAAAATACAAAGCAGCAAACCAAAGAGTAACCAATAATGAGATTACAAGTTTCCATGTGACCCAATACGAGTACTACCGGTGAACCTGAAATCAATTTCCTTAGTTGTTTCATCTATTAGCAAGTGTAAAGAGAAGTATCAAAGACTGCTGAATAAACATGCTCAGGGTCAAACAAAACAAAGCCTAGTTAATTGAATCTTAGAAAAATTGGCTACTATATTACAGGAAACAGATTCTAACTTACTTCAGTACTTAAAATGTATGGAATTTTTACTGTCACCAATATTGTGTTGCACAGAGTCAACATACAAATCTCATCATGTGCTCAAGTTCTTTGCAACCAAGCACTGTAAAAGAAAAACAATGGAAGAAATACATGTCTTTAATGCAAATAAAAGGATCGCGAGTTTGCTGATGTGCCTTCTTTAGGGGCCCTTTTATAGATGGGGGAATAAATCAGCATCGATTTTGAAGGTTTATTGACTGGTGTTGCCAATATATGGTAAGTCTTTATATTGTGTACATATTGTTTTTTACATCCATGTATCATATACATATTGTGTTATTATCCAAGTATCTGATAAACAATTGTATTGTCAACATTGAGCTGAAGTCCTTGTATTGAATGTTATCCTCTTGGTACACCAAGCTTTGGCAAACACATTGTATACACATTGTATCTTACTGGCAATCTATATTCAAGGCATCAAAACATAGAGAATCTCACCCAAGTGTCTTCTGATATCAATTATATCAAAACAAATTGATAAAGTTACAAATAAGAGGCTTGCTGAGGATATTTCTCCGAGGAGATATCATTTGATCTCACACAAGCAATATCTCCAGTGGAACAGTTTTGGATGATAAAGTGTGTTATTCTATGGTGTTAGTTATTTTAACACGTAGTGTTATACTTGTATCCAAACCATACAGGTAAAGGGGTGGATCCAGAGCGTGGGTGCACACCCTCACCTTCTCCCCCGAAAAGATTTTCCCTGAGGAGCCTAACCTTTGGACTTCCTGATTAATGAGCACCCTCCTTCTCCAAAATTTTAATCCTGAATCTGCCCCTAAGGCATCATGACATCATGATATACACAGACATATTGTACATGTGGTAGACCCACTGTTATCTCACTCACATACACATACATATTCCAAACACAGCACCCACACCAGTGTACACATCCTGCCATAGCTGAATGCAGGTCAACATATCTCTGCCACGGCTGAACATAGTCTGATATCTGCCAAAGTTTAACACATGCAGACCCATCTCTGTCAGAGCTGAACAGACAGTCCTATCTCTGCCACAGTCCACCACATGCAGACAAATCTCTATCCTAGTATGCCCAGCATCATCCTCGATAATCTCCAGGGTATACGTTATGATCACTGTCCACTATACCCTGGATGCATCCACTGATTTTATTACCTCCCTTTGCTGGCTTTTTATCCAATCAGGTGTCTATGCTGGGAAGTTGAGCGAACCAAGCACAACTCACTTTCACTTCTTAAATTATCTAACCGTTTAAACTTGGCAACACCATTGATGCAGAGGTACTCTGAAAGAGGTAGTAGGAGTTCTTTCATATATTTTTTAATGTTTCAGATCTGTCAATTTGTCTGTATGATTTCCCTAAAAATATGAGTGGCACTGCGAACAAACCTTCGCGACTGTGACCGCTATCTTTGTTGACACTGGCAAGCTTGGATATAACGGCGGCTTAGCTGATTGGCTACTGTGAGAATGGGGAGCCAGCAAAGGGAGGTAATATAATCATCCAGGGTATAGTGGAGAGTGATCGTAATGTATACCCTGGAGATTATCGAGGATGGCCCAGCATACCAAAGCCATCTTTCCAATATGGGCCAATATACCAACATTCTTGTTTGTGAATTTCTTCAGGTAATGCCTTAGTTATGTCCTACAACACAACTGTAAGTGTACACTGAGGAAAGCATGATTACAAGTAGAACTAATTATTTCTTCCACTGTTGGAAGAGCTGTCATATGAGCTTGGTACTCTACTCAAAAGCGGATTTGGATGGACATATTTAAGTTGAGCTTTCCTTTAACCATTATATTGCTACATGAACAGTTGAATAACGCAGGGGCAGAATAGCATATAGTTACACATATTTTATCTGGTGTGAACAAAGTATCATGGTACATCTGAAATGGTAACCTGTGTGTATTAATTCATCCCTTATAAATAACATCAGCACTCCTTTTACCGTTTCAACAAAACAAACAATCAGTTTCTGGTTAACAAACAAACAAACAGGAAAATGTCTATATGATGATACAACCAACAACAGTGTACTTCTGCACATATTATCATATTTATTCCTCAGACATGTCTTCTGGATAAATTCCACATCAGACTATCCATACGTTCACATAATCATATTTCATGTTTACATATAGAGCATTACAAAAGGATATGCCATTTGGTTCACAAACACTTATTCAATTTCCATATCACCACTTCCTTTCACCCAAACAACAGCACGTTACAATCTGGGCAATTTATCATCAACAGATCAGGCCTTGTTCCACAAGTGATCTTAGCACTGTGGCACTTAGAAAACTGATACTTACATAACTTATAATCACATAAAGGTCAGAACTGGTTTTTAGCAGCCCATGCTTATTGTTTTAGGCGACTGAAATTATTTGATAACATTCACTGACTTGATTGATGCATGTCATCATATCCAAATCCGTAGAACGATGCTCAGGACATCAATAACTGGATTGTCTGGTCCAGATTTGATTATTTTCACACTGCTGACATACAGGTGTGCTGTTGATGAGTGTGGCTTTAGTGAGTGAGTTGGATTTTACACGGCTTTTAGCAATATTCCAGTAATACCACGGCAGGGGACACCAGGAATGAGCTTCACACATTGTGGAGTGTGGCTTTAAACAACAACACCACACATACTCCCCTACCAGTTAAAGAACAAGACTCTGGGCCCTAGTCCATCACACAATCTTAGTACTGCTATTGTCCTATGCAGTTGGGATATTCTTAGTGTTTTAGATCATTTTGTGGAACAGGGTCAGCACCGTCAGGACAGTTCTTTCCATCATTTTCTTGCATCTCTTTGATAGAATGTCCTATATGTATAATCTCACATGATAACAACATATGACAAATGTGTAGAAAATAATCAGTTACCATTTTTACTAAGCAACTTAAAATCACAGAAGCACAAGATTTCTTTAGCCATGAAGACAATGCTTCAAAAAATTACTTTACTGAAGATGCACAAATATTAAGCCCAATGGGGATTCGTTTAAGAAATATGAAAATCGATGTTGATGAGATCAAGTTTGATGTGTAAAGCAAACATTTTGAAGTAGAGTGATATGTCAATTCAAAATAATAAATACACAAATGATGAGGTTGAGGTAACATCACACACATGTAACCAGTTAAAATTGGTATCTCAAACAAATTGTGGGTTTAGATTCATCAGTGTTGCCAACATTCTGTTTTGAAATTCTGGTTGCATAGAGCAGGCAAAAATACATATGAAACTTATTTCAATGATCATTTTTGACACTTCAAAACACTTCTGTAAGGATCAATGTATTCAATGTATTTTCTGCTTTTTGGACAGTGAATGACAGGAAGCAGAAAGGTTTATCATTTTTAAAACATTTTCTTAAAAAGATTATTCAAAAGTTTTAACTCTAATACAAGCAAATAGAATGAGCTGGGTTTACAACACTATGAAGAGTCACAGATGGTTTATGTTTTGGTTGAAAACAGGAGAATAGGTGCTGATAAACCAAGGATCACAATCCCAACAAGTCAGGTATTTGAACTCTTGACTTTGTCTGGCCTAAGGGAGGTAACTTTGCAAGGTAAACTGCTGCCTCCTAACACTGGGAATTGGACTACTGGTACCCTTCAGCTAAAAATGGAAAAGTGTCATACAGATTAAATCAAATAACATTGGGGATAGTTAGTATGGTTTAGGTTTTGCTTGTGTCAATGAGTGACTGTCCAGATTCAACATACCTTGTAGTTTAGTTCAGAGAAACACAGAGGTTTTGAGCAACACTACTGCCAGAAACACTTGGAACATATCACATTGGCAACCACAGAATGACTCATTAATGTGAAACTTGACAGGATGAGTCATAAATAATGTGACTTTGATAAAGCTCAAATTAATCACTATCCAATAGATATCAGAGTTTATACGCCATTGAACTTATACATTATGAAGATATAAGGTATATCAACCATACCAGTGGTGCTATGAGAATGCATTTACAAAAACAAACCAATCTTCCAATAAATGCTCTCTGTCTCTCTCATCAATAACAAAATCTATTTCTACAGTTACACCATGATCAAAATAACACTACGAGTCTGTTGAAAGTACCAAGCTTGTTGCTTCCAAGCATTTTATATGCATGATTGACATGTTTAATGTTTTGCGTAGCTATATACATGTTAATATACGGAATACAATGATGTTGATTATATGCGTATATGTATGGCAAGGTACAGTCATTGCCTATGTAGTTGATAGTGACTAGGAGTACTTAACATAGCTATTGCAGATATAACAAGACAGCATACATTGGGCAAGAGGATATCACAGCAGTCAGTCATCAATCTAGCTGTGGACACCACACCATAGAATCTGTCCAAACATGACTCATGCAGACTTATCAAGATTTTTGTCCCCTGGGTGCCATTATACAAAACCACCTTAGCAACATGACTTTCAGAGTTACAATTCACTTAGCACTAAGATATCTTTGTACAACAGCACCCTGAATATTATTTATCAAGTTGTCTCCCTATTCTGGACTGAAATTGTGGGGCAAAAGACAATTTGTTCACATATTTGAGGCTCTCTTATCCTAAGTTGCTTTTCACAATTCCTACCAAATATAAGACTTATAAAGTGGTGTGAATGTACTCATGTTTGAAATTATAGAAATCCTGGAGTCCTTAAGATTGCTAGGACTTTTACAGCTCTAACTTTTGACATTAGGGTTTTCAATCTTACAGATATCCTGGAGTCCTTAAGATTGCTAGGCTTTCTACATCTCTAACTTTTGACATTAGGGTTATGTCCTGCTTAAATTATCACTGTATACATGTCTCTGATCATTGACTTAGTAAGTGAAACACGATGGGACACAACGCTAGCTGGAATATGATTTTGTCACAGGTATTATATTGCTGTCTAACCCAGACGTGTATGCCATTCTCATTCCACTGTACCCACTGTATGTCACTAATGAAGCTACAATCCACTTGGTTTGGATTGGCTGCAAATAATATAACTTTAAAATCTATACCAATCTCTTCCTTAACTACTCACCTAAAACAAATTCTAACATGTTTTGTCTTATAAAGTGAATCCTGAATAATGATTCACTTCAAACACAACACAAAGTACTAAGTTCATGTTGGCTGCATCTTGTACTACAAATACTACCAGTAGTTGTACATATGACACTGAATGATGAATGACCGATGAGAAATAATATCCCACCTAAAATATAAACATTCTCCAAAGCAATAAAAAAATAATAATATAAGAGCAAACTTTCAAATTTACATCAAAATTCTACTCATGACACCTGCTGATTTTAACAGCCTACTGTAACATTCAACCCTTGTCCTGCACAGTAAGTTTAAGGACAGCACTTGGCTCCCTAAATGAACTTTTGTTAGGTAACCTAGTCTCTGTGAGTTTGATTTTACACTGGGTATACGAGAACAGTATATCAGAGTGGGTCAGCTTGGGTTAAAAGGAAATCCAAAGTTATGTCCACTAATTCCATGAAACGCATGCCGACAGACCTGTAAACATTAATATCAGGGTGAACCAGGACTTGAACCCACGCAGAATCCCAGCACACCTAAGGGACACAACTCTGCAAAGCAAATTGAGGATTTTTTTTATGTAATTAAGTCATTTGAGACTGGTGGTGTTTGTTGCTTCCTGTATTCCAAAATACACAAAAAAGGGCCTGGGAAAAACTTAATGATTTATGATTGAGAACATTTTCTTAAAAATAACAAGAAAGGGAACAGACACGAAAAGTGACAGACTGTCAAGTTGCCTATCCTGGGGAAAAACACATTTTCCATGTTAGGCTTGCACGTTGTGATTCTATAAATTGTAACTATTTTACAAACAATATGTTAAATTCACTCATTCATTTGGAATTTCTGATTAAGATCATGTGTAACAAACATTATGCAACTTGAACCTTACAACTGAAAGAAAATCCACTGAGCTATTTCTTTCTAACACACGACACAGGATACACAAGAACATAACTATAAATGGTAAATTGCATGTCTGGTGACACGAAAGTCTTTTCAAGATATTACACTGGAGTGCCTATGAAATCCACATCCCTCTTTGGTATTGTCATGGTTCAAAGCTGAAGTTTGACAGCTGATAAACACGTCACTGTAACATTCAGTGAAACTAGCACTAACTGGTGTACTGAAGAAAAAGTAACAGTATTATTTTGACCATTTACTTAAGGCTTTTTACACACCATAACATGACATAAATTACTGGAAATAAAACAAAAAAGGCTGGTCAATGTAAGCAAAGTCTTGAGAAACAGTTGAATGCCAGGATGTAGTTTGACTGTGGTAATACTAGTTTGAACAAACATGTTTCCATATTCTCAGACATTAGAACCAATGGCCCTTTCATGGATAGAGGTGTGTGGGTATGTGGGTTGGTGGGATCGTGTAGGAATTTGGGGATGTTTAAGAGGTTGGGTGTATGGGCTGCCTTGGGTATATGGAATGCTGGGGCATAGAAGGTGCTGGGAAGAAGAGAGGGCTAGCTGCTGAGGATGTATGAGGTGTATGGAGCTCCATGTGGTGCTTGGGGTGAGTGAGATTCCTAGATGAGTGAGTTGGGTTTTACACCACTTTTAGCAATATTCCAGCAATATCACCAGAAATGGAACACCAGAACCTGGGGCTTTGGTGTGACGAGTGAATGCTTGAACCACTTGGCAATCCCACGGCCCTGTTCTAGATATGGTGTTAGGGTGTATTATGGGATGGATGTATGAAGTGACTGGGGTGCTGGGGCGTACTTGATGTTGGGTGTATAGGAAGCTGGGTTGGTATAAGACACCAGGGCTGTACCAGGGTGTTGGTGGTGTATGGGGCATACTTGATGTTGGGTGTATAGGAAGCCGGGTTGGTATAAGACACCAGGGCTGTACCAGGGTGTTGGTGGTGTATGGGGTGTACTTGATGTTGGGTGTATAGGATGCAGGGGTTGTATGAACACCAGGGGTATATAAAGATGTTGGGGGTGTACCCGATGTTAGGTGTATAGGAAGCCGCGTTGATATAAGACACCAGGGGTACACTGGGTGTTGGGCTGTACTGAAGGTGGGGTGTATAGGATGCATGGGATCTTTGAGACACCAGGGGTGCATAGTGTGATCGAGTTTGGCTGAATACAGTGTAGAAAGGGGTATTGGGTGCTGGGGTGCAAGTAGGACAATTGGATGCCTGGGATATTAAGAGCATCAGGTCAGGTGTATTGAGAGCCTCAGTGTCAGGACACTAGGGTGCTCGAAACATTACATCAATCTTTATACATGTACGAGTGAACAAACAATGCTGTGAATCAAGACAGCTGTGATTGCTTTCATGAAATGTCATCCCACAGCATATAATACTGAGACCATCCACAATTTATCTCACCTTAACAGAATGGGTGGATCATAGGAAGGAAACATTACAAGTTCCATTTTGATATATAAGCACAGGACAGCAGACTGATTTCTTCACTACAGTATCAGTGTATTAATATATTTGACAATTAAGGGCAATATTTTCACAAAATATATTTGGTGCGAAGTGTCACTTTATGATCATATCATAACATCATTGTGCTGAGAAAATGTGTGATTGATGCATTTTGATAAACTGATTAAACTACAAGAACTACTGGGAATGCTTGGACATGTAGAAAGCAAGGGAAGACAATTCTGACAATATTGTAAGTATAAAACATAACTCAGTTATATCAGACATTCTCATAAAATACATTTGCATACCTTTAATATGTGTTCACAATCAAAGTCTTCATCAATGTTTAGAAGACATAGCTATATTCACAAAGCTAACTGCTCTTCATAATCCTGATCATCATACTGCTTTGTTTACAGACTTCTTCCATTTGACATTTTTTCTTCAATCTTTAATATCAGCCATACTGCAGTTGGTATTAACCCATAAAAATATGACTGAGAGTTTGCCAACCAATGATGATACTATAATTATACATATCAATAATTATGACATCATGTCCACAATTCTGACACATCCTCAGTTACAATAATTTGTCAGTAATCATGATAACATGTCAATAATCAAGATATTATATAAATAATTCTAATAACATACTTATAATTCTAATATCATAGCAATAATATTTTAATCATCATTTAAAAGACATTCAAAACAACAAATACCAAATTAATTCTAATGCATGAAATGGGTTCATATCATGCACCTTTTGACTTTTGTTCTGAGTTCTCTATGAAAATAGAATATCTAAACTTGGTTTGAAGTTAACATTGGGTTTTCTCTTTAAGACATCAGTACAATGGTTGATAGTCACAGCATGAGAGATAACAGTAGTCTCCATCAGAGGGGAAGAGAAAGTGCAAAGCCAACTACTGTCGCCCTACAGCATAGCAGTGACTACCATGACATGGACATACAGCCAATCAATTGCTTGTATATAACCCATGAGCCATTGTCAACTTCAAGGGACCTGGTGTTGACTAGGAGAGGTATAGTTCAGTTCCCTGAGTCCTCCACTGGCTTGCTTTCCCTACTGTCATTGTCCATTTCTACTGATTCTTTCTGTTCATCTTCATCCTCATCCTCCTCTTCCTCAGCCATTAACTTCTTTGCTAGCTGTACTGCTTGGAACTCGTTATAGTGGATTTTCCGTTTCAATTCAAAAGCTTTCCTATGTTCTGAAATGTAGAAACAAGGACATTGTGGGGACAGACTGGCAAATCGCACAACTTCATCATGAACTCTTCTTAAAACGAACCTTAGTTGTAAAAGATACAAAGTTTCCCTACCAATGTATCCTAATTTGTTTTCCCTTTGTTTTAATTGTGATTTTGGTAATCTTAATTTCTGAGTATGAAAAATGTCTGGCATTCAGCACACCAATAAGCTTGAATTCGTAAAAATCATGTCTAATGATATTTCATCACTTTTTTCATGTTTCATGACCAAATTAGTGAACAACAAAACAACCTCAAAAAGCTATTGCCGCCATTGGCATAACTTGTTTCCGGGCTCCTTTAACAGACACCTATTTGTGTAGAGACAGGGCCAAGCTTACCTTTATCAAAACTTGAGACGCGCAGTGAAGTAGTGTGCATGGAAAGGGAAGTAACTGCTAGGGGTGAAACAGTATACTGCGGTATGAGTAGAACTGCGGTATTTTGCCTTTGGTTCGGTATACCATAATGCGATCCAAAAATTTGGTCATGTCATTAACCTTTTTAAACTTTCTCAAAATGTCTAGAAATCAAATGATTTTGTCAAAATCTATTCATTTCTTTACTAGACGGCCCCTATTTTCCCGGAAGTAAGTTCTCATATACCAAACCGAAACAGAACGAAACGGACCGAACCAAACCGAAGGCCTTGTACCGCAATATGTACCGTACCATGGTAAAAACGTACCGTTTCACCCCCAGTAACTGCATGCTATATTGGATATCATTATTAATAGTATTGCAACATAATACTTTCATGGGCTGTGTGCACGAGACGCTGCATTTTTATCAGGATCAGGCATATCAATATGTTTATTTTAATAATGTTCTTTAAACATCTAATACCTATTAGCATGAACAAGGACTTGCTACATGCCAGTTTCCATCTCACTGAAATGAAATTACCACAATACAAGCCTTGTCTGTGCCAAGGTCAAAGAACACCACCATAGAAGGTTTGTTGATTGTTTTGTTGATTAACGCTGCACTCGCCAATATTCCAGCTATATAGCGGCGGTCTATAAATAATCGATTCTGGACCAGACAATCCAGTGATCAACATCATAAGAATCGGTCTATGCAACTGGGAACCGATGACATGTGTCAATCAAGTCAGCAAGCCTGATCACCTGAACCCGTTAGTTGCCTCTGACAACAAGCATGGGCTGCTGAAGACAAATTCTAACCTGGATCTTCATGGATATCCACCATGGAAGGTCATGACAGTTGAACAATATGTGAACCTATTCAAGATGAAGGTTACTCAGGTTCTCAGCCAATCAGATGTGAGCTTTCAAAAACAATTCTGCAAAATATCCACAACACCATTACTTTTCCCAATTTTGATTTCTCCAAATATAATCATTTCAAAAATACACAATCAGTGCTTTTCTGAATGCTTGGCTCTCGTGTACCAGGGATTAGAAGCCTTGATGCTGTTTGGCTGATTAGACAGTTCACCTAATGAGACTTCAGATCTGAGATGTCTCAAGATCTTCACACTGAGAGATATTGTATGGGGTAACAATTCAGATCTTAATGAAGTTGGGATGTGTGTGTTTGACCAACCTTGATCTTCTGGTGATTCAAATTTAAGATCATCTTCCTCATCAGACCCTTCAGTGTCTAGTGATTCTTCCCTTGCTAACTCTGCTTCTTGAGATTCAGTTAATCTTCGAAATAAAAGAAAATTGTGTAAATAATACACAAGCCTGAAACCATACACCATTGTGGATCTATGATCAACATAATTACTGGTATGTGTTATAGCTGATGTGAAGAGTGGCCTGACATTGTCTGTTTGTTGGTATAATTGTTTATGTTGACTGTTGTTCAATGGTGCACTCAGCAATATTCAAGCTGTATAGAAAGATAACAAGGAATTATTTGTTACACTGGTAATGAAATGAAGTTCTGATTACATCAGGCACACATACTTAGAACCAATAACAGAAGGGTCAAGCATATCATCCTTTCCCATGCTGCCCTTCACTTATCAATAACACATACATTGCAGCAATAACTAATGGGTCAAGTGCATCACCCTCTCTAATTCTGCACTTCTCACAATTAGAATACTTACTTTGCAGCAATAACTGATGGGTCAAGTACATCGCCCTTGCCAATGCTGCCCCTTCTCTCCCCTTCTCCATCATCATCTTCAGGATCGGAATACTTGCTGTAGGGAGTTGGGGGCTCGTCAATCTTCATATGGCCATAGTCCTTGTTTGCTGGATGATGTGTGGCAAGAATGTTCATCTCATCCCACTTCATCCCTGGCCGTCTTCTGAAATGGGTTTCATTTTCTTGTTTAATCTGAGCAATAGTTTCACTGCGATCCATATTACTCAAAAAGGATATGTGTGTTTTAAACATTAGTGTGTGAATCTGTTGGATTTAACACTGCTTTGAGCAACTTGTTTGAGAGGCATTTAGAAGTTGGTGTGATGAACAACGAGGAGAGTTCTATGGATATACAACTTCTTTAATATAATATGAGCGACATTTCGGTGTAGCTACTAACACCGTGATCAAGCAAATAATGATGAGCAGCATTCCAGTTACATCACTGAGTGGCAGCTTAAACTGCTTAATGTTGGAGGAAAGCCAGAAACCCACATCCTGTAGTCATTTCATTTTCATACACAAGTCGGACCACCAACCTACGTACATCTCATTGTGATCAGTCAGCAAAAACAGAATATCAACAAAACTGTACTGAAACATGCAAGTTAACCCTGTTCTTACACTATCTCGAAACAAAACATGTTCTATGCATATCTGAACTTATACTTGTATTAAGGTTTTTTTCAATATTGTTCAAAATGTCATTTAACAATGTTTATATAAATTACAGGGAAATCATGTATCCCTATGATATCTACACCTTCTGTATACATTATTCACAGCAACCACAATCATATTGTCACTACTCACGCCTTGAAATAAACTGCAGTTGACAGAAAATGGATATTTGTACTTTGTCTTGTCTTACATGTACAGCCTATCTTTATCATCATGATCATTACTGTATGTTACTTTCTTGTGTGATGGAATAATAAACATTATATCAAATTATCCATGTGAAAGAAACAGACTAACTGTGCAAGTTTTCTATCTGCTACCTTCCTTAACTTATCTGAGCCGTAGTGTGAGTGAGCGATTTTGGTTTTCGCAACACTCAGCAATATTCCAGCAATATGGCGGTGGTATATGGCTGGACCACACAATCCAGTGATCAACAGCATGAGCATCAATCTATGCAATTAGGATACAATGGCAAATGTCAACCAAGTCAGTGAGCCTGACCACCCAATCCCGTTAGTCACCTCTTACGACAAGCATGGGTTACTGAAGATCAATTCTAACACGGATCTTCACGGGTCTCTGAGCTGTAGAAGTTAAACTGACTGACTGAGTCAGTATGGTTTGCAATATTCCAGCAAATTCACAGCGGGGGAAACCAGAAATGGGCTTCACACATTGTACCAATGTGGGGAATTGAACCCGGGCCTTCGGCGAAGAGCGAACGCTTTAACCACTGGGCTACCACACCACCCCAAGAAGATAAACTAATATATAACATGATGCTTACTTAACAAAAACATTGTTCATGAACAAATTACCAGTGAACATCCTGCATCTATTGATATATCAGAAACTAAACCTGGCTGTCAGTACAACAATTGGAGGACAAGGGAAAAAGTTTCACAATTTTTCAAAATAATACCAGGGCTGTTACAAGTCGGATGCATATTTGGAGAATCAAACAGTATCCCTGCATGAATTAAGTTTGTTATTCGCTAACACAAACACAAAATATTCACAAGTGTTTTTTGGCTTGAATTCGTATTATCAAAGCATGATGAATGTGGAATATAGCCACTATAATCCAGCACAGGCAGGGTAATAGTCACTCTCATTGGTGTCCTCCTATTACGCAGACAGCCAGTTCGCAGACACCTTAAAACAACAACATTTATGGTTCGGTGAACAGATTATCTACTACCTGTTACCTACACATTATTATGGAATAGTCCAAATAAAAGCACAAGAACAAACTGAAGCTAAATTCTTCAAAGGCATTTAGAAGTTGGTGTAGTAATACAAGACAAATCTTACGGATAACATAAATCAAGAAGTTGTTATCCATAAGATTTGTCTTGTATTAAAACTGAAGCTATATTATTTATTTTGAAAGATGGACGAAAAGACAGTAATTTGAATTTTTATTGCTGCAATATGAAAACAGTTTTTCACAAACATTTCGGTTTAACCTTCTAGTCTAACGGGGAGTCGGCATCATTATATTGAAAACATTAGCTTAGCTATTAGAAATTGCGACACTGATGTATCATATAAATCAAATAAAGTAAATGTGAACCTAAATATTATTCATATGGAATAAAGAAGTTATATGTTTTGCACACAGTATTAAGATCTATGACGAGTGAACTTAATTACGATTTATTTAGAATAAATATTTAAAATATGACGCATCATGTCAATGTGGCCATGGATGTGAGAATGTTTATCATTACGTCCTTGAATGGCCATTGTATACTACTCAAAGACATAAACTGTTACAATCTTTAGAAAGTGTTGTTAAAATTAGAACACTGATTTGTATTAAAACGTTTTCTCAGTTAACTTCTGTTGTACATATGCTATTATTGGGAGGGGGCTTTTCTATCAATAAACACAATCAAACCTCTCAGTGACAAACCTGTTTTTATATTCGATAGTAATTGATAGTAAAAACAATTTTGAGAGGAGAAATCATTTATCATTTAAACACAACAAAGTTCTATGTACCTACAATCAAACTTCTCAGTAACGAACCTGTTTCAGACTCACCCTGCTCTACTCACTAAACAGTGGACTGTTCCATTATACCCGTAGGTGTTACCCTAATTAACCTTCTAGTTCAGTGTCTGTCAATTGGGTGTCTGTCAAATGGGTGTCTGTCAAATGGGAGATAACCCTCTCATTGACTAGACAGTAATGTGGTCAATCAGGTCATTGTCATGATAAATTGACACTGTCAACGTGTCAAATAACTGTTTTTGTTATGTTTCACTGAATATATTAAAAAGCCCATCAACTGCTGACTTGTTATTGTCGTTGTAAAAAACATATTAGCATTCATTAGCCCATATTTATGACATATATACATAATATTCACCTCATAGTGGATCAGTTGAAGCCCTAAATAATACACAACAAAATATATTCATTCATGCAGGCATTGCTTTATATCTGTTTAGGCAGCCATGTTTTAAAACAAGATCAAGGTTTCAGCTCTATCCATAATCATGATAATGTATAACTTCATGATGGATAGACAGACAAAAAGTGCCACAGTGAACAAAGAAAAAGAGGAACTATGGAGAACTAGCTCATTCACTCTTGCATTTGTAGTGGTTTATGTACATAATCATGCAAAAACTAACTGAAATGCTTTCATTAGACCTGTCTCTTCAGTTTATTTACAATAAGCACCATTAGCATTTTGAAATACAGCCCCGCAACTAATCATGAGGATGTTCTCTGCAGTAGGTCACATGTCACTATTAGTGTTGGGAACTGGTAAAAATCCCATAATTGATGATTGGTTCAATACAACTGATCAATCATCGAAAATAATTGGTTAGCGTCATTTATGAAATTTTCCTGGTTATTTTTGTTAATGCACAAAAAATAGAGAAAAAACGTGTAGTTTGAGGTGTTTTTTTTCAAATTGTACAAAATGCATTTGTAAATTTCACATCTTTAAAGGATGACTAGTATGTTAGAAACATAAATTTCTTGAAGTCTTTAAGATAAATTCAATCATGACGTGGAACGAGCTTGTAGTGCTTATGACACAAACAAAACCAGCCTTGTGAAAAATATTATTAATGCAAACAAGTGTTCCATAATTGTTTGTGTTCGATTATGAGAAAACATGACCGATTGCTTGGTCGTTTAATCACTGCGACCAATCTTCGATTATTTCAATTAATCGAACCACCACTAGTCACTGTGAAAAGCAATAATATATGTATATCAGTTCACATTAGCAATCCTTATAGCGCCATGGAAGAAGTTGAAACAATGTGAAATATGTGAAATAGAAGTACTTTCATAAACTTGCACTTGCTTGAAAATGTGCCACCACATGCTATATGTAGTAAACAAATATTGAAAACTCTCAACATCGCTTGATCTCTTCAATGACTATGCAGAGATGCAGTGAAGTGATGATAGATTTCTGAGGCAACCTAATGCTAACAGGCTGATGTCATAAAGCATTGTTTCAGCTATGTGTTTTACAACAAATTTCACAAATAATGTCACAGGATATCATGTATGCTTGTTGTGCTGAATTCTAAAAGTCCAGTCAAATGATTAGTCAGTGGTGCAGAAACTTTCCTTAGTCGAGATGATAAATGGACTTAATATCATGAGAAAGGCTTTGACAGTCAAGGCATACCAGGTGGACATTCAGTACAGAATGAACAAAAATCGTTTGCCAGCAAATCGTCTTGATATGCGAAAGCTAAACTGCACACTTCCGAAAACATACATTCGGTGATTAAAATACGATCTTACCAGATAAGTTTATGTAAATGAAGAATTAGCATACGGCTTATTGGCCTCTGATTGTTTTGTAACAAGTGGGGGGCACTGTCAGCAATAGAACCTAAACCATCAGATGACACTTTTGACAATATGACATTTGTGTCAGTGTCACTGACAGTTCTTGTGACGAGTGACAGATTCGACCTTCACATAATTAATTACTATTCTATATACACGTTAAGAGCGAAACTTACAGCTCGTTTTTGTTCATGCTTTAGCTATGACATTTATGAATATTTACCCCTCCACTCCAAGTGCAGACGGATTGTCATGCTTGTCTAGACTAGACGTGTGTTTCAAAATTCCCTTCACGGGCTTGCCATCGGTAGCCATTTTCAATGAATAGCCTGATAAGATGTTGTAACAAGAACGCTCATTGGTTCTAGGATTTCCGCAACGAACGGTTATGAAATTTCCGGTCTGTATTTAACTATCTCTAAAATATTCTAAATTATTTAATGAATTGTAGAGAGAGAAATAATCATGCAGATACAGTCTCAGATGACCAATACATTTCTGTTAGTTTTTAACATCTTGGCATCTATCTAATTTCAACAAATCAAATTGCGCGTTACAAAGTAAACGATGTAAACACAGCTGAGAGACAAACATGGGTATTCTTCCAGTGAATGGAAATCGAAAGCTGGAATTAGCAGTATATGCGACATCACAACGCTGATCATAAACGTTTGTATTTATTCATATTTCTTTTAAATATATGACTTGACAATTTCGAATTCACGCCACTATTTTAATTCGCTCCTGTTGTCAGTCTTGAATAAGATATATTTGTTTCCTCGTGAAAACGAAATTCCTGGGAATTTAATAACCAGCCCCACTGGCCCTATTATTAAATATCCGGATCCCTTTCGACAAGTTCTAAGTACGATTACCCTTACCAAAGCAAGAGCTTCTAAAACCCTGCAACACTAAAGTTCAGTCACAAATTACTGACTTCTTCGAGTGGCATTTAGAAATAGGTGTGACGTACAAAAGCCATAGTTCTGTGGATTTATAACTTCTTAATCTTATTACATATATATGCGACGTTTCTGTGTAGATGCTAACACCATTAAAAAGTATATGTGTTATTATGAATTGTATATTATATCATAGCTATAAATAAAGAAGTTGTATATCAATACAGCTATCACCTTTGTTTATCACACCAACTTTCAAATTTCACTCAAAGAAGTTATCCATCCTCTTCATGGAAATGTGGAAGTCTCAACCATCAACAACCTAGAGATACATACAGCCATCCAACCACCTCATTTGCTTTATAAAGATAGAAACACCTACACCTTCGCACAATAATATTCACCATACCAAATTCTTTATCAGTAATATAAAGGTCCTGTGATTAAAATGTGTTGCAGTACAGTATTCTGCAACATTTCATTGCTGAACACGGGCGGTGGGGTAGCCTAGTGGTTAAAGCGTTCGCTCGTGATGCCGAAGACCCGGGTTTGAATCCCCACATGGGTACAATGTGTGAAGCCCATTTCTGGTGTCCTCCGCCGTGATGTTGCTGGAATATTGCTAAAAGCGGCGTAAAACCAAACTCAGTCAGTCAGTCATTGCTGAACAGGACTCTCATATTTCCAGTACAGACACTTGAAATTTGTAACTATGGGTTCTTCGATCCCTAAGTTTTGTTGGTTAACATGGTTACGATAAACCCTGCTTTAGTATCTGTTTTATGGTAGATTTTGCATAGCCTTGACAGTAATTCCAGTGTGTATTTATGTGGCTGCAGCTATGAGCAGATATGTTCGGTGAATTCAGCATAACACAACCTGTAAAGATAAGGTTAGAAATGGTCTTCAGAAACACATGCTTGTGAGAGGTGATCAGTTGATCAGCTCAATCATTGGATTGTATGGCCCAGAACACTGTCAGATAGCAGGTAAATTGCTGAGGGTGATGTTAAACAAACTACAAACAAACAGTACAATAGTTTAAGGTCCTCATTTACACTTGGCTTTGCCAGTTGATGTTCATCTGTCGGCATGGTCTACTCCCATTTGTGAGAACCCCCAATTGTGAGACTCCCAGTTATGAGACAGTGGAGTAGGTAATTAACAAAGAAAACACACCATACTCCCCTGTCTGATAGAATGGATTAACCTTAGCTAATTACTGATTTGCTATGTAACTGAATCTTGTGGAAGTCTTAATGAAACTTTATAAGATAAATTGATTAACATACACTTTGTGTAGGTAACTTCGTCATCATTGAAAGAAAAATTAATTTACCTGCTCAGTTTCACGTCCGTCTCCGAAACTACAAGATATAGTTTAAGAAATAACTCTAAAATACAAGTTTACAGTCGAACTGCCTCTTATGCCAAATCCTTTTTACCCAGCACTACCAGTTATAACCTGGATACCATTTTGAACGGAAACAAAGAATTTACTCCTTGTGTAAACCAGAAAATAGTTGAATCTGTCCACGATTATATCATCAAGACACAACGCTTCAAATTTTCTCAGGAAAATACTTAAATTAACTCAACAACCTTCTCATGATTGATTTATATTCCTACAATAGCTTGTTAGACACACACAACTGAAACTCTTTAATTATGACTACTTAGGGAATAATTTTTATTTGATGTATACTTAAATATATATTTATGCAATAGTCAATATCGATGACGTCACATCCTCCATTTCATTTTGTATTTTATGTTGCATTGGAGCGGTGTTAACATAAGCAGTAATACTTTCTCACCAATCCCAATTCATTTTCATAAATAATAATAAAATATGTTTAAGCCAAAATGTATTTTTAAACTTCATAATAGTCTATTTCTTCTGTGTAAATAGATCTTTGATAATCTATTTCATTAATCTACTCATCAATGACTCCTGTAGGTACTCTTCAACAACTGGGCTAATCCCACTTTCATTGTAGGGATGTGGAAACACCACGTATGTGCACTGAACCATTAATTAATGTGTCTCACAACTGGGAGTTCTCACAAATGGGAAGACACCGTCGGCATGATGTCCTTTTTCAGGTGGCCATATAGTGCCATTCAGATATTCTCTGACTCATTTGTACAAACTGGCATGAGTTACTTAACATTGATGACATTCTTTCTCCCATATGACAGAGTGTTTATGAAATCAAGCAAAATCAATTAGGTGTGAAAACCTGCTCATTAGTTTTAGAATAGAAGAGTATTGTAGCAAAAATTAATGGAATAAAAATAGATGTATTTCAATGAATTGGTACATTCAGCACAATTTATTAGGAAAGCCTTTCAATTACACTGCCCCTCTAAGGGCTGAATATCTATGTCCATATTTAGTCAGAATGTAATTCACTGATCACACCCACTGAGATCTAACTTTCGTTTTCACAGTGTTAAATTACAAAATAATTTTGCCAAATGAAAGGATCTAACACATTAACAGTTGATAAGTGTATCTATTTCTGAAATTGTGAGTAACTATTTGCATCATCTGTGACACAATAATTATTTTGTCTGCATATTTTGACCTGAATATTTGTGTTAGATACAAGGATTTGCATGTCAGTGCGAACCCTAATTAATGAAAGTCTCCGTTCTAATATCCAACACTTGTGAACACATCACTTTTTGAAAGTTGGTATTGATAGTGATGGCATTGTTCAACAATATGAGCATTTTCCATGTCAGAAAATCTGTGAAGATCCAGGGTAGAATTGGTCTTCAGCAACCCATGCTTGTCATAAGAGGCTACTTACAGGATCAGTTGGTCAGGCTCACTGACCTCGTTAACGTGTCATTGTATCCCAATTAAGTGAATCGATGCTCATGTTGTTGATCACTGGATTGTTTGTTCCAGACTCAATTATTTAATGACTGTCGCTATATAGCTGGAATATTGCTGCTTACGGCGTTAAACAATGAACGAACAAAATCCACGTGAGAAAAATGAGTGTATATTTTCAAACATTGATATTAACTACAGTGGACTCCCTCTAAACCCACTGGGGCGTGTCACGTTTAGAAACAGCGTTAGAAAGACATATAGGTATATAGATCCTACCCTAGTACTATATAAAAGGAAAGGGATGTAACGACGGAACCACCCCCTCCTCAATCAAAGTTAGATTTCACGACGTAAACTATTTTTAAGGCCCCGTAGTGGCCTACGGATCAAAAGCGAGATGATTTCGCTACAAAATGAGCTATAAATGGTCACAATCGGATCATTATTTCAAAAGTTATACGCCACGACTCATCGAAAACAGCAACCTCCGCAATTCCAAGCCAAAATCATGGATCACCCAAGACAGCGAAAACTCACCTTTTAAATTTGTTTATTAATTCCAGCCACGTTGACAGCACCAATGTAGGGCTAGATTCGATTGTCTGCGCCATTCCACGGGTCTAGAAACTTATTGCAACATCTACAAATCATTTCCTCGACAGTAAGCAGGCATTTTCTCCAAAACCATCGGCAATCATATTCACTTGTCGGCCATAGATGGCCGTGACATTTAAGTGATCTGAGCAGATTCGCAGAAACGAAATTTCCCTGACCCTAAATAACTTGAAACATATTAGTTGGATTTTTTTTTTAAATTTGGGGACCACATTCTTAGTCTGAAGGACTTTTATCAGGTTATTTTAATTTTTTTAAGAATAAGAGCAATTTAAGAATTTGAACTTAGAAAAGTGGTTTTAACCAATAACTTGAAAGGTATTTCAAAAATATTTCACAGTGATAGCAGCATCCTTGTGTAAAGGACAGGTGCAGTTCACAGTTTGGTTCTGATTTTCTAATTTTTAAAGAGTTGCACCAATTTACAAATTTTAAACTTTTTAAATTTGTTTTGTTTATCCAATAACTTGAACATATTTGAATGGATTCTTTTCAAATTTGGGAAGCATCCTCCATATCTATAGGAGAGGTCCAGTGCAAAGTTACATTTATACATTTTTGATTTGTTGAGAAATTATCACAAATTACAGCTCTTGGACTCTGGAAAATGTTCAACCAATAACTTTGCCAACATTTATTTGATTGTTTTCAAATTTGGGTACTGTTGTCTTTGTTTATAGCAAATGTGCAGTACAAAGTTTAATACAGATCTTGTATTTTTTGTCAAGAATATTCAATTAATTAATTAATTAATTGTTGTATAGCTGAAGTTGGGAGTCACAGTCGGGAGTAATAGTGAGCCCTGTTAAAATGTTTTGGCTTGTTATTAGTTTAAATATGTCTATTGTACCTATTATTAGGTAAAAAATGATAAAGTGAGCTACAGTCCCTGTTAAAGTTTTGTTTGCCTCTGTATTTTCATAGCTGTTTTTGAAAAATATGAAACTTCAGTTTCAGGAATCTGTAATGATTGAGGAAATCTGGACTTGATCAGTTAATCAACAATGTCCCGTACTAAAGCCAAGAGCGCTGACCAGTACAAGGTGCTGACCGGTACTTGCCCGGATGAAGAATGCCAAGCCAAGCTGTACTTCCCAGCTTTTGACAAAAGCATCGAGTGCACAAGTTGTGGACAGCGCCATGACAAAGCCTCTCTTCAGAATGTTGAGGAAGTCACAAATACCAATGTTGCTTTGCATAATCTTCTAAAGAACGTTCTTCTTGGCAATGTCAAACCTCACAAAGGTCCGGAAAATATAAAGGTTTTAGGCTTGTCAAATTATGTGTGCAAACTTCTTTCACCAATTCTTACCAATTACGGCATGGATAAACAGACTGGGAAAGCTAAGCTGTTGCAGAATGAATTTGACTGTGCTGTTTTGGGAGATCGTGCCTTTCTCATTGATCCCGAACATTTGTCGGTGATGGGATATGGATGTGACCGGTCAGGAAGTAAACTGTATCTTAGGGAAACGCTGAACATCGTCCAGGAGGTCAATGATCAGCAGGAATATCTCATTCCAATCCATGCAGACGGTGATGGGCATTGTTTGGTACATGCTGTATCGAGAGCTCTGGTTGGTAGGGAACTCTTCTGGCATCCTCTTCGAGTCAACCTCCAGCGTAATTTTCAGATGAATTTAACCAAATACAAAAACCTGTTTCAAGACTTTATTGATAAAGACGAATGGTCAGACATCATCAATGAGTGTCACCCAGATTTTATCCCCCCGGACAGTGAACCTCTTGGCCTTCGAAACATCCATATATTCGGACTTGCAAATGTCTTGAAGCGACCAATCATTCTCATTGATTCCATTGAAGGAATGCAAAGCTCTGGAGATTACTGTGGTAAGTATAGCTTGATTGTGATTGTTTCAAGTAACCATGGTAACCCAACTACTTGTGACATAAACATGATAATGTTACAAAAAACATCAGTAAATCCAAATGAAACATCTGATGTTCCCTATTTTGAAGATAGTTACAAGTTTTCCCTTTTGCCTGCCAAGGACACATAGTTTGGAATGCTTTCATAAGTTCCTGAAATAGTGAGCGAGTTTGGTTTTACGCTGCTTTTAGCAGTACTCCAGCAATATCACGGCAGGGGACACCAGAAATGGGCTTCACACATTGTACCCAAGAGGGAAATCAAACCCAGGTCTTCGGCGTGATGAGCCAACGCTTTAACCACTAGGCTACCCATATTTTCACTTAATCCAATGTTTGTCCAAATATTTTTAACCTGATACGCCCAATTTTGGACACCACGGGTCTCTACCTCCTCATACAAATACTCATAACAACCCCGTAAAATGTTATTTTCAGACACAAGAAGCTTACACCAATATTTAATCATGCTATATTGCCTTTTAAATACGAGCGGATATCAACCTACCTCTGCATAAACCATGGAATTATATGTTGATGCATTAACTCCTAATAACCTTTTACAAAAATCCAAATGCAACCTCTATCCCCATATCTCAGACGCATAAGATAGTATACTGCCAACATAAAAATCAATTACTAGTATATATATCCTGTATATCTGTTAGTTAGCATTCACTTGACAATGGGGCAAGGAATAGCCCAGAAACGTATATACATGTACAATAAAGAAGAAGTTGACATCCATAATATATTGTCTTATACTATAACAATCAAAGACAAATAAAAGAGATTCCAGGTTGAGAGAGAGCGACCTGATATTATTGTTAATTGAAAAAAGGGCCTCCTACCCGGTTATTATAATTAAAAACTATTCATAAATTCAACTGTGTTTGCAACCTTTCAACAGATTAAGAAAATATTACAATATCATCAGCATACATAAGCAGAAACATATATAAAGATTTAAACTCGTAAGGTACACGTTTATCTTGTAGGAAAGACTCCTCAAAATGAACTATCTAATGTCGAATTAAAGAAATGAATAATGAAGAATAGACTTGAAAATGTGTAAATAACTTTATTTATATTTTTTTATATGCCCAAATTAAAGAGCGTCCCCGTTAATCCTGTTTTCTCTGTAATTTGTCAGAGCCTCCAAGTGAGCGCCGTGTTCATTCAGCCACAACATTGCATTGCAAGTACCGCGAAGGGCTACGCTCATTGAACCGAGAAGCGTCACAATTTTAGCCTTTCCGGCCTCGAACCCCTGTGATCATGGGTTCAATCCAGATTCATCCTGATTGTATTTTTGGTTTGTTAGTTTTATACTCATGTTCATGGATTTCATAAATTTTGGCTTATTTGCCCTTCATTAAGCTGACATTTTCTGATACAGCTGAAATACTGTAAACAGTGTCATTCAACCTAACTCAGTCACTCAGTATTCAAGGTGGTCCCAAACTAACATCACAAGCAACATTTTAAATAATGGCACTACTATTGCTGGAACAATTGATAGAAACATCAATTAAACTTTTAAAAGTATGTTTCTTATTGATATGTTTGCGAAGTCAACTATAGCAGTTTCCTGAATCGTAAAACGCAATGTAAACAACATACTCACGTGTGTCTCAACAGGAAGTATCCTTGATCATGTGATTGTCTGGATCATTGGTGTAGTGTTAATCTGTGCCTGTTTTGTTTGCACAATGTTATGATTGTGTCCCGTCATTGCCCTCATAAGGTTTGTGGTTGGGTTTATGATTACAATTGATAATTGATTGATTACTGAGCTCTGATTATCAATGTGCATATTCTGAGTGATAACCACTAGGCAATAAACAAGGAATTGCTGCTTGATTGTGTCGTCATGGTAATGGTATATGTGTAATAGTGCTGGCAGAAGTGTGTGCAGCTCTGTCCTGTATAGAGGACACAGATAACAAATTAGATGAAGTTAAGCAGTGTCAGTCATGGAGATGACGTTGGATTTCAGTGATCATGTTCAGTAGCATGACTCCTGAGATTTTCTAGGGCTTCTTTGGGTAATTTTTTACATGATTGCTTCTGTTAATCCAGAAGTGACTGGGTACTTAGTAGGATGAGGTGGTGATGTGAAGGTTGGCTGGGTTGAATACTATCAGGGAGATGATAATGAAAACTGAGCATTTGCTGATCCACTGACTGGGAAAATATTGTAATTATAAGATCCATCATAGTCTTAATTGCATTTATGTAGTGATCACTTTGAAAGATAACTGTGCAAATGTATGATATAATATTACAATAAAATTAACTCATAATGAGTGGTTAAGGTGTTAAAGCGTCCGCTCGTCACACCGAAGTCCCAGGTTTGATTCCCCACATGGGTACAATGTGTGAAGCCCATTTCTGCTGTCCACCGCTGTGATATTTCTGGAATACTGCAAAAAGTGGCATAAAACTAAACTCACTCTTGTTGCACAGGGGTGTTCCTCCCTGTGTTGGTGGATCCAGAGGACTGTAAGAAGGACAGTGTGCTCAATAAGCCTCTGTGCATCGCCTGGAGCAGCAGTGGGAGAAACCACTTCATCCCTCTCGTAGGCATCAGAGGTAAGAAACTAAACAGAACAGTTTCTTTAACCAGTTGGATTTATCGATGCCCTAACTTGTTTATGAATGTGTTATAATTAGTATTTTTTCACTGGCTGTCAGCTAACTTCATTTATGAAAACATTGATAAAATTAAGGGCCATGGCACCATAAAGATTGAAATGGCATGGATGAAATGTTTACTCAGGTCCCTAGCAGCACCCTTAAAATTATTCAAATAATTCTCACCATGATATTATGGAAAATGCGATTAATTTGACCATCTTAAATGATTCATAACCTATTTTTGCACCCCATTAAATTATTTATTGCGGGCACTCTTGATCTCACAGCTTTACATAGGTGTTGCCATTTTGAATGCCAGCGCGTATGACAGAAAATCTCCTTTTCGATAGCATAGTTTCTAGGAAAATAATATCTGTCAAACCATGTCTGTATGGATACATTTACTTTCACCAAGGTACACCTAAATTATCTGTCTTGTGCCCTATAGCATTTCTATCCTTTAAAAAGAACAGATCTGAAAATGAGTAAAAAGTGCTGACACAGCATGTTAGATGTGTGGGGAAAGGTACTAGATACTCTTATGCTCCTGAAAAATGTTAATGTGGCAAATGCCAAATTTAGGTAAGAAGGTGAATTTCTATAGACAAGCCAAAACCTGTACAACTTTCAATTTTTGAGAAAGCACTGTGTATTTTCCTTTGACTTTGCGAGATATGAGGGTTTATGTATATTTATACTGGGGAGACTGTTGTGACTGGAGAATAGGTTCCAAATATCAGTAGATCTGAGATGACAGGGTTTGAGATAATAAGTGACGGTTTGACTGTCTGTCACTGTTAATGTATGCTGTTAAAGGATGTTACACACTTGGGGCAGCTCACGAAGAAATTCAAGTTAGATGGCACCATGACCAGGTCCCCGTCTCACAAAGCTATCATAGTGCTACGACTACCGTAAGTCTACATTAAAGTGTTAGAGTTTTGACAGTCGTAGCACCATGATAGCTTTGTGAAACAGGACCCAGCTTTTTAAGTAGAATCTTCTTTATGAAAAGTCCATTCATTGACAAAGCCATGGGAGAATACCAAAATGAAACAGTGAAAAATGGCAAATGTGAATTTGTAAATACTTGATGGTTCAAAATGTTTCTTCATTTGGGATGACAATATACATGTGTATTTCAATGAAATGAATGTGTCAGTTGTTTTTCATTATATTATTTTCAAAAGTGGTGATGTGTTACGATGTTGAATTACCCGGATATTGCATTGGCTACCAGCAAAGTAGTTTATTATGTATTGTGTGACCAGGCAAGCCTGTGCCAAAGCTGCCACGCTACATAATCCAGCGGGCATGGGGAATCCCAGACACCTACATTGACAAGTACATCGAATTTGACGGGCAAGGGATGTGTTGCATTGGAGGAGATAAATCTTTGCAGGTGAAGAACAAGTAATATCATGTCTGACTTTCCTTGAGGAAATGTTGTAGTACTATCAGTCCCCTTTGGAATGTGTGGGCAAAATAGAATCGTGTGAGTGATTCATCTAGATTTGTTAGTTGTTTATCACCACACTCAGCAATATTCCAGCTATATATGGTGGTGGTCTGTAAATAATCGAGTCGAGTGTGGTAGATTTCCATTATACATAATTTTTCCTTATCCTGACTCTCTGTATTTTTGCTTGTCTCCTTCCTCTTGCGAACGTTAGTGGAACACTTGTATCTCCTTATTGAAGCTCCTTTCAATAAAACAGACGTAAAATCACTACTCACCATGAGTTATCTCCCTCCCCGTTTTGGCGGGAAAGAGGCACCACCCGTCTTCCCACGCTTCCTCTCTCCTTCTTCGCCCTAGTGGACGATTGGGAGAGCGCCTGTGTCTCCAATACGACACTATATCCTTTGATTATTTAGTTACTACCCTATAAATTACCTTTATAGGGGTTTAGACAGTATCCTTCAACAATACGGTTTGAATTTTATTCATAATTTGACTGTTTATTCACGTTTTTGTACGTGATTGTTCAGTTGTTTACATTTCATGAAAACCTGTTTTCGTTGTAGGTTTAGGTTCTCTGCTGCAGACCCGCATTTATTGTACCCTAGCTGCACAACAACATGTACTTCCAGCTCTCGCTGTAAACTTTGTCAGCATTTAACAGAAATTCAATTTAATAAATATTCTTTCTCTGTACTTAGGCGTCCTAGCGACAAATCCAAGCGACTTTTACAAGTCATGGATAAACCGGTGGAGTCCCTCACCAGCTGTCTATCGTTGTGAGACGACTTACTATCTAGTGACCTGCCGGAGATGTCCTCGGAGGATGGGCTTGGGACGTTGTCCGTCACTTTGAAGAAAAGGGCTGCTACATCGGACAACCCCTTAATGCAGACTAAGAAGAAGAAGCCATCCTCTATGCAGCGAAGGCCACACACCCCTAAGACGTCTAACAACTCTACGGGGACTTCTGCGCAGACCACGAGGACCTTCTCGGCCGAGATCGTCCCGATGGCAGAGAGAGGACTCTACAATGAGCCGCCGCTGATCCTCCCTGAGATACAGCAGAAGAAGAAGAAGCAGGCTGCAGCAACGGTTACGTCAGCAGAGCTGTCTACGCAGTCCGAGGCACCATCTACACTGACGGCAGATGAGCGATCCCTGGACCATATCGCTACCAGCGCAGAGAGGGCAGCTCTTTAATCATCGCAGACGTTCAACCCCGGGGCCTTCATGCAGCAGTTCTCTCAGCAGATAATGGAGATGATGGAGAGGCGCTTTCGCGCAGGAAAGAGCATCGCATGAGGGCTCTCATGCTCAAGGCATCACCCACAGAGAGGACCCAGACCTGCACGAAGGGAACACTGACGATACATCAGAGAGGCCCTCCAGCGAAGCTACCTCCAGGAACAAGCCTGCCGCAGGCCTGCACGCTCGTCTGCAGAGGAAGCAGAGGAGGAACCTTCACGAAGGTTACCCACCTCACAGAAGAAGAAACCTAGGACCAGAGAGACATCTCGGGACTCGGACCGTCATCTAGATCTCTCATCTTCGCGAAGGTCTTCGGACATAGCCTCAAGGACGTCGTCAACATCTCGCAGATCGTCACGGGATTCACCGAGGCATTCACGAACCAACAGACGCTCACCTCCACGCAGGTCGCCGCGCAGATCGTGCATATGGGACTGAGATGGGACTTCATAGCAAAGAATCAACTGCCAGGCCAACCAGACAGACAGTTCCACATCCCAGCACTATCATCAGTCCTTGGACCACAGGATACGCAGGACCTATCCTTATGCCCAGTGAGAGCATTGAGAGTTTACCTACAAAGATCTAGGACCAGGAGACGAAAATTCAAGCGTCTTTTCGTCCCGATATCAACAGCGACACAGACGGAGGTCTCCCGCACTACGATATCTATCTGGATCAGAACTGTCATACTACGGGCCTACAAAGCAGCAGGACTTGATCCTCCAAGAGCCTCCAACCCACATGAAGTTAGAGCTCTGGCGTCAACACTCGGTCTACACGGGAATTGCTCTATCAGAACAATAATGGAGGGCTGCTTCTGGAAATCGGACATGGTGTTTGCCAACCATTACCTGAGGGACATCGTCACCGAAGACGTCTCCGGCATTCACCATTTCGGCCCACTTGTTGTAGCACAACAATTGACAGTCCTGCAAAGGCACTGAGGTGATATCTCGCCCTTTTATCACATGACTTGCAAAAAGCCTACACTCAGGAGAGACTAGCCTAAGTGATATGACCCAGGACTTGTAAGGATACTCGTACAGGAAAGGGTCACTTCTCCACTTGATGCTTGCATCAAGAGATGGAGTTGCAAAATCCACATTAAAATGTTAACAGAAGCAAGGACCAAAAGTTAACAATTGTGGTCCACCCATCAGAGAAAGCTGGAAGTAAAGGGTTACAGCAGCAGCAGAGCACAGCAGTAAATAGAAGTTCCCAGGGGGGTATATAGACGTAATCACTACATGGAATCCAGAAGTGGCGTGACCCACCACCAAATCCGACGGATTCTACAAGCAAAAATACATGAGTCAGGATAAGGAAAAATATGTAAATTTGTGAATAAATTTGATATTTTATACTTATCCTGACTCATGAGGTAAGCCCTCCCAACTTCCCCGCTAGACACTTTGGATTTCCCCGTAAATTAAAGTGTCGGGCTACCAATTCGGAGAGAGTGAAGCGTGGGAAGACGGGTGGTGCCTCTTTCCCGCCAAAACGGCGAGGGAGATAACTCATGGTGAGTAGTGATTTTACGTCTGTTTTATTGAAAGGAGCTTCAATAAGGAGATACAAGTGTTCCACTAACGTTCGCAAGAGGAAGGATACAAGCAAAAATACATGAGTCAGGATAAGTATATAATATCAAATTTATTCAGAAATTTACATTATTCTACTATTAAAGTTATAAAGTACTGGTTACGATTGTTAACTATGCCATGTCATAGATTTCCTAAGAAGTGTTATAATATGATGATGGTATATGATAAAAATGGGAAAAGAAATTGGGTAACTAATGTAAGGGAATTTTTATTCAAAACGGGATAAGGTTATGTTTGGAATAATCAAAACGCCCAACCAGAAAATTCTTTTATTATGTCACTGACGCAAAGAATGAAGGACGTCTATCAACAAAAATGGCTTGAATCTATCTTTCTATCCTCTAAATGTCTGTATTATAAACATTGGAAATCTGAACTATGCCAAGAATATTATTTACCAAAAATCACTGTAAAGAAATTCCGTGTAGCTTTATCCCGTTTATGCTGCTCATCACACGACTTGTTTGTTGAAACTGGGCATTCCATGAATATTCCGCGTAACCATAGAATTTGCAACCTCTGTAATGTTAATGCCGTAGAAGACGGATACCATTTTCTTTTTATCTGCCCCGCCTATGAAAACCTTAGAAAGAAATATTTAACATCCTACTATTATTCATATCCGAATGAAATAAAAAATGACTATATTATTAACAAATGAAAATACTATTGAATTACAGAACCTGTCAATGTATATCTATTTTGCATTTAAACATAGAAAATCGGCTTTACATTTGAAATCTGTAAATATTTGACATGTGCTTTTCTGCTGCTCAGTTGTAAATATTGTGTATATAAATGTACTATAGGCCTGTGGCCTTTAAGTACTGAATAAAGATTGATTGATTGATAAAAAATAATCGAGTCTGGACCAAACAATTCAGTGATCAACAGCATGAGCATCAATCTATGCAATTGGGATACGATGACATGTGTCAACAAAGTAAAAGATCCTGACCAACCGACCCTGTTAGTCACTACTTATGACAGTCATGGGTTACCAAAAAACAATTCTAACCCAGATCTTTATTTGACCCAAATTCTGCAGCAGAAATCAGTATAGATTTGCAGATTGAATTGGAAAGATTCTCAGTACATGGATTTATTGTTGTCAATATTCCATTATTTATTCTCCTTGGCCAACCTTTGTATAAAGCGATCTCAAATGATCCAAACTGTCATAGAAGAAATACTTCAAAATGAGCTTCATGCAAGCATTGTGCTAAGATCTCCTCATGGAAAGGGTTCCTCATTCAGAAGACTTCTTTGATGATGAATGTGGTGTAAAACATTAACTTTTTAACTCGTTGCTTAAAATAACTGAACAATCACATTGCAATATAGTAATCAGTAATCTCTTTCCCTCCAGGATCGTTATATACAGAAGCTGGTGCATGCCATGGAGGAAGTGTTTCAGGAAAAGTATGGTGTTCACCCCAGTGTCGTAGCAGACGTACATCAGTTCATGTACAAGCAGTCAGGTATGTCATAGCAGTCATACCCCAGTTCATGTACAAGTAGTCAGTTTTCTTGAAGCAGATGTTCATCAGTTAATGTACAAGTAGTCGTGTATATTATAGCAGACGTATACCAGTTCATTTACAAGCAGTCAGTTATCTTGAAGCAGACGTACACCAGTTCGTGTACAGTAGTCGGGTATGTCATAGCAGACGCGAACCAGTTCATGTACAAGCAGTCAGTTATCTTGTAGCAGACGTTCATCAGTTCATGTACAAGCAGTCAGGTATGCTGTAGCAGACATACATCATTTCATGTACAAGTTGTCATGGGATCCATAACAATTTATACTTATCTGAGGGGTACACAAAGTCCGTGGCCTTGCCTACCAGTTGTCAGACTTCCATTTTTGTGGAAGCCACGATGGCTAAGTGGGTTGGGCAGCTGACTTTGTGTGCTAGATGTGTTCAAATCCTGGATGGGATTCAACCCAACAAAAGTACTAGAATCTGTACTTTACTGAGAAAGTGTAATATCAGATATAACATGAGCTACATGGATAACATGATTGGCTAGGCAATAGGCTGATCAGGCCAGACAATTGACAAAGGGAAAGGTGTGGTAGCTTTGTGTGTTTTAAAGATCTCTTTTGAGTGACATTTTGTTTTTTAAGGAATTGTGGGTGTAAAGAGTGACACTGTCGTCCTGGCGACACAGAAAGCCATCCAAGAGAGACGTCTTTACCGTTGCCTGATGTGTGATGCCATCACTGAATACAGCATCCCAGCGGAGTGGTTCCAGCGTGGGGGCAGTCTGTATAATCTGGCAGTACAGAGTTATGGGGAGCTCCGCCATGATGTCCAGTACTCCTTCCGAATGCAAGGTGCAGTATTCAGTAGTTCTTGTACAATATTGTGTTCTTTCATTAAAATTATCTGTGGAAAGCTGCATCATGCCAGAAAGCTGTTATCCTAGGTCTGAGCCCTGTTTAACTTGTTTCTACTTCCAAATTTGTCTGCTCCATGCTTGTGCTAATGGATTTAGAATTGACCTTCAGTAACCTTTGCTTGTCGTAAGAGGCGACTAACGGGATCGGGTGGTCAGACTCGCTGACTTGGTTGACACATGTCATTGTATCCCAGTTGTGTAGATCGATGCTCAAGCTGTTGATCACAAGATTGTCTGATCCAAATTGATTATTTACAGACCGCCGCCATATAGCTGGAATATTGCTGAGTGTCGCATAAAGTTAAACTCACTAACTCTTTGGTCTATCTTAAGGTGTGGGTGTTGCGATCGTCTTTGTCAAGTCAAGTTGACCTATGACTAGAAGCACTGCTATGTGATTGTTTGGCTTAGTTGACTAAAGCAACACAATTTGTTTCCTGTGATACATTGGGCTTTCCACTTTCAGTCACCTAGCTTTGTGAATCTTTTGCAGAAACCATTGTCCTTTGGGGAAAATATGACAAAATATATTATGTGTATTTTATCATTTTATATCAGAAAAATCTGGCTAAGAAGAATGAAACAAAGGAATTGACACAATCTATTTTAATCCCAATAAAGCCTGGAACTTTAAAAAGATAATCATTTCAGGATTACTTTTCTACTTTTGAATAGAATAATCAAATTTTCAGATGAAGCAGGGAGTCATGATATATTTTTGACAAAAAATGAGAATGTATATGATTTACTCACTGTATCTCATGTCACTATTGTATGTCTTCATCCAGGTGCTGTCTGTTCCTATGACAAGTATAATGACCAGCTGATTTTGAATTCACAGTTGAGCAAGTTGTCCAAGTGTGCTTTCTGTCAAGGGTAGGTAAACAGGGCAAATTTTCTGACACTAGTGTCACTGTGTGAGTGAGTGAGTGAAGTTTTACACCACTTTTAGCAATATTACAAAAATATCATGGCAGGGGATACCAGAATTGGGCTTCACACATTGTACCCATGTGGGGAATCAAACCTGGGTCTTCGGCAGGATGAATGCTTGAGTGAGTTTAGTTTTTTGCCGCTTTTAGCAATATTCCAGCAATGTCACGGTGTGGGGGACACCAAAAATGGGCTTTACACATTGTACCCATGTGGGGAATCAAACCGTGGTCAGGATGAGCGAACGCTTTAACCACTAGGCTACCCCACCGCCCCCTGACACCAGATGTGAAGACATAATTATGATTACCCTATACGTGATTTAAGGGATGATTGGTTGAGTTGTTACAGTGTGTGATCATGATGATGCCGTCAAAGTTAGTGTGATTGTTGCTCATGCTATCAACCACTGGCATAGATTGTCCAGACAAGGTCATTTAGAGAATGTTATAAACATGATAAATAGGATCGGAATTAGTTGCTACAGTTAATTATTATGGATTTTGAATTCACATTATTGTGCTAGGATACAGCATGATATAATATGTAAAATAAATATTTAGACAAGGTGATCACGATGACTGATTCATATTACTTATCACACAAGTACGGATAAAATATTCTGATTAATAAATTCTAAATCAGAAACATTCATTGAAACCGTTATAGAATTTCACAACTGAAATACCCATGCAGTATTCGGTAAGACTTCCACCCGTAGCCCCCTGTATTTTCACGATGAGGAAAACTTTCTATGAGTGGCATTTTTAGAAGTTGGATATGTCTTTCAGTATGTTCAGATACAATTAAAGAAACATGAAACATGTTAAAACCCATCCTTATCAGATGAGTAATATATATTTAGGTGATATGATTTGACTAGAATGAAATTTATGGGGGGATAAGGGCGGAAGTCTTCCCGTGTGATATTGATAGATTATGAAGGAAATGTAAATATATCCTATCATTCAGACATGTGCCCATGTAATATGAAGAGTACAATTAGATGATGTTTGGGCAATTTACTTTTTAATTGTTGTATTATTATTCATTGACTTACTGGTATATGTCTTTGTTTGTATTGTTTACTGACCTTGAATTAATGCGGAAACATGTTGGCTTGACAAATTGAGGCTGTCTTCTCTGTATGATTGTATCTGACTGTGTCATTTGTAAGCAAGAAAGTATAGAGACTGGCCAGTCAGATTACATAATCTGGCTTGTGACTTGAGTGGCTTAGACAAAGAGAGTTTCTTCTGCCTTGACAGAATAATAGAGGACAATAGCTCAGCATGAAAGCAGTGTTATCAATACTGACTTACACAGCCTTACCTTTAACCATACACACCCACACATATAACTATATTACATTACATGCAAAACAAATAAACATGAGCCCTTTTGTTCTCACAACTAATCCTTTTAACTCCAATAATGTACAGTCATGGGTCTTTTAAGTGTCTTGAAGCACCATTTATTAGGCAAATCCATTGTTTGATATTTAATATGGTAGTGTGTACCAGCGGCACTTTTTCGCTATCCACTGAAGCCCCGCATAGTGTGAGTGTGTGAGAGTATGGATTTACGCTGCTTGTAGCAATATTCTAGCAATATCACAGCAGGGGATACCAGAAACGGGCCAAGCCCCACAAACTTACCCATTTTATTGCCACGTATGAGGTGCACTCAGCTCAAGTAGCACTTATTTACTGTCAGGACTGAGGGACAGGTTCCAGGCCACAGGTAGAGTAAAGGACAGACCTCACTCTGGAATACCCAGAAAAGCAGATGACGGAAATGTTCACCACGTTTCAGTTTATGTATGACTATCAAATTTTAGGGTATTCCCATATTTTTGTTTGTAGTAGATAATTAAATCCCGCCGCGCATTTAGCGTGAATTGAAATATCTTAAGAACCATTGACTAGATTCTTTTCATATTTGGTACCTAGGTTCATCACAGTATGCGGAAGGTTGTTGACCTTGACCTTCATTTCAAGGTCACAAGGGGACTTTAACGTTTTACCCTTGTCAGCGTGATATCTCAAGAACTGTTCACTGCATTTCCTTCATATTTTACACCAAGCTTCATCTAGGGAAGATGCAGGGCCAAGTTGATTTTGGTGACCTTCACATGATTTTCAAGGTCCAAGCGACACTTTGAAGATTTAAGCATGTTAACCTGCATGTTAAGCTTTTCAGCAAAATATCTCAAGAACCATTCCCTGGATTTTCTTCATATTTGACACCAAGCTTTATCTAGGGAGGATGCAGGGCCCAGTCATTCTTTTTCAGAAGAAGTCCTCCTTGGGGTACATATAAGCATTTAAATGTCCATTTTAAATCCTACGACAGTTGTAACTATATTTTTTAATAAAATATTTACAAAACAAAAACTCGTTTTTGTCTTGTGAGATCACCCCTACAGGGCCCCACCGGACCCCCTACAGCCAAGAGCAGGTAACTCTCGCCGTCTACCTCGTACCTCTCTTTTCATGCTGTCGTTCTGTTGAATCGACGTGCGTGGTGTTCGTTTCGAGTTTGCTCTCCTACCGATACGATGAGTGTAAAAGAGTCTCAATCTGTATGTATGGTTCCTTTCTTCACGCTTGCGACGGGCGTTAGATGGGCGTCATATGTTGATATTCTCATTCATCTTTTGTTGTAACTTTGCCGTGGGTTCTCTGTTTTCCAGCCATGTGGCAGGCAAAATGGCGACCCAGCGATCTTGGTTTCCTTGCTATATGTTCTTGGTAGCTTGTAGTAGGGAGTTCATATATTATGTTTGCATATTATATGGTAGGCTTGCCTAAATTCTCTTCCTTTTCAGCGAATTTGTGGTAAGTTGTTGTTGAGTAATTTTGATAGTGTTCGTTTCGTATCACTCAACTTTACTCTATCACTAGTATGTACACGCAGGTTTGGCTAGCCTTTTTTCTGCTTTGCATTGTATGTTTAGTATTTAAATGGCTGTAGGTTGTAGCATTTAAATATCGCCCTTGCGGGTTATTCTTGCTATTTACTTGTGTTTATGTGTTTGCTGCTTCACAGTTCCTGCTAGTTACACTGGCGTGGTTCTGTTTGTTGCAGTTTAAGCCCTGTGCGTTGTGCCGTGCACACTACCGCCACAGGATGGTCATAAAGTGTGCCTCCGGTGTTTAGCCGAGGATGCTCAGGACGATCAAGGATGCTCATAATAAACGCCCTTGCGTCAATATTATGTTATGTTATGTTATACATATACATATTTCATATGTTTACACACTACTTGGCTCATAGGCCGAGGTTGTGTTTTTTGTCTGGGTTTCTGCGCCTCACGCGCATTCTTTCAGACACGCAGATTTTATGTTTTTCACAAATCTGCTTCAGGCGGGGGATAATATTTGATGAAAGGTTTCTAAGGAAATCCCTTTATCGTTCCCCCGCAAGCAATGTTGCTGCCTTAAATATTGACTCAATTGCTTCACTATTTCAGCAACATATGCTTCGGCAGATGACTAATGTGAAGTCATGATTGATAGCGCGATGTCCGGGCTCCGTCAGGAGCTCTGCTCGCAACGTGTTGATCTCGATGGTAAGTGAACCAGGTCTCGTCTGTGAAATCACTGATTGACACAGCTGTCTGGGTTCCGCAAGGAGCTCAGCATGCGCCTGTCGTCGGGGGTGGATCGGACGCATCTTGGGGGGGTTGGCTGCGGCCCGAGCTCTGGCTCGGAGAACGCGCCTCCTCCCAGGCAGCTTGATCCTGGCTTCGGCTCAGGTGATGGTGTGCCTTCGGCACCTTGTGGCGACCTAGCTTTGGGCTCAGGTTCGTCACAGGCGCCTGGCGCCGGCGATGCAGGTTTCACCCAGTCTTCGCCTGGTGCCCTGACTGGCGGCAGCCTCGGCGCCGACCAGCTCGGGGGACACCTCGGAAGCCTAGTGGTCAGTCGGGGTTGCCCGGAAACCTGTATGGGCAGGTTCCTCCGGTAGCCCGGTCTGGGTTCCACTGAGCTGCCGATCACCTCGGCGGCTCCTAGGTCTACCCGTGTACACCAGGGGAGCCCTGCATTGTCAGGCGACTCCCTTGTGTCTCGGGACTGCAGATCGGACTAGCACCGACCTGGGCTTCGGCCCCGGTACGGAGCAGATCCCGGCTGTTAGCTCAGGTCTCGGCCTGATGTCTATCGATGCCCTGGCCAAGAGGCGTTGAGTGTGACGGAGCTACCGATCACCTCGGCGCCGAGGTCTACCATGTGTACACCAGGGGAGCCCTGCATTGTCAGGCTACTCCCATGTGTTTGGGATCGGGGTTGAACTTCGAACCGCCGACCCGAGCACTTACGTATATATATATATATATATGTATATATATATACACACATATATATGTATGTAGATACATATATGTATGTATGTATGGTATATTTATATAGCTATAGGCTATGTTTGACTATATGCTCAGTGCGCTTTGGAGAGTACTTGGGGAAACCTGATTTATCAGGCTACTCCCTCGTGTCGGGATCGGGGTTCGGTCTAGAACGCTGAGCCGGCTCGCGGATACTCTGAACCCGTGGTAGCACCGACCCAGGCCGGCACTGGTAGGCATGAGATTCCTGGCAGCCGGTAGTTCAGGTCTCGGCCTGATGTCTATCGACGTCTTGACCAAGATGCTATCGAGTGTGCCGGGTGTGTCGGTCACCTCGACGCTCCGAGGTCTGTCTGAGTGCTTGTGAAACCTTGATTTGTCAGGCTTCTCACATGTGCCTCGGAACCGGGGTTCAGGCTTCGTACAGTGGACAAGTCGATTTGAGCTTCGGCTCATTTCGCTACTTTGACCTTACCACTGAGTAGGTTCGTCCCTGAGGCAAGTGCGAGATAGCATCGCGGCTGTGTTGCCTCAGGTGTTGTCCACGTCGAATACCCGAACCGTTGGAGTTCGCCTCCCGGAGAAGCCTGCTTCCAGCAAGGCATCCGGGACAAGGCCTCACACTCTACCGTCAGTCTGCCGTTCTTTCCCCTTAACAGCTCAACGCTGTATGCTCCACTCGGCGCATCTCTCAGCTCTGCTGAGGGAGCTGGTGGAAAGGGGAGAGCGCCGGTGGAATTTTTTCGTCGGCGACTCTGGGCGGCATCTGACGGAGGTCAACTCTCATCTGGCTAGGGACTGCATTGTAGCTGTGCCAGCCAAATGATGAGTGCGGTTATGGGCCTATGACGCCCGGGACTGTTTCGAGGAATACGGAAGTCTGTCGAGCTTCTCGTTAATTCCTCAGGTGCCCAGGCACCGGCAAACGTTAAGTTGCCGACTGCTGGGGTTTACTGTATTCTGCCGCAATCCCCGGTCGGAGCGACACACTCCAGTGTCAGCTTACCCGGAGACGGCGAAAATACTCCGTGCCGAGATCCAGTCTCGGCTGGGCAAGGCAACCAGCGTGGTGGTTTCCAATGGTCAGGAAAATGTGGGGTTTGACTCCATTTATGTCATCGTTGCCATTAAGAACGGAATGTTCAGACCCATTCTCATCTGAGAGCTGAACAAGTTAATAGAGGTACGGTCCTTCAAGATGGAGACACTGCGCTCTGTGATCTCATCTGTCGACAGGGGATTGGCGCACGTCAATCGACCTCGAGGTCGCGTACCTCCTTGTTCCATTGCACCCTGATTTCAAGATTTACCTTCAGTTCTTGTTTGACGGGACGTGCTACCAGTTTTGTGTGCTCCCCTTAGGCTACATTACGGCGCCAAGGGTGTTCACCAAATTGAGGTTTATTACAGCTCAGATAGCCAGATCGCAGTGCCGGTGTTGTCATCCGTACCTAGGTGACTGGCTCATCGTGGTTTTAGAATAACAGTTGAGTCTGGGGACCTCACGATCAGTGTTGGTCACTCTTACGAAACTGGGCGGAATTGTCAACCTCACGCAGTCAGATGGACAGACGTCAGGCGTCTCTCCGAGGGGCTCCCCCTGGAGACACCGTCGCTCTCAGTCCAGCCAGATACATCCCTACCGGGTTAGGGCGATGTTCTGGGCGACCTGCAGTCTCTTGACGACGAAGTCACAACCTGCACATCAATGTGCTGGAATTGACAGCAGTCAGGTTGGTGTTCGATCCCGCACGCCGGGATTCGAATTACCTTTTCGGCCAGACATTCTCACTCTGAACCGGGCGCCACACCCGAATCCTCGGATTCACTGGGTGGCTTGGCCTCTGTCGGGTATAACGCCCAGACACGCGGAATTCCTGCAACCGTTGCAGACACAATTCTGGCTTCGCGGCGGGATTCGACACCCGTTCAGTGTGTTGATAGGTGGGGCGCGCTGGTGTGCAGATAGGGGGATTTCATAATTCCTATTCTGCGGATTTAGTTCGGATATTGGAGTTACTATAACCTCGTTTTGGTTGAGAGCCTTATGACCTCCACCATTCCCGGGTACTCCATGGCTATTTCCACGTTTCACACCTCGTTCGATGGTGCTCTGCCTAGGCAGCATCCTCTCGTACATCGCGTCGTAGCTGGCATGAACAGGGTTCGACCGCCTCGGCGGCGACCCAGCCCACCTTAAAATTGCCACTTATTCTCAATTGGCTGTCTGGCCCTGATTTTTCAAGTATATCGTCTCTCTCACTTCACTTGTTGACGTGGAAGACGACTTTACTTGTTGTGGTGAGCTCTGGTAGAAGGGTCGGGTACATCCATGCGATTCCCACTGACCCGACACTGACAGTATTTTATACTGATCATGTCGTATTCGCCTCCGGATACCTACCACTCTCAGTCGCGATATTGCTTTCCGCGTGACTGCTCATATCGCACTTCCACCCCTTACCCAGCCTTCCACACCGGGGACCAATCTTTCGATTGCTCACCCGTGACTGTAACGATAACGAGCGAACAAAAGGGATCCGTCACGGGTACCCATGTGTTCTGTTTGGTGGCGGGAAGACTGGGGAGTCTGCTAGCAAAGCGAACTTTATCTCGTTGGCTTGTTTCCGTAATTGTTCGGTTACAATGATAAGGTTTACCTTCCCGAGGGGTTGAAGGCAGACTGGGTAGGGCAGATGCGCTTTGTTGGCAATACACAGCGGCACTGCTCAATGAAAGATCGGTTCTGTCGCTCTTTGGAGCCGGCAGAACACCTTCATCGCCATTACCAACTTGACACGCATTCTAAGGATCGTGCTTTCGGTTCGGTCTCTTCGGTTCTCTCCAGTGGAGAGTGTCCTGCCACCCTGACCAAGTTAGTAACTGGTCATTGGTATCGGTTCTGTGTTCAATGTCGATATATTTCATATCACTACATCATTATTAGCCTTACCATCCTTTCGGGTTGGGTCGGGTTTGGGTGTACATCGTCCCTTACGTCCTCTTCAAGAGGGGGGTCCGTTTTGAGCGCTTTAACCAGTCATATGCTATTAACCCGTCTTGCGGCGGAATTGGAGTCTGAACCCCCACGGGGCACTGTTTGGTATGCCTCTCTTCGAGCCGCATGTCACGTGACCAGGTTAGTGTAATGGTGAGCCAACACATGTTCGGCTACGGCTTTTAAGCTATTCAGGGGATTTTTTGCGGCTTACAGTTTTCCCTCTTCCGAGACTTGGTATTTGGGAGTCTGTGTTAATCAGCTTTGTGGGATGGTGGTCTACACTTACCCTCCTCACGCCGAGAGTGTTTGGTGAGTGTTTTATCCTGTTTTCACTTTACAATACAATGCATGGCGTTTGTACTGTTTTCACTCGTACAATGCATTCGATTTCCTCAAAGATTTTAGCGAGGCTAATAATTTCTCTGGGTTTTATCGAGGTCCCGGCAAGCCCTCTTCCAAACAGGAGGGGTGCATTCGAGCATTAGTTTGCAGTACTTATTAGCTCGACTCCTGGGTTATTGGCTTTTTAGCGTTTAAATTTTTACGCTTTCCCTACCCTTATACCTCTCATGCGCTTCTCTGGCTGGGGCTATATTAGGGTTGGGAGTTGTTTCGGCATGTCCCCATACATTCCTTTCCATTGTAATGGTTGGGGGTGGGGTTTTATGTCATAATTGATTTGAGCCAATTGACATATAAGCTTGGGCTCTCTAGTTCACGCCCCCGTCTGATTGGCATCAGCGGTCAGGTGGCTCGGTAGGTGTTTTTTCTATTTCCGTATCGGTTGTAGATTTCACTCCACCACGGGTTTAGTTGTTGCCAGACAGAATGCCACTCCCGTCTCAAATATCTTTGGGAGTCTGTCATATGCTTATATGTACCCCAAGGAGGACTTCTTCTGAAAAAGAATTATACAAACCTGTAGAGGTTATGAATTCTTTGAAGAAAGTCCTCCTTGGGGTACGGCCACCCGCCTCCCCTCATTCTGTCTGACACGTTCAGCATGAAAAGTGAGGTAACGAGGTAGGCGGGTGAGAGTTACCTGCTCTTGGCTGTAGGGTCCGTGGGGCCCTGTAGTGGTGGTCTCACAAGACGAAAACGAGTTTTTTGTTTTGTAAATATTTTATTAAAAAAATATATAGTTAAAACTGCCGTAGGATTTAAAATGGACATTTAAATGCTTATATGTACCCCAAGGAGGACTTTCTTCAAAGAATTCATAACCTCTACAGGTTTGTATAAATTTTGGTGACCTTCACATAGTTTTCAAGGTTACAGTGACACTTTGAAGATTTCAGTTTGTTGGCGTACATGTTCACCTTGTCAGCGCGACATCTCACAAACGATTCACTGTATTTTCTTCATTTTGGACACAAAGCATCATCATGGGAAGGTGTAGGTCGACTGGTCATGCCTTTAATAACATTTAATTTCATCTTAAAGTACAACCTTCACTTTCATTACTTTTTAAGTTTGATTTGATAATTTGCAGCGGGGGATTATGTCACCTTAGTGACAATGCTTGTTAAAACTACTCATGATCCAAGAGACTAGTGCCTAGTTAGGAGAGCCTTTAGCTGTGCTCTAAGCACTGTTAAGCACAAGTTGAATATATCTGAAACTGACATGAAATTATTAATGATACATAGTCTGTATTCAAACCTTTCATTATTATCCCCCGCTGTGCGTTTAGCATGAAGCGGGGATATAGTATTAGACTCCGTCCATCCGTATGAATTGGAATATCTTAAGAACTGTAGACTAAATTCTTTTCATATTTTCATCACAGTATAAGAAAGGTCTCAGTCGGGTTTGGTGACCTTGACCTTCATTTCAAGGTCACAAGGGGGACTTTAACGTTTTTCTCTTGTCAGCGAGATATCTCAAGAACCGTTCACTAGATTTTCTTCATATTCAACACCAAGCTTTGTCTAGGGAAGGCGCAGATCCCAGTCGATTTTTCGTGACTTTCACTTAATTTTTACAAGGTCACAGCGACACTTTGAAGATTTCAGTATGTTAACCTGCATGTTAAGATGGTCAGCGAGATATCTCAAGAACCATTCACAGGACTTTCTTCATATTTGACACCAAGCTTCATCTAGGGAAAGTGTATCTCATTTTATTTTTGTATCTGTTAACAGGGACAGAGTCCGCCAGGTGACTGGTAACAACAGCATCCTGTACCAGAATGGCGACCGCACACTCACCCCGTCCACGTCCACACGCTGCACGTGTGGCTTCAAGCACTACTGGAATGGCAGGGAATATGACAACTTTCCAGAAATGTAAGGGACAGACACAAGTTAATATAATTGTTTTCTCCAAAAGGAGAAGCCTGATAATTATTTCTATTGGTCCACATGATATTTTGTCCTCAAGTATCCATGGCTGGACTTACCAGTTTGAAATCTGGTAATAACAGTTTCTGCTACCATCAGTTTGCCTCCTTATAAATACTTTTATTCAACTTTTATTTACCGCTGCCAGTCTGAGTTGACCATTGGTACCTTATTGGTTGAAGAATTCATGATTTTGGTGTGTTGGTAAAGCAGATAACATTTTATAAGAAGAATATAAGACATGCACAAAATATCTGTACTGTTTTAAATCCCGATGATGAGAACTTATATAGGATGTGATGACTCAAGCAGATAAGTAAATATTTTGGTTTTTAATGTGATTTGTTGCTCTGCTGGCAGACTGCCTGTAAAGTTGGAGTGGAATGATCGGACTATCAAGGAAGAGGTGGCATGGTTCCAGTATGAGCAGGACCCGTCTCTTAACAGTCACGTGTACAAGGTGGCCCAAGACTTGGTGCAGAAACACTTCCCAGGTGAACACTCCAGGCTTGTGGGGATTCTGGGGTTGATGATGTCCCGATCAACCTGTATTGGCCATAACGGGCCAGGGTAGCCATGTTTAATGACTTGATCGATTGTGTGTCCTCATACATGGCCAGGATGGGTTTTTTTCTCACAATATCACCCGTTGGATTGTCTGGTCCCGATTTGATTAGTTACAGATTGCTGTCACTTATCTGGAATATTGCAGGGTAAAACAATTAATAAACCAAACTCTCCATATGGTATTAAGTTCCTATGGGATTCTGTAGTAGAATACATGTCCCATGTAAGACATGCTTGTTGCTGGGTTATCCTTATGTGTGATGTGTCTGACAGTGTGTTATCGTACTGAGATGGAGATGGGTGTTACACCATCAATCACATGATCCCATCTGGATTATTTACAGGCCTGCACAACACAGTTTAAATGCTCATGAGTGTGGTAAAATGAAAGTGACAGTGTAATTCAGAATTGGTTATAAAACTTCTTCTTCGCAGACCACTTGACCAAAGGCAGGTTTTTACAGGACACAAAATATGCATCCTATAGACATAAACATTTAGATTAAGTGCAAAAGATATCCACTTCAAGTCATATTGGACACAATAGTTTATGGACGAGGGAATCATTGAAACTTAAAATTCAGTCATCTAATTATTCTTGTATTGGCACAGGTGAATTTGGCAGTGAGCGTCTGGTGCAAAAGGTTGTAGACAAGCTTCTGAGACTGACAGCTATACCAGAGAGCAAGAAGGAGACATGTGATGGACCAAGCTCCCCAGCACCCCCAACACCTGCAGACAGTGTGTGGAGTCCAGACTCACCATCAAAGATCATCCTTTCTGGACAACAGGTTGATTTTTTTGTAAATTATACATTTCACTGATTGTTTGCAATAATAAAATCTTGACCTCCGTTGCATCCCAAGACTAATTTGCACCTTGAAATTGCCAGTTCTTACTTCTTTCACTTACAAGTTGTTTATGAAATCGATTTGTCCAGTATGATTAGTATCTTCAATATGTTAATGAATTGTTTTACCGCAAATAATATTTTGTATGAAATGTGTGTCACAGCAATATTTGCAGAGTATAAAGTCACGAGAAGGAATGATCACTGGATTGTCTGGTCCCGATTTGATTAGTTACAGATTGCTGTCACTTATCTGGAATATTGCAGGGTAAAACAATTAATAAACCAAACTCTCCATATGGTATTAAGTTCCTATGGGATTCTGTAGTAGAATACATGTCCCATGTTAAGACATGCTTGTTGCTGGGTTATCCTTATGTGTGATGTGTCTGACAGTGTGTTATCGTACTGAGATGGAGATGGGTGTTACACCATCAATCACATGATCCCATCTGGATTATTTACAGGCCTGCACAACACAGTTTAAATGCTCATGAGTGTGGTAAAATGAAAGTGACAGTGTAATTCAGAATTGGTTATAAAACTTCTTCTTCGCAGACCACTTGACCAAAGGCAGGTTTTTACAGGACACAAAATATGCATCCTATAGACATAAACATTTAGATTAAGTGCAAAAGATATCCACTTCAAGTCATATTGGACACAATAGTTTATGGACGAGGGAATCATTGAAACTTAAAATTCAGTCATCTAATTATTCTTGTATTGGCACAGGTGAATTTGGCAGTGAGCGTCTGGTGCAAAAGGTTGTAGACAAGCTTCTGAGACTGACAGCTATACCAGAGAGCAAGAAGGAGACATGTGATGGACCAAGCTCCCCAGCACCCCCAACACCTGCAGACAGTGTGTGGAGTCCAGACTCACCATCAAAGATCATCCTTTCTGGACAACAGGTTGATTTTTTTGTAAATTATACATTTCACTGATTGTTTGCAATAATAAAATCTTGACCTCCGTTGCATCCCAAGACTAATTTGCACCTTGAAATTGCCAGTTCTTACTTCTTTCACTTACAAGTTGTTTATGAAATCGATTTGTCCAGTATGATTAGTATCTTCAATATGTTAATGAATTGTTTTACCGGCAAATAATATTTTGTATGAAATGTGTGTCACAGCAATATTTGCAGAGTATAAAGTACGAGAAGGAATGATCACTGGATTGTCTGGTCCAGGCTTGATTATTTACAGACCGCTCCATATAGCTGGAATATTTCTGAGTGTGGCATAAAACTAAACTCGCTCACAGGAAGGAATGTAACAATAAAATAACACCAAACTACCAGCACAAGTTGTGAGTCCTCTTTAGATCAGTAAAAACAAACATTGTTGCTGGTGTTGTGTTTATGTAACTAAAATAACATCCTTGATTATTCATTGTATCATATTCCCATTCTATCACGATGGGCCCATTTGCCATCACAGATTTGTTTTGATGTAGGTTTGAATGACACAGTGCTAAAAATAGACATCCAGACAAATGACATCCTTGTTTTATGATTTAGTGAAGAAACTGTGTTACCAGTACTTGTATCCACCTTTAAGTGCCACTACAAATACTGGAGTGTCTTATTTTATAATGGCTACTGGTAATAAATTGCTTCTACCAGTTGTATTTTCCCCTTTAAATACATCAAGGATAACTAGGAGAATGGTGACGTCACTTCTAAGGTGAAGTTATGGTGGTGAATGATCCCATAGTATAATCATAATAGAAAGATACTCTGGATAATAGTGGATGTTAAAATGATAATGTCTTCTTGCCTGGAGTTATGTCCGTTTCACACTTTCCAAATGCAAATTCATCGTATTGGAGCAGATACTACTATCTGGATAAAAGTAAAATGATTTCCATAATCCCTTCATTCAAAAACTGTAGCATCAACAGTGCCACTTATTTTTTAACTCTAAATTTATAACAAAACATCCACACTACATCACACTTAATTGCAAGACTAGTTCAAGTGTCAGTATAGTATACAGTATTGAGACATTAAATGTTTCATTCCTCCCCAGCAAAAGAGTATCCACAAGGAGGAGCTAACTATGAGTGAGACTGAACGAGCTGTCAGACACAGGATCGAGTCTAATGCACCGAAACAGCAGCAGAAGAAACCTGCAGACCCACAAGCCAAAAAGTCTGGAAGCCCCGCTCAAAGTCCTCGAAAAGTGAGCCTTGTCTGATTCTGATTTCAGTGTAACAAGTTTGTTGTTGTTTTGTCTTGAAATTTAATATTCTTACTGGAAATGTTTTGATCAGCTCTCAATTTTTGCAGGTTGGCTGTTATTTTATTTTAAAATCTAGACCTTATAATGGGTTAGTTAATGGAACATTTCTTACATGTTTGTAGACATATGAAGTTGATTTGACAGTTGTGCGTCATGGATGGTCTAGGTGAATAAGGAGGAGTAATTCTCTTCATGGAGATGAAGTTATCACAGTTGTAGGGCTTTTTTAAACTGGGCCCTTATTCATGTGCCAGGGTCAGGTTTGCACAGGTTATGATCAAAGGTTTTGTCACCCACATTCCTGAATTCATGGGTTTCACCAAAGTGGTAAACAAATATGGACTGTAGCTCTTTGGGCTTGCCTTCCATATTATGCTGAAATGTCTGGTCCAGACTCGATTATTTACAGACTGGTTATATAGCTGGAATATTGCTCAGTGCAGCTTCAAACAACATCAAAACAAACAAACACACACAGCTGTTGGAGAAATGTGTTATCTGCAAACCTGTGAGGTTTGACAAAGCAAATGATGTAATCCTTTTATCATCTGAAACAAAGGGTGTTATCATCAGAGTTATGCTTCTTCTGAATCCATCAGTACAACATAAAACAATAGCAAATACAAAACTACAATTGCAGAGTACACCAGAGAAGAAACCACCTCCGAAGGAGCACACTCCACCTCCATCTACTTCATCAACAGCATCAACATCTGTGTCGACAGCAACAACATCTACCACTCAGACACCAGGAAAGAGGATCAGGCTTGCAACATCTGATGGGAGACTGGTGAGTAGTGTTAAGATAGCCATCTGCCCTCTAGCAAAGTGCTAGTGGAATATGATTTGGACCAGTAATAATTTATACAGCTATACCAACTGTCATGTTGAAAATCCCAGGCAAGCCTTGCTTATTGCCATGAAACATTGATATGAATGAGACACTAAGTCCCTAAACATTTTGTTTTGTTTTGGCTATCTCTCGATCAAGTTTAAACAATTTGAAACCTGGGTTCCTGCAGGATTAATGCAAAAGCATCTTAACTTAGCGCAGAATGAAATATAACAATAATGCATATCCATATGTACTCTAAAGTGTGATTTGATTGGCTTAGAACATGTCCAATCAGCATGATTGTTGTTCTAGTGAATGATAAGAGATTCTTTGCAAAAAGGTGGCTGCTGTGTACATTTGAAGTGAACGTTGACTGTACATACAGTTTAAAAGTTGTGAAAGCAATCCAGTAGTCACTGGCACAAAACAATTAGAACCACATCTAATTGGGAGATAAAATGAGAAATCTGGAAATCCACACCTTTTGTATTGGTAGTAAAGTTTCATGTTTGCTAGAAACCTTTATGTTGACTAGTCTTTGCCAGTGACATTTGAAAACTAAAATCTATAATCAGAAAACAGTGATATAGGAATTAATAGGAGCATATCTGGCATGTATTTGGGCATGTGAGTGTGTACATGGGGCAGATGAAGTGGCGCTGGAGGCACAATTGAGTAAGGGTCGGTGATTTATTGTGGTACCAAGCTAGGCTACTGATATTACTGAAGGGGACTTGTCTGGCCATGTGTTTATTGCTTACGAACGTCTACTATCCTATCTGTTCTCGAAACATTCAGGGCCTTACGAATTCTTAAATTTAAGAAAAAAACTAAGACAACTAGTAGGCTGTTGTAACTTGAGATATGCAAATTAAGGATGGTCATATTGATTGTTTTGATGAATGATGTGAACAGGGTGAGAGTTTATAGAAACTGGACGAGGTATTTGGATTTGTTGGATGATCGGGTATTAGTTTCACCTCTTCGATTAGTATGTCCACTCCTGTGGCAGACCAGCTTGAGGTGCGTTGCTTCCTAGAAGGAGTGCTGGGAATACAAGACTCGGGCACTGATAGCTGCCAACTCAATTATTGTCTGCCTTGTTTGTAAACATGGGAATCCCCTTGTGCTTGTGATGTCACGGAAAACCCCTACTAAATTTCCCTTTGAGACAAAAGAGCCCGTTTCGTAACTTACAAAAAGTTACTAAACTTTAATAGTCATGAAGGGTGTTACGAAGTCAAAACGAACATTTCAAGAATGGGTTATCTTAGGAATTCTTATCTTTTGGCGAAAGCAGTTGAGAATTTGTAGCTCTACGAAAGTTTTGAGAATAGGAGGGCTGGGGGTACACTATTCTGGTAACAGAATGGATATATGATACACTTGATAATGGAGGATGTTTTCAGGTTGGTTGTGTTTTTGCAGGAAATGCTGCATCTGGAGTCTGACGTGACCTTTGCCCAACTACAAAAGTTGATATCAGATGTCCTTGACATTGCTCCACAACGACAACGTCTGCGTCTGGGTTTTCCTCCGAGAGAACTGAAGGCAGGGACTGAGCCTGTTTCATTACAGCATGGAGATAAACTGTCAGTGGAAATCTTGCCCCTTCAGAACCAGGTGGCATCCAGTAGCAGACCGCACAGAGATGGTACAGACTGCTTACCTGAGAATTGCATTCACCATAATAATAATGATAGAAAAAGTGAACCAAGTATGCCTGTTTATAAGTACTGATCAGAGTGCTGTTGTATGAAGCAACTGTGATATATCAATGTTAAGGTATGGGAGTTAGTGCAATGATAACACTGTACAATAGCACCCTGGAAGTGACTATGACTAAAAAATAATGATCATAAGAATCAAGAACTGAGTATCGCTCTGTGCTAATAAAGGTAATAATTAACAGCTGGGTATTTCTAAATATTTATGATGTAAATAATCAAGAACTGTGTGTCACTATATGATAATGATGATGATACATGATAATCAAGAACTGTGTGCTGATATTCAATGCTGTTGATAATCAAAAACTAAGATAATATTCATATTTGGTAGATTCAAGAGAAACTTTGTCTCCAACCCAGAAGATGGCATGGAATAAGTTTGATGAAAATATCCCAGCGGCAACAGCAGAAGCACTGCTGGAAAGTCTAAAAAACCAGCAGGCTGGTGAGTAGCATGAACAGCAGCATCATAATGAGAGCCTGATTGAAGCATTCAAGAAGGGCTGGTATAGTTGAAATCTACTCATACTTGGCCTAAGCAGGACAACTCCAGAATGGGATCTTCAAGCGGATATGTATCAACTCACATGCACACTCTCTCATTTAGTATCACATCCCACACACCCAACTACAGGCACAGACAGTATTGACAAGTCTATCTCACATGTTACAGCCACAGACAGTATTGACAAGTCTATCTCACATGTTACAGCCACAGACAGTATTGACAAGTCCATCTCACATGTTACAGGCACAGACAGTATTGACAAGTCTGTCTAACATGATACAGCCACAGACAGTATTGACATGTCTGTCTCACATGTTACAGGCACAGACAGTATTGACAAGTCTATCTCACATGTTACAGCCACAGACAGTATTGACAAGTCTATCTCACATGTTACAGGCACAGACAGTATTGACAAGTCTATCTCACATGTTACAGCCACAGACAGTATTGACAAGTCTGTCTGACATGTTACAGGCACAGACAGTATTGACAAGTCTGTCTGACATGTTACAGGCACAGACAGTATTGACAAGTCTGTCTCACATGTTACAGCCACAGACAGTATTGACAAGTCTGTCTAACATGATACAGGCACAGGCAGTATTGACAAGTCTGTCTAACATGATACAGGCACAGGCAGTATTGACAAGTCTGTCTATCATGTTACAGCCACAGACAATATTGACAAGTCTGTCTCACATGTTACAGCCACAGACAGTATTGACAAGTCTATCTCGCATGTTACAGGCACAGACAGTATTGACAAGTCTGTCTGACATGTTACAGCCACAGACAGTATTGACAAGTCTGTCTCACATGTTACAGGCACAGACAGTATTGACAAGTCTGTCTCACATGTTACAGCCACAGACAGTATTGACAAGTCTATCTCACATGTTACAGCCACAGACAGTATTGACATACCATCTAGTATGTTGTAGACATACACAGTATTGACATGTCCTTCTGTATGCAACAAACATGTCTCTTTTATTTCATCCACAGACACTATCAACTAGCAATCTCATATGTTACATCCACAGGCACTCTCAATCTCTTATGTTGCAGGCTCAGACAGTATTGACATGGCTATCTCATCCATGGCCCTACTGGCCCAGCTGTCTGGCCGAGATTTGTGGACGTATGTCTCTAGTCAACCCCACCTCTTCTCAGTCGGAGGCTTGTTCTACAAGCAGGTGGAGAGGGATCTTGGCCTTGCCCCGGGGAAACACTGCACGCTGTCCTCCCTGCCTGGCAAGGTAAATAGGTTTTCCTTGGATTGATAACGTTAATATACGGTAGATTAGAGGTGGTCCAGTTGTCCATGATGTAGATCTCTGCCATGATGTCTACAGACTACCTCTGTGGTGTATAGAGCAGATGGTCTGCCTGGAGGCAGTTTCATTAAGTGTTATACTAGTACCTGATGTTAAGTGATGCTAGTTGATGTTACCCTGCCTGCCATTCAACATTAAGCAAGGACTGGACACCTCGAATCCATATGGTGTAACTGAATGGGGGTCCATCTTAGGATCGTTCATACTTTAGGGGGGGGTGGTGACGATTTTAAGGTGGGGTTCACCCATTTTGTTCTGGGGAGCTAGGGGTGTCAGCAATTTTGTACATAAAATGATGTTTATAATTATGCTTAGAAATTATGGGAAGGGGAAGGGGTCATTGATTTTGTACATGACATGCAGGGGGGTCACTTATTTTGTACATAAATTTTAGGGGGGTCATCCACATTATACATGCTTCTCCATAAAAATCATCGTTACCCCCCCTAGCCATAAATTATGAATGGTCCCTTAGTAGGCTAGCACTATAAATCCAGCATTAGATTGGACTAGTAGAAGCTCTCTCACACTCCTCCATTCACATTGCTATTTGAAGTTCAATAATCTTGAGGAGGAGTGGGGTAGGCCTTGTGGTTAAAGCATTCGCTCGTCGCGCCGAAGATATCCGGGTTAAAGTCTGGTACAGTGTGTGAAGCCCATTTCTGCTGTCCCCCATCTTGATATTGCTGAAAGCGATGTAAAACTAAACTCACTCATTCACTCACTCTCTTGTTTACTTGAAGTATAGTATTATGGAAATTATCATCTGGTTACAGGTATTTCGATACAACGCAGAGGCTGACCGACTAGAACTCTGTCTAGAACCACATGGTCATTTTCAAGTTGAGCCAGACATCGAACGCAAGGTCAAGTCTGCAACCCCTCTTGCTGAGGATGACACGGAAGTCAAGTTCGGGTCAAGTGGGGTCATATCAAGAGGGGAGAAAAGTCATGTTGCTTTCTCTGGGCATGGCCACTCACTTCGTGCTTCGGAGGGAGACACAAGAATGCCAGGGGATCTTCCGGAGTCTCCCCGAAAGGCACAAGCTAGGAAACTTACAAATTTTTGTGATCCCTCCCAACCTCATGAAGCCATCAGTGAGGAACCAGAGGAGGCGTCATGTGACATGCAAGGTGGAACTGCCTGTGTTGAAGGTGCTAGCCAAGCAGAGCCTGCTGTTAAGGTTGACTATCAAAAGATTGGTCCAGGATTTAGTGTGATCGACCAGTCAGTTTCCAACACAACTAATGAGAATGTAGATGTTTTTCGCAAACTTGCCCAGGCAATTGAGCAGACTGTAGCATACTGTAATGACTTTGATGAACCATCTGATGCTGGGGTTGCACACAAAGATGAACATATGGAGGGACAAGATGAGAAGCTGACAGATGGACAGGTAGGAACATAAGGCATCAGAATCAGTTCCAGGTGTGAATTTTATTTTTCCAGTTGGAGGCAATGATAGAATGTTATATTTTATCTCATCTTACATGTACAGTATTTGAACTTTGTTGAGTGAGTGAATTTTGCTAAGTTTCCATGTACCCTTGTAGTTACATAGTACTGGTGAAATATCTCTGTCGTCATGTCAACAGACGATTGCTTATCTCTGTAATCCCTGCAGTTCAAGCTTCTTACAATGATGCAACATGTAATATTCATTAACATTAACACTGAGTCTTAGGACCTGAAATATACAAATTGTTGTGTTGAGCCTGCCTGGCAATATGGCAGCAAACCCTATGGTTTCAATAGATATCTCTTGAGTCAAGTGTGATTTTTGTGTCACAAATGTGATAGTGAATATGTTGGCCTTACACACACTGACCCCATTCCTCTCATATCTTTAAAAGTTTAGTCTATGTAAGAAACATTAAAATTCTCAGAATGCAAACCAGCAGACATCCTTAAGTATGTTGTTTCAGGTGTCTGGTAGTGTAGAAGACAACAAGGAAGAGAAGATGGACACAACGTAGTGACACCTGACAACAGACAATCTGCGTATGTAGTTGTCATGACGAAGTAAGACCTGCCCGTGTAGCCGTCATGGCAAGGTAGCTGTCACCAAAGATTACATGGTTAAGGCCTGGGTTGGATATGGAACCGGCCCAATGGAGCTTCAGACTGTCAAAAACTCCTCTTGTTTGAATGGTAATACTGAGGTGTACTTTTGTGAGTAGAATAGGCTAATGAATTATCTCCCTTTCTTGTGTCACATGGATGTCACAGGAGAATTTGCAGTTACCTAATGATGATGTCACATACTTCAGGAGTGTGCAACTAATCAAAATTGTTACCAGTTTGTTGTTCTTACATTAAGTTCTCACTCTCAGTGAAATAATGCAGACTTTTGAACATCAGCAGGTTAAAGATCCAGTCCTTGAAATTTGTAACTGCCAGACAGAGTACCATTCTGTAGTGCCATTCTGTCGCTAATCATCATGAGTTGTACAGAGTAATTGGAATGTGAATTTTTTAAAGAAACTTTATGAGGGCACTGTAAGACCCGTTAAGTTGCACAAACTATCTTAGCTGTGCATTAAGAGTATTAACAAAACATTTTGTATAGATAGGCAGCTGCCTGGTACCACAACCCTTTTGTCTTTGTTATCATCCTTGATTATCTAGTATTTCGAATCTGGTTCTATTATGATAAATGCTCTGGGCTAATTCTTTTGACTTCAAGCTTTGTCACCAAAATTGTAAACATATTAGACATTCATCGCCAGGCTTTCCTCCCATGCTGTCATATATACTGGAGCACTGTTGAAAGTAACATAAAACTCATTCAAACATTTACTACTAAAATTAGTTTTAGAAGTAATGTGAGTGAATCTCAGTTATCATAAATCATTAACTTAGCAAGGTGTTTCACTGGCGCATGAATTAATTTGACTGGACAGCTATTGTCATTGTCCTATAATTGGATAAGACTTAAAACAAAGTACATTATTGAAAGAGCTCAGTGAATTTTTCTTATTAAAATGAAAATGTAATACACTAGATGATCAAGGATGTTATAGAATAGACAAAACATGGCAGTGGCTAAGATCACTGTGCATTGTCCCATTTGTTATTGTCTGTCATCATGCTACAATAGTTTCGATTGCAACAACCACCACATTTTTAAGATCCCGGCTTGAAAACCTTTGGGTCATTGTGACAAAGCTGCAATGTGCTGACGAGGCCAAAAACACAATTCGTTTTCCTATTCCTTTTCTGTGAAGGGAGACTTCCTTTTTATGCTCTGAATTATGGATAGTGATGGTTAGCCTGGTGCACAGTGCCACAATAAAGACACAATAGATTAATTATTTTATTTTAACATAAATCTTTCAACATTAGGAGCAGGGAGGATTCTTTTTAACTTATCAGGTCATGTGTGTGATTCATATTTGATAGAACTTAATAAGTGGTGCTTTTCATCATGTAGAGAAAGAAGGCAACACACACATTATAGTAAATAGTGATGCTGAACCAATGAAAAGCTGGTAATAATTTATTATGGCCAAATATGGTTATACTTGACCATAAGAAGTTAGGAATCATAAAATATATTTGGGGATAATTATTTGAAATTCTGTCGTCAGTCTTAACTGCAAAAACAAATGTCCCCAAACTGTGTCCCTAATTTGTGTTCTTCTGTTTATGTTAGTACTTTCGGTGCAGGGAAATCATTGAAGGAAATAATCACGTTGGTGAAACTAGGCTGAATAACATTCTGGTAAAGGTTGTGTTAAAAGCTAATTTGCCATGATACAACGATGACCATTTATTGTATCATTATTATGGTGTACTGTTAAGTATAAACTGGGACAAATCTGGCTGATATCTCACCTGAAATGATGCAGATACATATATTTAAGTATTAGAGATTTTATATGTTGTTTGTGGTTATGTTGTCATAATATATCAGAGTTGTGTTATCATCATAATGTTGACCTGTGTATATACTGTTAGAGATATTCAGATTTTACACCAATGAGAACGTTTAGTTTGAGGACTTGGTTGATCATGTGTATTTTGAAAATGCTGACTATAAATATGCTACTGCTTCTGAAGAGAAAATAGTTAAAAAGCTTCTTTTCTATATTTTGCTGTTAAAATAATTGCTAGTGAAATATATCAATATGTTTAGTGCATCTACCTGTATTCATGATTTCATTATTTAATCTAATGTATTAATGAAATGTTATAAATGACCAAAGGGTATTTTCATTACCAGTATATATTTTATTTAATCAATGTCTATCCATAAACAGACCTTTCTCATGAACAGTATAGTTGTGGTGTTTAAGACTGTAAGTCTCGATTAATTACAAAATATTAAGTCATCAAAAGAGAAAAAATGTTAACATAAACAAGAAATTCCCATGCCTCTTACACTCCTGGCTAAATGTAATTTTTCAAAAAATCCAAAAAGAAAATTTCAAACTGATTTGTTTCTTGGTAGTATTTCATTTTGTCTAATCTGTTCTGTTAATATTATCCCTGAAACCTGAATCCTGAGCCAGTTAAATATTCCATTAAGCTAATGAAAGAGAAATTATTCAAAATCATTATTGGTAATTTCTGTTAGTTGATGTTTACGAACCAAGCTCCAGTGGTTGGTGATGTTGAAGAACAGAATCACATCAGAAACCTCACAGTCTCAAATGAGATCTTTCACTCCTGTATGATACCTCCCTGCGTGAAGATCACAGGACACCATAGAAGTTCCCTGAGCAAACTTTAACCACCCAGTTCAAATTAAAGATACTTTGGGTGTTGAAGCAGTCTGATGTCAGCTTTCTAAAACTAATCGGTAACTTCCTAATTACATTTGTTTTCAAAAACAGAAATAATAATGATAATATTCTTGTCTGAATGCTTCGCTCACTTGTAACAAGGATTTGGGAAACTCAGTGTTGTTTGGCTCATTATGGAGATGTTCCCTATTCTCCATTGCAGAGAGGTATTGTATCAATTTCTCAGAGACAAAAGGTAATGACTACATGAAATCTTTACACTCTATATTAATTCCAAAGAAAAGCTATTCTATTATATATGCTGCTCACCTTGCTGTTACAGGTACCAGTAATATTTTCTTTATGCAAAATGATATTGACAAAAGGTTACAAAGCTATTATAAGGTACCAATGTACTGTTGCTTGTGAATGTTCACTGTCATCAACAGACTAAAGTGTTTGGGGTGTTTTCAAATTTGAAGACATTTTGAAATTTTCAGACTTTTGTGTTTAACAGTGCTGTAAATATTGTGCTAACTTCTCAGGATTTTATGAGATGCGAATATATTCCATTTGTACAATTATATCTAGTATAGAACAACCATGTATTCCCACACTGGTCTGTGATATTTAGAGTGTTTAAATATCCTTGTTTGAAATGTTAAATCATTTGGTTTTAGATTCTGTGGTACTAATATTGTTTGAAGTGTTTTAAACTAGATATGTTTACCAATCTGTCCATGTATTCACAAGGCCTTATTGCAAACATATGGTGATGTGAAGATTTTGCATTGCTCTGTCTTCTCTGGCCTGTGTACAGAAGTCTTAAAGCCATCCTAGTGTTACAGCTGTTTGGGAGTTGTGATTGTCTTAGTGCTAAGTCTTGTAGTGGAACAGGACCCAGGTGAATCTTAGCACTAAATTTGTGGCAAGTCAGTGTTGACATATGAGAGTTGCTATCATCTTAGTGCTTAGGTCACTTTGTGGAACACCCTGATGCCCTTACCACAAATGTTCTCGACAGAACATATTAATGCAATTTGACCTGTGAATAACTTTGAGATTCACAATAATAGACAATATCAAATCTGAATAAATACTATAGCAGGCCAAATAGTGTATCCTGTACTTACAACTGAGGAGGTATGTTAATAAAATGCTTTGCTATTCCTATGGGTGCATAAAACATGTGTGAATCAACAAGAATTATTGAATTGTAGCTTGACTAAATTCATCTAATGTTTCTTTTCTGATAGAAAATTTGATTAAAGTTCAGACTATCTGTTCTGCACCTGTGAATATGGACTGTTAACATGCTGTGTAGTGTTAATTGTGATGGATGTTTATTTTCAGTAAAGTGAATTGAATCCATGAATGAACCCTATTTTGAGTGAACCCTAGAATATAAACAATGAGTAGAGTGCTTGGATGTGATGCATTTCATGAGAAATATTTACAATTGTACAGTGTAACCTAACTACTCATTTGTTTTAGTATTTGCCAGATTCCAATGTTCTGGCTGGACTTGTTGGTGAAAAATAGTGACTACAGGCATATTGGCCTTAGATATTCATGGGTGATATAAGAACATAGTGTACAGAAATGCATGAAGTATTAACAATAAGTGATTGCTTGTTTGTAATTGAGTGACTAACCTCTTGAAGGGGCCATGAGGTGGCTCAGTGGACAAACTAAACAGTTTCAGAGTCCTTGAGGTTTGCTCCTATGGTGTTTGAATCAGCGTACCCACTAAATATGTATTTTTTTACATCAGTGCTATGACGAGAACCCCTTGATGTTCAAATTTAATTTGAACACTGTAGTACCACGTGTTAGCACATGAAGCCAAACACCTGGGTTTGAATTGCAAGATGTGTCAATATGTGAAGTCTAATCTTGGCCTGACCTGTGATACTGCTGCAATATTACCCAAAGCCCTTTGGTCCATGTCAAAAGTTTTGTTGATGCAACAGCATACGTGTAGTGCCATGTTCCGTTGTAGCTTCTAGTTAGTTGTATCTGTAGACCACAGTGGAGGCTTGTGTCTTCTTTGATCTTGGCCAAGGAGCAGTTGACAACTGCTTGTTCTACGTAGATGATATCAGGTTATTCTTCTAGTCTTCTTGTGATTTAAATGCTTCCATCTTGTGGCTTGTGATTAAAGTAATTGATTTTGTACATGAGATGAAAACAATAATTGTTTGCCCTGAGAGAAGTATAAAATGTTCCCCGTCAAGCAGGTCATTTATGACATTTTGTGTGAAAAGATTATTTGTCGAGATTACATTTTGGTTTTGTCTGGAAAAAATGCAGTGTTAGTATTAGTTCTATGATTGACGTCATTTTCATGTAAGAGTTACCTTCCCTTTCTCATTTTGCCACCATAGACACTAAGGAATTAATGAGAAAGCAATGCCATGGTGACCTTCACCTTTTGAAAATTTGGTTCAAATGGAAAACATTTTACTGCATGGATTATGGATTAGCATATTAGTTAGTGCACATTAGCTCCCTGATCAAGAAAATGGGAGTTTGATTCTTTACACTCTCAGTCAAGCCTATCTATTTCAACCCTTTACATTCATTTGCTAGCCTAACCCACACCTGCATTACATTGAACGCTTTATACCATTATGTATAAATGAAATTTTCATTCCAAAATATGATTATTATTTCATACAGTTTATATGGATATAACATGTACATAATTAGAACTTATGAAGAATTTAAAATGTCTAGGTAAACCGATTTCAGAAATGTCAGTAACAGCTGATTAAATGTGGAATGAGGAGAGGATCCATATTTACTTACAGAGAAATTTACAATGCATGTTTTAGAATTGAACATTTTTCTGTTAGTGCATATGCTTGAGGATAGATATCCTGGATTGGGTTGGTTTCAAAATTATAACTTTCAACCGTTAATCAAGGGCCATAGCATGTTTCATGTAGTTGGAGGGTTGTAGTTGCTTTGAAGCTACAGAAAGGTGATGCAGTGACTTTACGTTTACAGTCTGTAATTTTAGGGGGACGATTTGCCTCCCATTCCCCCACTCCTAACCCCATATTCTTCAGCCAAGATAATCCATTCAGTTAGAAATGTTTCACTGATTTTTAGTTTTAAATACAGGAAGAAGTGAAATAAAGCAAGTGCATACAATCTATGAGTTTGAGTGAGGGTATCAGCTATTTTTGTTTTCTAAAATTCCAGTTAGTAATTGCTTTGATCTTGAGAACTGAAACTGCACAAAATTGTGTGTCTTCAGGCATGTGCTGGGAGCCTTGTGTCCCAGTATTTTAATGCTGTTGTAGTCAGCAGTGCAGTGTAGCATTGCTGGGTATGTGAAAACATATGATTTGGGGTTTGAATCCCGGTTAGCCTAGATTATGGTTATACCCATGTTTATGGGTTATGTACTATACCCATGCCTATGGATTTTAGGGGCAGTGGGGTAGCCTAGTGGTTAAAGCGTTGGCTTGTCATGCCGAAGACCTGGTTTCTATTCCCCATATGGGTACAGTGTGTGAAGCCCATTTCTGGTGTTCCCCACTGTGATATTGCTGGAATATTGCTAAAAGCGGCGTAAAAGTAAACTCACTCACTCACTCACTCACTATGGATGTAAGTAGTAAATGTGTGAAACAGGCATAACTTTAGGGCTTTGCTATCACATCAAGCTGACATCTGTGGTAGACAGAAGTACTGTTCAAAGCAGAGTTAAACCCAACTCACTCACTTGATTGTTTCCATTTTGCAGTATTTGAAACTGGGTCCTGGGGGTCTGGTGCTATAGCATTTGAATCTTGGGATTCCCAAAGCATGTTATAGGTCCCCAGCAACCTATGCTCTCTTAAGAGAATAAGTGGATAACGTTGGCAGGCTCAGTGATTGTGTTAATTGCCATCGCATCCCAATTGGTCTTCACTAACCCATGCTTGTCATAAGAGGCAACTTACGGGATCAGGTGGTCAGGCTCGCAGACTTGGTTGGCACACGTCATCGAATCCCAATTGCGAAGATCGATGCTCATGCTGTTGATCACTGGATTGTTTGGTGCAGACTCGATTATTTACAGACCCGCCATATAGCTGGAATCTTGCTGAGTGCTGCATAAAACTAAACTCACTCTCTCACTCACTCACTCACTCACTCACTCACTCACACATCCCAGTTGCATGGATCTATGCTTATGAGGTCAATCACTGGATTATCTGTCCCAGCCTTGATTATTTTTAGACTGACATCATATAGCTAGAATGTATCTGATTAGGCTTGAACAACAAACACAGAAATCCCATATTCATTTTTTTTTTACCATTAAGGCTATGGCTATCCTACCACAACACATAAAATGGCTGACTCGACTAATTTGGGTTGGATTTCTGAAGTTGGTTTACCTATAATACAAAAGCAATATTATTTTTAATGTTTCAGTGTGCCAGCCTTTGTATTCTTGTGTGATGTATGAGAAATATGTGCTTGTTATAATACACACCATGCTGCAACTGGCAAAATGTATATGATTCTGTTACCCCATGACTGTGGAAAGTCATGAACATGATCCATTTTATAATGTGCCTGAATGTTTATGTAACATAAATATTCTGATATTTAACTTATGTCTGTCACTCTTAGCTTGCTTAGTCATATTCAAATAGCCTTGAATGACATATCAAAATGTGGTTTGTCTTAAAATTCATATCTAGGCCTCAACAAGTTTATTTTTTGTTTGTCACATCTTGTAAAAATTAAGGAATATATGACCATGTGTTATATTTGGGTGAAGGGGATAGGTGTATTACAAGGGTGTATGAACATTAAATGAAACACCGAGAACAAGTAGAGTTAACGCTCATCACGAACCACACGTGCATTTGTTTCACTGTTCCATCTACTGCGCTCACCCCCTTGTAATACAAACCAATAATAGTGATTTGAATGTATGATCGTTTGTTAAACAACTTTTGTCCTACAATGAATAAAATTCTGAGATTTAAATGTTCAGTTGGCAAGGCAAATTTATGAGGATTCGCAGTCTTAATTTCACTTTATTTGATTTACTTTTTTGTTTAAAGTGAAATTCATCGGTACGTTTTCACTGCAAACAGACTATAATGCTTATCAAGAGACATAATAAACTAACTCTTGATATAACAAATGTTATATGTGGGTAGAAGCTGGCTGGGTGGATTTGATCAGTGACTTTGTGCGGATGGGACTGAACCCCTCAGAAAGTACTGGAATCTGTATGTTACTGATAACGTGTCATCCCAGATATGACAGATGTTATACATGACCACTTTTCTAAATGACAATGTGCATTTGTATTTGTGTAATTGTAATATATACAATACTGTCATACTGCATCACCATCATCTGAGGTTATTCGTGTCAGTTCAGACCAACATATGCCTGACCAAGTGTCTCCAACAGGGTTTACTGTTCCCTGACCCTGGATTTTATGCATGTACACAAGATATGAGGGATAACATAGGTCGGTTCATCGGTTGGTTCACATTACTGTTTCCTGCATCCAGTGTGCTAATAGTTTCCAAATTTTCCTTGCCAGTCGGGATAGCTATGCCTGAAAGTTTCTAGACCACAAAATAAGTCACTAGCCCAAAATTTGAATGTAGACATGGGCTCCATCATTAAGCTGCCAATATGATGAACATTTTTTTGAGGCCATAATCTTGCATGATTTATAACTTAACAAATCAGAGAGACTGATTTATTTACAAAATGACCCCATCAAAATTCACTAGCCATTTGGGCCAGTGACTGTGGAGATTTACTAGCCTGACTGGATTTTTACTAGCCATGGCTATTTCACACACTGCTTGTATCAAGCCATAACAAAGGCATAAAAAAAAGCTTGATGCATCTATTGTCAAGAGGGCCTGTCATGAAAAAAAGCTATGAATTCTCTGTTTGGACATTTCACATTTTCTGAATTCAAACAAATTATCAATTTGTTGTGGCCTTTGTCTTGTAAAAATTGTGATTTGTGAATTAAACCACCTCATTCACTAGTCATGAAGCATTTATGATCTCATGTGTCTTAATTTATTTGTGGTTTGAGAAATCAATGCTTTTCAAAAATTATTGATAGTGTTTTTAATTTGAAACATAGATGCAAAAACATGCTTCAAATCAAACTGGATACATTTTGAAGATTATGTAAAAACATTTCCTATGTCAAGAAAGATGTGTGTACTTAACTTTGTCTAATCTTTGCTGTGACTTGAGAAACTCCCTCTTTTTCTCATGCTCCAGTGTAAGCATGTCAGAATGTCCTGTAGCAACACGTCGCCTTGATCAGCTGATCACTTATTTAGTGCTGCGTAGAGAGAATCTTTTATACAGGTGTCTGATCTCAAATAACAACCAGTATTCAGTTCCCCCGAAGCCTCCTCCATACTGGCACACCTCTGTATACTGTATTGCTTCTCAGTCAAGTCGTGCAGTTAGGTAGTGAGGACGTTAAGGGTAAGCACTTTGTCCCAGACTGAGCCAGTCATTGTCAGGTTTTGTCACCCTTTCACGTAAGATGAAATTATCTGCAAGATAGAAGCTAATAACTGCTCTGTTTTCATGTGCTGATATTCCTTGATCGTTAAAACGTATCTATGAGTACGTCACACTGTAACTTCTACATTTTGACGATGTGTTTGCATCAGCTTTCATAAGACTATTCAGTACACATTGAAATATATTTGATACATATTTTATAAAGATTATAAACCGGAAACATTTCCCTTCCTCTACCACCTCCAAGCTTGGTATAACACCAACAAGATTCGGTGGATTTTATTTGACATGATTTTTTGTTTCATGCATATTGGGCATTCCTTCAAGTTCAGTTGAAGTCTTTCAAATGACCCTTTTCTCATGAACTCTAGGTACCATATTCTACTCAAAAGTTTTTTCCTTTTAATTTCATCTGGTTGGAGGTCTGCGTTGTAAACGAGTTTAAAGAAATATATATCCAAAAGGCCAAAGAAAAATCGGTTTTGCTATGAGTAGGGATTTCAGCACTGTTCTTGTCATGTACTGGTTCAGGACATACCGGGTATGTACCTGTTTACACACATTTTGTACTTGTGTGGGAAATGTTTTGGAATTACAGCTATGTATTAGAGACTAATAAATATTTTATAGTGAAAATAGAGCAATATATAGCTTCAATTTTGCAGGTAGTTGTTTCCCCATAATTGTGTACATGTTCATGGTATAAAGAATTTGTTAACTTTCTTTGTTCTGGTGTTTACTTATGCTGCTATTGTTGATTATGCACCAAGTGCTAGCTCGATGTAAATAAAACATGAATTCTTTCTACCTTTGGAACTCTTCTGTTTTCTTTGTTGCAGTATCGTGTTTGTTCAACATTTGTCAGTTTTTGGCTCATGTAACGTGAGTAATGGCTTAAATTAAAGCAAAATCTCTCTATCCTTCCAGTGGTATATGATTTATGTAGACATACACATATCTGAAGCAAAAAAGGCTATGAAAGTTTGCCATGGCAGCCATGTTCATTTGATTAGGAGTGACTGAGTTAAGTTTTGCAATGCTTTTAGCAATATCATGGCGACATTGGATTATTCAGTCGCCTCCACCAACTGGTAAAGGTTGCTAGGGACCTCTTCCATGTCGAATCCCATGGGGCTTTGTCAAGTTCATGTAGTTGGCCAAGTGTGAAATAAGCACCCTTTGGACTGAGTGAGTTAGTTTTACGCCGCACTCAGCAATATTCCAGCTATATGGCGGCTGTCTGTAAATAATCGAGTCTGGACCAGACAATCCAGTGATCAACAGCATGAGCATCGAACTTTGCAGCTGGGATACAATGACATGTGTCAACCAAGTCAGCGAGCCTGACCACCCTATCCCGTTAGTCACCTCTTATGACCAACATGGGCTACTGAAGATGAATTCTAACCCGGATCTTCACGGGTTGTACCCTTTGGACAGTTTGAAGACAGTTCATCCCACAGCACCAGTTCTGCTTACCAAAAGTGGTCCACTTGGCACTCGCATTCCAGTCCGCACTCCATGTCGAGCGAGTCAGACTCCTTACCCATTCAAAGTTTGAGAGTAGGTTGAGGACATTCGCTTTACCGGTTTGCAGTTATGAAGCACTGTCCCCAGTTCACTTCCTTTCCTTTTAACACAACTTTACTTTCTTCAACATTATGCTGAAGAGCCATTATATGAAAAAAATGTTCATAGTGGTAGGATACACCCAAATCACTTGCTAAACTCATGCCCTCAGCTTAAATCCTTTTCAAATCCTACATTTCTTCCATAACACCAGAGTTGCTGAACTAAAGTGAAAACATTACAAGAGAACATCTGAAACATACAAATTTATTATCTTACAAAAGGTCACTATGAAATATCAAATTTGCTGTTCACTATTCAGGAGCTGACAAAGTAAGTGCATGTCTACTGGATGCTAACAATGCTAAACGATATGCTAATTAGGCAAGATGAAAAGCTACAGCAACATAAATTTCACATTCCCAGTGTCTTCGGTTCTGAGAAGGAAATGGGATTACCCTATGGTGTGAAAAGCACTGCGTAGAATTTTTGACATAAACTCGAGTGTAAACACATGACAAGCATTTATGATCGAGAAGTTTCAAATAAGTATGAAGTTGCACTGTTCATCAGTAAATTTCTTCCACCAAGTCCTCAGAAGTGTAATCAAATGCATACAAAAACAAAATTTAATTAGAGTTCATATGTTTTATTCATATTTTCTACACTTCCTAATTTCAGTGACATGATAACTTTACTATTACAAACAAAAAGGACAGGAATGGAACAATCTAGTTCAGCAAAAATGACTTTCTCAAATCATTAGTAAAAGGTAGTTTCTCTGTCTGCTGCATATTCAGCAGTTTATAGTAAGGCAATAAGCACTGAAAAGCACAGATGGTATTGTAGTCCTGTTGGTGAGTGAGTGAGTGAGTTGGGGGTTTTGCCGCTTTTAGCAATATTCCAGCAATATCACGACGGGGTACACCAGAAATGGGCTTCATAAATTGTACCCATGTGGGGAATCGAAGTTGGGCCTTTGGTGTGACGAGCGAAAGCTTTAGCCACACTGCTACCCCACCGTCCCTGTTGGTATATTAAGTGAGTATAGAAGAACAGAAAAAACTACAAGTTTACCACTTCACTTTTCTATTTACAATGACAATACCACTGAGCAAGTAATCTCGTCAGAGTACTCTTGAACACCAAGCTGCATTTGACTAGATATATTAGAAATTCAGTTCAAACAACAATTTCAACACAGCACAACTAAATTCATGCTTAACCAAAATTCAAAACATTTCTACTTCACTTTTCATAAAATTGTCTGCAGTCATGATGATCTAGATAACATTGTTCCTGAAATGAAAAACCCAGGAAACAATTACTCAGGTGGCTGACTTCAATTAAATATGATAACTGTCCGTTTGTTAGTACAGACATCAGACATATCAAATACATGGTTCATTTTAAAAAAGGTGGAATGTCTCCGAAGTCCCCGAATCTTTAAATAATTTTGACATCAAGACTATGGTGCTGGGACAAGTGCCCTTTTTGAGGATGTCACACTTTATCAATATTTGTACATTTCAAAATCAATTGGGGTATTCTCAACTAATTGTTTGGAAAATCATAAGACTCGAGAACTTTTGAGACAACCCCTGTTTAATCTGGTATGAAAATGAGCTAGGTATCATTATGAACTTTGTTATAACTTAAAATATCAAGGCAAACAAATATTCAAAGATATCCGAATGTCTGAAATAGTTGTCAGAACAAAACGTTTTTGTTTGACTTTACTGAACACAGGTTTCATGAGAATGACCGAGACAGATCATCTCACATCTTTGGCAATCTGGACAAATTTTACATCAGTCTTTCTAAAATTCAGTTCAAGGGCACTTTTACAATTAATAGCACTAGATTGAACCAGGGCACCATCTGAAAAAATACTGAAAGTAAAACATGATTCGGGACAATGCCATTTCATAATGACCAAACACAGAGACAAAGCAGAGCCTCTTTGTAACCATAATTACTATGGTAACATTCATTAAAGAAGGCAACAATATATTTCCTTTTGATCAAAATCAAAGTCTCCTGTATCTTGAAAAGCAAATACCAACATTTGTGAGTTACTAAAAAATAATATGTTCGTATAAAAATTAACATTGATTGAGGATTCTCATTGAAAATTCATTAACAAGTAAACAGATTCCACAATTATGATCTGTGTGAGTGTCAACTCAAGTCTTTAATAAAAAGTGTTAAATCAGTCACTACTGACAACAATGATAAATTGATAAAAAATATTTGTTCGATTTCAGAACAAAGCTGTGACCTTGTGATAACAACATTTGATTCAATGTTTAAATTTGACTTCTTATTCAAACATATCAGAGATTGTGCACAATATTGCTAAAAACGTACCCTTACATCATGTACATTCCATAAATACAAGTTCAAATTCAAAGCAACAGCTACCACACATCCAACTGCTCAACCTGGTCACATGATGCTATCTTGAAATCCTATTGGACAATGCAGGAAGTCAAAGGTCACAATCCCTGAGCAGCTATCTAGTCGAGTTGAACTTTCCAAATGTAAGACAAATATGTCACGACAACTCCGGTATTTTGAAAACCTGCTTTAACAAACAAGATCTCTGATAATTCTGTACGTCCATGTTTCTTATGTTCACTGAGTGCTTGAAATGGTCTCATATTTATCACAATGCTTTAGACTTCAGAAGCAGTTATCCCTTCTCCATGTGATAAGACTTGGCTTTGTAACACAATCCTGTTGTAATTCTGTTTAACTGGAGGGATTCTTTCCAAACTGAAACACCTAAATGATCTGTGTTTAAAACTCATCATGGCGTGTAAGAGCTTCCCCAAAGTCTGTGGCTTGACTGCCAACGAACAGATCATACTTTTCGAGAATTTCCTCTTTTGTGAGTTTGCCATCCTGAAAGACAAATGAGTAAATAAGCCTAAACATAATATTCATCATCAAAACAGTAATCATAAGTTAAGGTTGACTCATACACACATAAGACATTTACTGTAACAAAGAAACTGGTCATTTAGTATTAGGTGGGTGGTCTAGTTCCTATATAATGTTCATCATTATAAAACAATTAATTACAATTTAAAAAGTGAATAAATTATATCATTTGCAGGGATGAGAATGGTTATGAATGAAAAACTGAGAAAAATGAACAGGGGTGTTGGGGTCCATAGGTCCCCATGTCAGATCCAATGACCACAGCGCGATCAAATCCGTAGAATTCTGTGGAAAATTCTCATCTCTACATTTGATAAACAGAACTGGCAATTTTTCATACCACCCCAACCCCAATATAAGTGTGACAAATTCTGGCAAACCACTTTTTCACTGTCAATCTTTACGCCACTTCCCCTTCATCCCTACAATATAAACTACCAGTCCCTTAGCTTTTGAATATGAGTAGTTGAGTGAGTGTTGTTTGACACCACTGTCAAGAATGATCCCTATTTTGCAAAAAGTGAAAAACATGTAGCACTGAATCGTGTTTGTTTTTATAGAAAATTTCTCATAAAATAATTATAAATCTCATCAATTAATAGATAGCAGGATCAGTGATCGACATCCTGCAGCTGTGACCACACAGAGTGATCACCAAATCCTCACCCAACCTATTCTAATTTGGAATTTGGAAGGTTTTACATTCAGCGTAAAATAAATAAGGACACATGTAAGTAAAGTCACAACTTGCACAATAAGACATGACAATAATGAACAGATACAGATACTACTGCAGCTCATAGTATTGTTTGTTTGGTGTTTAACGCCACACTCAGCAATGTTCCAGCTATATAGCGACAGTATGTACATAATCGTGACTGGAGCAGACAATCCAGTGATCAGCATTATGAGCATCGATCTATGCAATTGGGATACAATAACATGCGTCAACCAAGTCAGGGAGCCTGACCAACTGATCCCATTAGTCGCCTTTTACGACAAGCATTGGTTGCTGAAGACCAATTCTAACCTGGTGCAGCCAACAGTATCTAAGCAAAGCAGTAAATACAAAGCTAGCAGAGTGTCATGAGAAAGCCAGTGTGGGGAAACATGAGTGCCACAAGGTAAGGTGCTTGTTGTGACATCACATAGATCAAGGAGAGCAGGAAAGAAGAGGGCTAAAGGCTACAAAGGGAGCTAAGCGGTGTGGAAGACAGAAGAGGCTGAAGATATGGGTGAGGGTATTTCAGACTATTCCAAACAGAATAAACCCGGAAAAAAAGACCTGCTATATAAGCACACAAGAATCTAATGGTAATCAACTTCAGATGACCTTGACCTTCTAGGATGAACCAATGTGCAGGGTAGTCTGTCCATGGACTGGTGGTTTTTGATGGTCAGTAGAAATTTCCACTGTCTGGTCGCAGAAATTCAGCCATTGGCAATGAATCTGTCCTCAGCTCATACTATTGTCTGAGCTTTAGCAACTAAACATGGACGCTTGGTGCAAAAAATCAACCCTGATTCTGAGTCAAGAGACTGTCACAACTCCCAGACTTAAATGTAAAGGAACAGGACTGGGTTTTCACTGAACTTTCTATTTCTCTGTGACTCTGATTTGAGTTTTTCAAATGAACAAGATATGCATCCATAAAGGTACTCTTACAGACCATTCCTGAACTCAATATCTCATCAGAAACCAAAACACATCACACTCTAATATCTTCAGTAACACCCTGAAATAACACAATTCTGTTATGTTATGAAAAGGTATCATAAAATGAGAAATAAGCAAAAATGAAAAAAAAATCCCACAACACCTTCAAATAATATTAATCCTGTGAAAAGGTATCATAAGAAGAGAAAAGCGAAAAGAAAGATCCATGATCCAAACAAAAGTAAGATCAATTTGATAAGCTCAAACAATGCTTACACCAAAGAACGTAAGGCTTCATACCAAGCTGACCAAGCTGGCCAAGATATGCAAAGAGCCAAACCTTATCTTGCAAAATTATATCCACAAATCAAACACACAAAATGGCGTCAATGGTTACACAAAAAACCCAACTCCACTGTATTCAAGTATACCACACTAACCAAACCTCCATCCATGGTTACCACTTTTACAGAATCTGTATCCATGGTTACCAACCAAAAAAACAGACCTAAACACATGCTGAAAGAAATTAAATACTGAGGCTACAAACCTTATCAGCATCAGCCTCATGAATAAGATGCTTCGTCTCGGCCCGAGAGAGTGATCGTAATCAGTTGGAAGGATCCACTCTCTCACTTCCTCCCCATCCATTTTTCCATCTTTGTTTTTATCACGGTACGTATTAAATTGTTCACGTTCACTTTTCACCCATTCAGGCTCCTCCTCACCCTTATCTTTATCAGGCCACATGTCACCTACAAAGGTTAAAGGTCAAACAAAAGATGAGTGAAAGCTTGCTGCTACTAGGAGGCATACACAGCTGAACAAACCTTATCTGTGTCTGAAGACTCCATTAAGTGAGTGGCTTCAGCCGAACTGTGGTCATAATCCTCAGGGATAATCCATTCCTTAATCTCAGCCTCATCTAGTTTACCGTCCTTGTTTTTGTCTCTCGGAAACTGGAAAACTGCTCGCGTTCAGATGCCACCCAATCGGGTTCACCATCATGGTGGTCATCTTCCTCATCATCATCGTTATCCTCATCGTCCCAAATGTCCGCTAGAATTAGTTGTACATAGCATACACGTGCAAACATCAATGTGTTACCATGGTAACCTTTCTGAATATCATTTTAAACTATATGAATGCCATGGTAATCTATATAAATGTCATGGTAATCTATATGAATGTCATGGCAACCTATATGAATGTCATGGTAACCAGGGTAACACTTGTGGATATTTTCAACAGACCTTTTCTGAGCACCATGGCAACTATACCCAAAGGAAGAAAAACAATGAATATTTGTTGTCCATGTTGACTTTTTGTTCAGTCTAAATTTCCGAAATCAAGGTAGTAGAGAAATGAAGCATAATGAAATCATAAATCTGACGTTAGATGACTCAAGAACCCACACATCGTTCAGTTAGATTTGTTGGTTCATCTTCAAAAGACTAGGTATTGCAAGGCTGACCTCCTTTTTCTAGTGACAACAATATATCTTCTAAGCTTGGCTTATACCCAGAAATATACAGCATGTCAAAACACGATCAGTGACTGAACTTTTAATGTAGATGGAGGCAGTAGGGTAGCCTAGTAGTTAAAGTTCACTTGTCACACTGAAGACCAGAGTTTGATTCCCCTCATGGGTACAATGTGTGAAACCCATTCCTGGTGTCCCTTGCCGTGATGTTGCTGGAATATGCTAAAAGCGGCGTAAAACCATACTCACTCACTTTAATGTAGATGTATATGTGCACCTTGTATAGGATGTATGTAAGTGCTAATCACTTAATGTTTTATAGATACACCATAAAACCATGGAAATATTACTTCAGTCACAGGGGTGCCATTGTACTAAGCAACCTTGATGCTACGACCGTCGTAGGTCTGTCTTAAGGTATGGAAGTTACGATCACCCCAGCTCTAAGATTGCTTTACACAATAGCACTCTGGTGTGGAGAGCCCACTATGGTTCATGGTTTTTTACTTATTAAGAGCATGATTTACTTACCGATATATTCTTCAATACTGATAAATCCATCTTTATCTTTGTCAATATCTTCCAAAGTTTCCTGCAAAAATGAAACAAGATGTTTAGATTTGTCATTGCTATGTTCTATGGTCTTCAATAATGCCTTATTGATTGTTAGCGCTATGAGCATACCTGGTGTGGAGTTTGGCGCTGTATAAATGGACACATTATTATTAGTAGTAGTATTATTTTCATAGGTCTCCATCTCTTTTACATCACTTCTGCCCTAAGATAAGATAACACCTCAAGTGGTGGCCATCTCACTCTCAGATGATTAGTTTTACTCAAACTCACTCAGATGATCATTAAAATCAAATAATCAGCACTGAGCACTTCTAAATCCTTGGAATAAGTGAAGCATTCAGACAAACATCTCAGTTTTTTATGTCTCTCGAAGACAACATAATTGGGAAGTTCCAAATGAACATATAGAGATGAGTTGTTATATCATTGTATATATTTTATCAGGGATTTACTAGTACATGGAGTCCTTTATTTGAGGGTCCCTGGGGCTCTTACTCATAATTTTCTGGGGTCCTGGACAACAAAATGGGGGTCCCAGACACTTAAATATTATTATTAATACTGTTATTGTATTGTGTATCATGATCATAAATAACTAATAAATTTTGTTGCGTTTATTGTCAATTTTTATGCGTATAGGACGCAGGAATACCCGTCCTGTAAATCCCTGTTTTATGAATCCTGTCTTTCCTGAACACCATGGCATCTACACCCAAATGGGTTTCATTCGTACATTTGTAATCAATGGAAGTTGGCTTTTGGAAGATAAAAATGTCCAGGTCTTAAAGAACTACAGAGGAATGTTTAACAAAGCTGACATCGGACTGGTTCAACAGCCTGTGCCTCCTGACTAACAGTCACTGTTTGCCCAGGATTTGTGCAGAGTGGAATCTAATCATAGGCATTATATGGTGCTCACAAACCAAGCAACTGGATTGGTTGGTTGGTTGTTTAAATGCTGAACTAAGCAGTAAATAATCCAGTCTGGACCAGACAATCCAGTGATCAAGAGCATGAGCATCGATCTATGCAATTGGGATACGATGACATGTGTCAACCAAGTCAGAGTCTGACCACCCGATCCCATTAGTCACCTCTTAGTCAACTGAAGACCTATTCTAACCTGTATCTTCACGGGTCTGAATCGACTGGGCTTAGAACCAAGAACCTGGGAGTGGGATCAGCATGAAAGTCCACAACTCATGTAAAAAATTCAAAGTTGGTGTTTTAGTCTACTGCCCACAAAGACACACACACCCTCCCCTAGTCTGTCTCACAGTCCCTATTCCTCATTATTTTCCCTACTGCACAGCCCTCCCTGCAATGCTAAAGCTCTAAGTGGAGCAAGTCTAGATTTTCCCTGAATCTAACTGGGGTTCCTCTTCAATTTAAGTGGGTGTATTGGTTACCATCAAAATTATATATACTCAGTGACTATGAGTAAGTCTAAGAATGTCACTAAATCAAAACTTCTTTCACAAGTCAGAGGAATTCTGTACTTTGTTAGGGATAAGTTGGATGGAGGTGGAGATGTCACTTCTGCATTGAACCACTGGCTAATCAACAAGACGAGATATTCACTTCATAGAGATGTTTAAACTGCTCTTACATGGACAACAATCTCTCTCATATGTTCAGCATCTTCAGGGTGTAAAAAGTCCATGAATTCCTCTTTGGAAAGTTTATTGTCTCCATCTTTGTCTGCTTTCTCCCAGCGCCGTCTGTCCCTCTGAATCATGTCTCGGTACTCGTAGGTGGGTGAGCCTTCTTCTGGTTCTGCAAACAACAGTGTTACAACCAGAGTAAAAACCATCAGCAAGTCCACAACTCAACTGTCTATCTCACGATATTACCCACAGGGGCCTGGATCAAAGTGACATATTTTCAGTCATTTTTACTGAGCATCATGTTTTTGGCTTCATACTGATTTGCTAGTGTGTTAAATTGTTAAATTTTCATGGTTCATGTACAGGCACATTCAAAGATGATGTCATATTAATACATTGTTATACATAATTAAAGATGACTTCATTCTTTGCTCACAGTGTCAGCAATGATTTCCAATTACCATGGCGACAAAGCTGTAACAGTCAGGGACACCTGTATTTTTGTTGAACATTTTGCAATAAAAGGACCATGGTTAAAGAATAAGCTGCTTTCTATTTCGAATTATTGATTTATATTTTAGTGCCTCTTGCATCTTTTCATTCACTTCATGACTCGAGTAGTGTGAATTTACAACCTTTCCAAAATCCTGAATATGCCTACAAATGAGTAAGTGAGTGAGTGAGCGAGTGAGTGCTTTTAGCAACATTACAGTAATATCACAGCAGGGGGCACCAGAAATGGGCTTCACATGTGGGGATTTGAACCTGGGTCTTCAGCATGACAAGCTAACGCTTTAACTACTGGGCTACCTCACTGCCCTAGTGATTCCTGAAGGTAGTACATCCCTATTGTATCAAGTCTTGAAGACTTACCATCAGGGTAACCATATGTCCTCTTCTTGTAAGATGTCCACAGAAGCTTGTCATCCGAGTCAGGCTCATGGTCCTTCCACATCCTATCTGTATCGGTGATAATATACCGCTTCTGGACATATTGGATCCAGTCCTTTAACTCCTCTTCTGTGACAAAACCGTTTCCATCTTTGTCAATCTTGTCAACTATCAACCTGGAAAAAATAACAAAGAAAATGAGTTCACTGACACACACACAGACAGACAGACAGACAGACACACACACACAGAGTTGTATAGAGGAAATCATAATGTTTGTTGTTTTGGGCGTCAGTAAAACGTATTCAAGCTGAGTCACAACAGTAAGTACCAAAAAGAGTGGTTGCTATGATGAATGACCCCAATTCATCAGAGTGCAATGACACGACATCAACTACAATACCCTTCAGCATAGTTAACTGTGAACAGTTCAATTCCAGAATCCCAACATAGTGAGATCATCAGATGTACTTGATATGCATTTATGTTTCCATCGTCCGAACAGAAACAAATATATGGGCTGCATCAATGCATATCACCCAATGAAATAATGAATACCAACTTCATCTTATCACAAATGGATGCATGCTTTGGTCCAAATCGGTTACAATACCACGGTTAAGCATTTATCCACTTTGTTGTGGAAGAAAAACGGAGTTATTCCCTTTGACCTATTTCATTCAGAAAATACTGTAAATACTGTGAGCACATGAGAACTGCGTCTTACATCATTCCTACATAATACAAAACAATGCAGTTAGTATGCTGCAATTGCAATGCCTAAAGTCCTTCAGTTCAAGCAAGGAACATAAGAATGGTATCTCACATGTTAGCATGGTACATTGAATTTCAATAACAAGAAGACATAGTCATCAATATCCCCTGCCACAGTGTTCTGCTCCTATTTTGACAACTATTCATTCTTCCTACAAATACCTGCAATACCTGTCTATAACAGCAGTTACTGGGGAAATCTGTTCCCATTGGGGATAATATGCCCTAAGTCAAGAAACACATGAAAAGGGCCATAACTCTGTAAAGAAACGTAACACGGTTTCTATTTTCGAACAACATCAAGGCATTCATGTCCTGAAAACACATCAAATTTAACTTCCCTATCTATAACAGTTTCTCAGAAAATCTGTCCCCATTGGGGATACCCTGCACTAAGTCAAGAAACGCATGATAAGGGCCAAAACTTGAGAAAATCTGCCCCCATCATCTCGGACAGACACAGCTCAAACATATATCCCCCTCCCACTTCATGGTGGGGGATAATAATAGAATGTGTCTCTGCCAATCAGAATCCATTATTCATGTGTTAGATAAAAATTGTCTTTCCTCAGAGAGATGTTTGCTCACCCAAGTCTGTCCTGGCTCTCTTCAGGAGTGAGCTGGTCAAAGGTCTTGGCATCGTCCTTGCCAAGGAATGCATCATGGTCATAGTCATTATTGTGTTCACCATGATCGTCATGCTCCTGTTCACTCAGAGTCTGAAACACAGTCAAATAAGGTTCTTGGTGAAGCCATTTAGGAGATAAGCAATGTGTCTTCTAAGATTTGTCATTTGTGATTCATGAGAATTCATGATGTTGCACTTTGTGTACAGCACAATGTTATAACCTATTATGGCAGATGTAAATAATCAAACATGGGTCATGGAAAACAGTGGTTGATAGCAGGAGCATCAACCTAGCCTACTGGAACATGATATCACAGCCAGGTCACCGCATTCACCTGATATTTATAGTTATTAGCTTGTATTATTCATGTCTTATGAGAGGCATGTACTACTAAGAACTTAGTCCCAAAGCGATGGCCCAGTTTTAAGAAACAGCATACTATGAAAAAGGCAGTAATCAGAGGCCCAGATAAGCTGCGTATCCAGGTAAAATATGCATAGAAAATCTCAAATTACGCATTGAAAAATAATTGTTGCGTACCAATTACGCATTTAAAATGTTAGATACGCAAAAAGTTTAAAACAAATGCGTACAAAATATATTTATAAAAAATCGCTTGCTAAATGAAAAAGACATCGATTGCTGTCAAGTTGTACTGTTGTTAGTATAGGACAAGTGTTGTACTGTCAGTATAGGATGAGGGATTTTTTACGAAATCATTTCCATTATATTTAAGTTGGTTTTGATTAGGTATGACATAAGGCAGAACATACCTGCTTAGTAAACTAACTCAATGACATAATACTTAGGTGAGTAAAATGACTGAAATATGCACATATTTGAAAGCAGTGGGTAACGGAAAATGAAATAGCCACTCAACATTCAAAATACTGCTAATCAACGCCATCAGTGTCATCTGGTGATTGGCCAACTCAAATGCAACCATAGAGAGGATAAGCTCCTACAAGCCACCAATACCATGATAATTTATAGACATTGCTTGGATCATAAATGCAAGGTTTATACACCATAGACTTTTGTTTCAATGAGAAACATAAAAAAGTTCAGGCCAGATGATGCTACACAACCAGATGTGAACCTTTGTTTAAGGTGAGCTATCATGTAAAAAGATGTTCAAGTTCTGAGATTCTGAAGGAACTAAAGATGTTACCTTTTCTTTTGTTCTGTCCTTCTTGTCTCCATCAGGTTTGGGTATTGCACTGCTGTAGGAGACGGCCAACACTGCTAGCACCAGAAGTAGGGTGTATGCCCTCATTGCCTGACTGGACGATAGCACCTGCAACCACACAACCATTTAACAATTGGCCACAACAGTCTGCAACACTATCACAGCCATGCATAAACAACCAGCTTAATTCATTGTGTACTTCAATAGTATGGGTTCAATGTGGTTTCATGTTACGCTCAAGGTTTACAGCATTTCACTTGCAAATGCACGGGTGACTGTTTGCTAATCAAAATCTGATTTAAATGAGATTGGATGTTTTCAGCATGAAATACTAGAGGACAATAAACCTGACAATATTTCAAATGATACATAAAATATCATATTGACAAGGTCCCATTAAAGAGGTTTCGTATAAAGGATTTGGAGTGAGTATGGTTTTTGCTTTTAACAATATTCCAGCAATATCACAGCGGGGGACACCAGAAATGGCTTCACACATTGTACCCATTTGGGGAAAGAAACCCGGGTCTTCGACATGACGAGCGAACGCCTTAACCACTATTCTACCTCACCGCCCCAAAGGATTTAGAGTGTGGCGTAAAACTAAACTCACTCACCCAAAGGATTTAGATATATGGCAGATATCTTTATCATAAGTGCCCATTTGCTGACTGATTGTTTAATTCATGACTGAAATTGTTTAATTCATGACTGAAATGTGTCTGCATAAAATAGGACTTGTTTGAACAAGAATGAATGTGATGAAAGACTGACTGACTGACTGAGTTTAGTTTTACGCCGCTTTTAGCAATATTCCAGCAATATCACGGCGGGGGACACCAGAAATGGGCTTAACACATTGTGCCCATGTGGGGAATCGAACCCGGGTCTTCGGCGTGACGAGCCAACGCTTTAACCACTAGGCTACCCCACCGCCCCATGCGATGAAAGACATTTGATATATTTTGTAGTAAGGAATATTCAAACATCAATGCAGTCAGTAAATACTTCACTGGGGCCATACAAGTGCTCAACAAAATGATCCATATATCAAGGGAGACATCATTTAATCAATGGTTGAGACAGACAAAGAGTTTGTGAGCTACGATTTTAAGTCTTGTTGGCATTATTTCAGCCAAATAGTGGCCAGAGAATCCCCACAGGGTGTTCACTACAGAAGATTGTAATGTTGTAAGTGCATACATTTTCAAGAAACACTGTTATAAATCTACTACAATCACTCTATTAACATGTAGTAACCTTTCTAAATGAAGCCTAATTTCGATACAATGTTACTAATCATAGTACAACAATAACAACAATGTCATCTTTCAATACAGTTCAAACATGTTATAACCCTAACTTGAAATAAAATAACAATTTTAGTCCTGACAACATGTTAAATGAAGCACAGTTTCAAATTGGAACACTGTTGTGTGCTACAGTTGTCTTGGCATATTTGATAATACATGTATATGTATAACATAATGGGGAAAATAACCGACTATCACACTGCACAATTTTCAAAAAACAAATCCTGGTACTGTTTTTGTTGTTTGTTCATATGACAAAGAGTAGGCCTTAAATGCTCCAGTAGATGAATCAAATATGGGGGGATAAATATGTTAAATAAGTCAGAATCATGAGTCCACCTAACAAGTGACTAAAACAGATCTTATGGATAGAAGATAAGATGGGAAACAAGTGACTAAAACAGATCTTATGGATAGAAGATAAGATGGGAAACAACTGACTAAAACAGATCTTATGGATAGAAGATAAGATGGGAAACAACTGACTAAAACAGATCTTATGGATAGAAGAAAAGATGGGAAACAACTGAACCAAAAGTAAGAATCACCATTAAATTGATGATCAATGGTGATTTTCCAAATTAATACATGCACAAAACAAAAACGTGCTGATAAACAAGAAATTAATGGCACAAAAGTTTAAACAGTGATAGCAAAAGCAACTGGGATTCTCTAACCAAAGGGAGTTAGCGTGAAGAGCTTGAGTTGGTTCCTTGATCTGAGGAGTGGGATTCGGATGCTGACGTGGCACCACCGATGTTGGCTGACTAAGCGTCCGGAGACCCCGTACCGGGAAATTACAACACCCCCCTTTATTCGCTCGTTATACTGTACGTCTCAAAATAGTAGACCGCGGTTCTACACAAGAATTATTACATCAAATAGTTTCGTTGTAAGAATTATGGGTTCATTTTGGTTCACAAATGCTGGGTACGTTAGAAAGTTTTTCGATGAAGGTAGAATGTCAACACTGTGGTCATTTGGAGATGATTAAGCCACAGGCCTTATTCCTGTGAGTGCCGACAGTTTGGAGAGATAGCGTCCTGAGATGTTTACTCAACCGTGGAGAGTTGTTCGCAATGGCACTTCCGTTAATACCTACCTGTCAAACCGACTGTTGACATTTCTGACATATCTCATTTAAATAATCGTAAAAGGCAGTGCTACTAAAACCAACACAAATACAAAACTGATTACTCACTTTACAATATATCAATATCTCCGAATGTTAAAACTGTGAACTGAAATCATTTAACGTTTTCAATAATCGAAACCCTTCATTCATGAGAAATGCACCGACATTGCTATTGCGATAAAAGTAGGTCAAGTTTGACAAGTGCGTGCTCACTTACCATGGTGATATGCAAACGCAGATAGCGTGGTTTATTTGCTGTGAAGCAGCTGTAACGCCTCACAATCCTCGATCGAACGGGGCCTTGCTGACAAAAGAAAATCAACACACCAAAATCACACTGCAGGCTTATATACTTACCTCACCACCGCTGAGGCAATTGACCTTTCTGACCCCAGAGCGGCAACTTGTATAGACCAATCAAATAATGGAACGGAACCCACGTGGTCTGCGTTGACCAATCACATTTTGGCCAACGTGGCCGATGCAAAAACCAACCAATCACAATCGAGAACGGAAGCCCAGCGTGGCAAGTAATTTGATCTGTCAATGCGGATCCACGTGGAAATAGCAGTGGTCTAACGAAAAGGGAAATTCCAAGCCTGACAGCACCGTACTTGGGGAACGCCTTTTGTGTCAAATGTAGCTGTAAACCCTGCACACGTAGGCAAATGAATATCACATGCACGATATGCTTAAAATCCAATATCTAATTGTTAATTCAATGGTCTCGAGCACTAGGACACTGACTTACTTACCAGTGACTACCTAAACACACATTCAAGTAAAAGTTTACACTGTAATGGATAGGACGGGTCTCTTTCCGATCAATAGTTAATAACTTCTTCAACCAGATTTAATTAAGCACGGTAGACACTTCTAAGTCATGCATGGCAAGTCATGAAAGTTAATGAATAAAACATGTCGAATCCTGAAAGGAAATATGCAATTTGGACACCATTAAATTTATACTCCATATTAGATTACATGAACAAGGAACAGTATGATCGATATGACCATACATAAGACTCGTGAGTGAGTTTTGTTTTACGCCGCATTCAGCAATATTCCAGCTCTATAGGGGCGGTCTGTGAATAATCGAGTCTGGACCAGACAGTCCAGTGATCAACAACATGAGCATCCATCTACGCAATTGGGGTATGATAGACATGTGTCAACCAAGTTACAAGGGACGAAACCCCAGGGCTCCAGAAAACCCTTTTGAGACAATGAGTAGTCACTAAAAATAAGTTATCATAATAGTTCACTGTGAGTGTTTGATAAATGTTTACTCCGTTCGGTACTGTGTTGGATATTTTTACAATAGTGATTAGACATTTTCCAATAATTCTGCTAAATACTGTTCGAGGTGACTTCCTGTTTTGTATCTGCCCGAAGTCTGTATAAACCCATTACGACATGCATTTCTAAATAATAACAGTAAGACAGACGTACGGAACGCCTTGTTTATGAACTATTCGCAAATGTAAACTTGAGTTCATGTATGAGTGACCCCTACTTTCGACCAGTGAATAAGGTTTGTAACGACGTAAAAGTATTTTTAAGAATACATTGGCTAATTAAGAGAAGTCTTGTATTATACACCCTCTTTGGTGGTTTGAAGATTTCCATGTGTATTTGTACGCAAGCAACTGTAATTTACTGGGTAATGAGGAACCATGTCGTGTATTTCACGCATACATACAGTTTATATAGAGCTCTGAGAGGGCAAATGTAATTTAAAGGATTAAAAAAATGGCTGAAATCTTTCCCTTGTGCCAGCCATCAATAATACTAAAAGTAAACACACGAGTACCGACAAGGAATGAAGCTATATATTTGTATTTGTGACATAATCCCTCACGTGTTTTTGTTAACTTTGAGGAAGATATTTGAAAACAATAACTTTCATTTTTCTTGAATCGATGCAGTTACGAATATCAAAGTTTTCGGGTATTGATGACGAAACATTTCATCACCCTTTTCTGAGACCGCTTCCTTGACAGAGATAAGGCGGGTTAAGTTACAGGAACTTAGCGTCATGGATACGAGTTGGGGATATCGGGCGGGGAGCAAGGCCTCCCGCGAGCATAACAACCAGCTGATGCAAGAAGTATTCCAGAAAGTTCTGGCGACATAACGTCCCCTCTTTTTTCTTTGAGACAAGAGAAACTTTGGGACAAGTTTTAGTTCTAAAAGGAGAATTAGGACGTTGCTATTGCCCCGCAGCAATCGGTCAGGGATTACACGTACACCTATGCAAGCCGACTCCCCGGGATGGTAGGACCTGTGTAACGTGTTTTCCTTGAACCGGCAAGACGCATAAAGTCTGCGTCACTACCTAGACTAATGCTTAGTCTCTGAATATATATAATTTTGATTGCAACAAACAAGCCCATTTAAATTGAAAAGGAGACCGAAAGAGACCAGAGATTCAGAACCTGAGGAAATCTAGACTTGCTTCATTTAGGGCTTTAGCACTGCAGAGAGGGCTTGGCAGTAGGGGAAATAATGTGGTTCAGGGACTGTGAGACAGACTACTCACTTCCTTATGCTCCAAGTAGTAGGTCCATATGCGCCACTGCAGAGAAAGTAGACTAAGTAGACAATCCAGTGATCAATAGCATGAGCATCAATCTACGCATTTGGGATACAATGACGTGTCAACCAAGTCATTGAGCCTGACCACTCGTTAGTCGCGTCCTACGACAGGAATTGGTTGCTGAAGATCAATTCTGCACGGGTCGCTTACTCTCTGAATATGTATAATTTTGATAGTAACAAACAACCCCATTTAAATTGAAAAGGAGCCCCAGTCAGATGGGAAATTCAGAACCTGAACCTGAGGGAATCTAGACTTGCTTCATTTAGGGCCTTTAGCATTGCATTTAGTGCTAGGCAGTAGAGGAAATAATGTAGCTGAGTGCAGAGTAGAGAAGGGTGCACTCCCGCCCCACTTCCATATCCACATATACACCCCCAAACACATACACGTTTGAAGCATAACATCCAGGGCCTAGATTTTCGAAGCTCTCTTAGCGCTAAGATAGTCGTAAGTGCCATACAATAACATTAACTTACGACTATCTTAGCGCTAAGAGAGCTTCGAAAATCTAGGCCCTGGATTGATGTTGAACGAGGGTAAGAGTGTGTGAGTGAGTTTAGTTTTACGCCGCACTCATCAATATTCCAGCTAAATGGCGGCGGTCTCATACTACACGAAGAAATGTGCATAAAAACATAATCTAAAAATACACTTATACAATTTTTGTCTAGATAATTGAGGTATATATGTCAAGATTATTGACGTAATATTGTCCAAAAAAGCTAAGTGTTTTCACTACTGTGTGCTATATTCTGTGTTGTTGACCCAGACTCTAAAAGGCTTGTAACGTAACGTGCTGTACGTGCTTATTTAGGCAAAATAGTATCATAACATATTACTTAGTATATATTTTACTGCAGATGGTAGGTCTTCAAGAGATATTTTCATTTGTATAGTATACTGCGTGTATATTGGTCTCGTCTTTAAAAAACAACTGCAGTGTCTGTTATTGATGCGCGTGTGCGTGCGAATGTTGATATATGTGCGAACCTATCTACACAACACAGCACACACACACGCACACACACACACACACACACGGACAGAGAGAGAACCCGGGATCGATTCCCCGATTTACAATGTGTGAAGCCCATTTCTGTTGTCCCCCGCCGTGATATTGCTAAATGCTGCGTAAAACCGTACTCCCTCACTCCAACTCCTTTATACGAATCCCCGTTAATGGGATTTTGTCAGTATGATAATATAATATATGTGTGTCTGTCTGTGCATGCGTGCGTGCGTGTGTAAGTGCGTTTGCTAGAAGTACTGATTCGAGTTGCTCATTGCTTTTAGCATATGGTACCTGGCATATAAACATCTGGCACTTACCGTAGGTACCCAGACTGACCCGGCACAAAGGTTAGTTACATATTTACAGATGATGGATGTGAACCATGTGTGTACGTGGGAGGTTGCCATACCCACACTGTCACATGATTACATAATGCGACTCGTCACTACATGACTGACATATTGCAGATGCAATTGTAACTTTTATTTACCAACACAATTGAAGCGATAGTTAGTAGTTACCCTAAATCTAGAATTCAGGACTAAGAAACCAGAACGATAGAAGCGGAGTAAATTTCTTATTCGTGCATTCGTCGAAACAAAACAAAACTGTTTTGATAGATTCAGACTAAGCAAACACAAGTTATTGTACATTATGTTCCGTTCTTCGTGCACCTAGCTGAAATTATTGTATCGTTATTTGACAACAACATATGCAGATCCACCCATACTGGTTCTGTGAATGGATGAATGTGGAAAGTAGTGAGTGAGTGAGTTTAGTTTTAAGCCACTTTTAGCAGCAATATCACGGCGGGGGACACCAGAAATGGGCTTCACACGTTGTACCCATGTGGGGAATCGAACCTAGGTCTTCGGCGTGACGTGCGAACGCTTTAACTACTAGGCCACCCCACCGCCCCCTTTCATGAAAGAAGCTATATGTTGAATCATCACCAGTCAATAGTACAAGTATATACATGGAAAACAGTATACAAACCAGAAACAAAACACCTTGTTCGTGTAGGAAAGCAAATTCTTTACGTCCAAGATCTAAGCACACATGTAGTAATCTCAAAGCGGACCTATTCAAAGCAAAACATATAGATTCAGGTTCAGTTTACTCTAAGAGAAACCACTACCGATCGCTCATGAACAGTTTCAGAAATATATTGTCAGCAGGTCACAAAGTCAGCGGTTCCTTTTCATACTAATATCTACCCATAATAAATCTGGACAAATTGCTTCTGCCTTGTAACCTTTTGGGTGATACAGATCTGCAGAATTGTACATTACTTGTCCACATGAAGTATTTTTAGGAAGATACTATAAAGTTCTTCGTATCTAAAAAGATAGTGGAACCCATCTCCTACTGATGAGTATACAAAACCTTTCTTCCCTTGGTTAATTCTGCCATAGGCTAGTTTCAACGGACATTTTTTTAAAAGTACGAAATTTAATATCAGCTAGTAGGCCTACTTGCTTTCCGGGAGTAATACACAATGTTACTGTTTATAGTATTAACCCTTCGGACGCTTCTCCATGCATGGTTTCCACACACTCAACAGTATCTCTTTGACCGTTGAGACTCAGTTTGTTGGGTATAGTTTGTGAAATATTTTAGTTGACCAACATCATTAAGTATCTTTTGAACACACAGAATCAAAGGGAAATTATTTGTGTATTCAGCCGTTCTCGAGATGATGTAGCGGTCTCAACCCTAAAAATAAATGTGATGTTCTATTTGTGTCAGTTTGTGCCATTACGTCAACATACCTTTTTCTAAAATGTAATATTAATTGGTTCCCTGTAAAGTACTTCACATAGCATATTATTCTTAGTCCAGTAAGTATTTTATAGGATAGAAATAATATGTGTAATTGCAGCTAACACTCTGGCATCGTAAATTCGTAAGATCTGTTCATTTGTACAAAAAAAAGTGCCACCGAAACCCTAGATTGTCCATCCAAGGCACGAGCTGGAATATTGGTTAGAGGTGAACGCAAAGCAAACAAAGTAAAAAGAGCGTCTTTACGATATAATTATTTAATTCTGTCAGTTACTGATAAATGATCGTGACAATCTGAACTTTATGTTTTCATTTATAAAATATCAGATTAACATAGCATTCCTATGAAACTTGGTATAGCGATATTTACTTATTCAGGAAAAGAGCATCCACTACGACATTTTAGAATCCTGCTCCACTTTGACTGTCAAATACTCCATTCCATTCGTTTAGCTTTTAGTTTCGAAATCTATAGGCTACTATCATATAGAACGAAAAAAATACACTTTTTATAGGATACATTTTAATCATAGGAAAATAAAATATGGTATTATTGGAAGTATGATTTTGTGTTGTTTAAGTATTACTATCTCCAAAGACGTATATACACCTGTGAATATACGTCCTTGCTATCTCCCAACATTGTATTTGGAATTTCGCGTTTCACACAGCGTGTGTATGAAAGGGAGGTAACTCTAAAGCGACTAACAAATTATGTCCCTTCGTTGATGTAATCGTTGTGATGTTCATCATGAACATAAAATCAGGTTCATCATTTGAATGCAGATAAATTTCAAACTAACAACTATGTAAGACCCATGTAGTTGTTAAGGGTAAGGTATGTCCAGGTTGTTGATAGTATGTCAGTGGTAAATACTCAAATGATAGATAAATTGATCGTTCAAGTTACAAAACGTTTCTAGCTTTCTATGCTTTTGACTCTGAATTTTCTGAGGACAAAGGTGAAGTTGATTCTGGCTGATTATATCACTTTAGCCAATGCATTTTCTATGTATTATTGTTACAATGTAGGTAGACTATTGTGTTTCAGTAACACTGAGCCAGATGTCTTTTAGAATTTCAATCTCAGAGAGATCGTGAGGGGATGTGATTAAACAGAATGTGTGACATTAGCCGAGAGCCGCGATGCGGTCCTATATAGTCAAGACCGCATCGCGGCTCTCGGCTAGTGTGACATCAGTTATGATCTTGATGCAATTATCATTAAGTGGCCCGTTATAAATATCCAGGGTATTAGGTCACCATTCTATAGACTTCAACCTTCAGTTGTGAAGATGGGTGTTATTCAAAATACTTTATAGTGCATCATCATTGTCTTTTTCCTTAATAATTAATGCCAAAACTGGAATGATAATATCAGTGAACATGTCATTCGTCACTACTCACCCCTTTCTGTAAACCCCAAGAAGACTCATCCCCGTCGCGATGCTTAATTTTTGTTATGTGTGAAAATACCTCAAACCAATGAAAACGTGAGTAATGATTTCGGTGCCTTGATAAAAATAATCCTGAATACTTAAATTGTTTATGGCAATATGTCAAGGTTTAAAAAAATCTTGAAAAGTATGTATCGTCATGTTGAAAGTCCAAGGAATGTAGCTAACATAATTGATTTGGCTCAATTTTTTTTAGTATTTTTTATTAAGGATAATGCCATAGAAGGTGAGAGATTCAAATCCAAACATGTGTGTTTGTTTACATAACGGCTCTCATGGGTCCAATGGAGTTTCTGACAGTCTTGTGGGTGTGTTATGGTGATTGTATGTGCGCTTTAAAATTATAAAAGTTGTGTGAAACCGGCCTACCTCATTCAGAAAGTTTTGATGTAAGTTTTGCTTGCAGGTGACCGTACAGACAGGATGACATTGTTATAGAATAAAAGATGTTCCGACGAGTGTTGGGGAAATCAGCTGGTGTTCTGTTCTACTTTGTACAGTATGGAGCAATAGCCCATTGTGCTCTGGAGTTCGGTGGTGACTTTGTGGTGGTAAGGCCTAAACAATGTAATTAATGTAATTATTTCTTGGATCTCTTGAATTTCGAATGCGTAAACACTACTGGCTAGCGAACAGTTGTCGCCATATTTTAGCGGTTTTTACAAACTTACTCCGCCGTTCGTTAAATTAATGATACAGAATTAATTATGATGCTTAATTAACTATTTACCGATGTGTCCAGCCTGTTTACTGCCACCGATCATATTTTTATATAATGCGGCTGAAGTGAATCATGGAGTATAAATACACGTTTTCTCACAACTAACTGTAACAGTTATCGACATTCAGAATTTCTGACGCCATTAGTGAAATAATATATATTTAGATCATACAGTAACCTTGAATAATTGATTGTGTGACTATTCGAGCATTTCTTTTACAGGAGATTTATAGGGAATGAAACAATTAATGACTTGTGAACTTGAATATGCTCTTATATAGGTCGTGGGACATCCCCCCGACTAAATTAGAAATTTGTTATAGGGTTTATAACGTTATCTTTAATTTTTCTCTTATGTTACTTGCCGTGAAGAATTTTCATTTGCTGTCCTGTATTGTAGTCAAATACCGTAGGAAAAAATACCGGAATTGTAATTGACCGGAACTGTGCACGTGTGATACTGATATATTGGCGATAACTGGTCGCTAGCCAGTATGGGTTGAAATAGACTGAAGTCCTGCATAAAGGATTCAGTACCTGAGCATGTCTTGACTTCTTTTATGCATGCGACAGACATGGAACAATAAGGGTACTGTGACTGCTGGACAGATGATGGTGAGGAAAGAGTAATGTTGATTATGTGTCATATTTACATTGAAATAAGGCACTGAAGTCCGGAGTGGGTTTTGAGACATGTTTTTATTTGATTCTATTTTTGTCTGTATATTCCATCCCAAGTGAGGACCATTAGAAGTTGTATGCTTCTCTCGAGGGTAAAACGGTCTGATGTCGGCTTTTTGTAGCAGGTAGCCGGTATTTTGAAGATCGATAAGCTCGGTACCGACTATATGACAAAACGGCGTCTGCCTTTTGACTGGAAATTTAAAATCAGTGAAACATATTCTGAGAAGCTTAAAACTGCTATAAAAATGGTTAATTATGTTTAAGTTTAGTGTGCAACTGATTCAATGTATAAAATAGTTTAAATAAAACAGTGAAAGTCGGTAGAATAAATGTGTACATAGTGAACTCAAAAACAGCTCAACGAAAGGTTTTGCAACTCTGTGCTGCAGGCGTCATACGATTGTTCGCGATACAGCTTCTCAGAGGAGAGTTTGGCGGTTACCGTGTCAGGGGATAATATTTTTTTTCCAGTAGTCAACCTCCTGTGAGGGGTGACACAGAAACTTGTAAAAGCATCATTGACCAATGAAATTAAAGTATACATGAAGGTAAGATAAGTTGCTATGACTGACAACTTACTTACCAATCTATCTTGGCTTAACAGGGCTTGCAAGAATCTGTGGGAAAATGTTCATATGTTATTGATATTTAAATAAAAGATCTAATTATTTGTTTGACACTCCAAGAAGGCTTGATTTTAATCATTGAAACACCCCGATTTTGATATGAAGACAATGAGGATCTGTCAGTATCACCAATTCACCACTGGCACTCATCTACTACCTGTAGCCCGTTGGAGGGAGTACTTGTTTTCTCACAAGATCCAGTCACCTGACCTGAACCACTAGTATAGGACAAGCTGTTCACTGATTGGATTTGATCAGTGGTGTCTACCCTTGTATCAATCAGAGTCCTGATGATGATAACTTAAAACATGTATGCTGCTAATGTTGTGAGTAGAACTAAGACATTGTCTCTGTGTTATTGTGTTTAATCTTTTATCAGAGCATCAGGTTTATGATTATGGAAACGGTTTGTTGCTTTTGTTAGTATGGTAATCATTAGCTGACAAGTGAACTATAGTACTGTCAGAAATAGACAAAAAATGTATTTTCTCATTTATCTCTACAATTTATGTAGTTGATGTGTGAAAGTGTGAAATATCTGTTAAAACTAAGTTCGGGCCTAACTACAGTCTCAGTGGTAGAGAGATAGGAAACAGAGAAAAAGGACTTTACTGAGGGGAAATTAGTGCAGAAATGAGCAATGCAGTTTTTTTCTAAGTCCAAAAAGACTTATTTGGAACAGACCATGGCTTTATGCAAATTAGTGTGCGACGATATTGTATTACAAAGGACACTTTTTAAATGTCCAATTTGAAATTAGACGTAGATTCATTATAAACGATAGCTGACGTAAAAAATAATAACTTTTATGCCAAAACTATTAAGGATGTAGCTACCATGCAGTCTCACTGTCACTATAAAAAGAAACAGATAGGAGGGGTCGCCTCAAAAGCAAAACCTGGGGTCGGGCTTGGGGATAGAGATATCAGCTACGATAAGATAATCCTTTAGGGCAATTATACTGGGGAGGTACACGGCACGTCATAACAATTTACAAATAATATTCAGTCCTGTCGATGTTCGGGTGGTCATGCCACCTATATACTACGATGCGTTTCTATGGTTTTCGGGTACCATACTCTCTTACATATCTCAACATACACTTTATGAAAGAAAGACACGTAAGATGTTAATCAGTAGATGAGACATAGTCAACACACATGAAAAAGCACAAAATATCTTTGAGATGACCCCTTGTGCCTATAGGCAGCACGTGCATTTCATGCCAGGTGAGTCGACGGTCCATCGTCATACCTGGCTGAGCGACCTAATTGCCATCTATAGTCTGATCTATTGTTTTCAGCAGCTATTCGTATTTTTTAAAAGTTTTGCGCGATTTTACAAGTAAACATGCTGTTCTGGATATTGTATTACGCATCCCACTGAACGCCCAGTTAGGCCGAAGTGGGTTATTTCGACATATGCTGTTTGCAATTGTGTCAATTTTAGGGATACAGAGTAACAGCCTACAAAACAGTTTTTTTCTATTTCTGACAGTACTCTAGTTAGACTGACTTGAACTGAGCTTGAGCCTAGAAACTGTTTAGTCTGTCTCGCAACCCCTGAACGACATTATCTTCCTCGATTTCCCAAGGTTCAGTCTGAATCTGACTTTTCATTGGGGCTCCTATTCAATTTAAAAGGAATTATTTGTTTCTATCAAGATTTTTGTAATTCAGTGACTAAGCATTAGTCTAATGCTGCTGTTGCATGCATTTTTTTCAGTGTAGTGGACCATCAATGGAACCAACAATACAGAGTGGGGATGTTGTCCTCACAGAACACATCAGCACTTACAGGACCTTAATACAAAAGTAAGCACATTCTTATAAATCAAGGGGAGGTGGGGTAGCCCAGTGGTTAAAGCATTCGCTTGTCACACCAAAGACCCTATGAAGCCCATTTCTGGTGTCCCCTGATGTGATATTGCTGGAATATTGCTAAAAGCGCTGTTAAACCATACTCACTCACTCACTCACAGGACAAGTAATGTCCAGGGTTTTCTTTTTCCCACGAAATCTGCATTATTAACGAAATGAGTTTTCATTATCAGATTCCTTTATGTAAATGACAATTACTTTTTTCATAAAGTCTTTGAACGGCATTTAGAGGTGATACACATAAACAGTGCATAAATTTGTGGATATCAGCTTCTATATTATGAGGAACACAACATTTCTGTGTATTTTCTTACTCGTTCATTCGAGAATTTGTGTTTGCATTTTCCATGTAAAAATTTGTATATGTTGGACTTATATTAACACAAAGTAAATAGGGAAAGGATGATTTAGGAAGGCTATTTGTTATATTTGAACCAGAACAAGACTGACCAAGCCAGTTTGAACCTGGAATGACCACAGTGTTGAAAACATCCAGTGGGCAAATAATGGCCCATGTTTTACCTCATTGTTTAAGTTTTCAATTTTTACACGAAATGTTTTGTTGGTCTGTAAACATATATGAATAATGATTATTTTCAGTTACTCTCGACATTGTACAACTTGGTGTTACATGCTTACGCCTACAGCTTTGTATCTCATATTTATTTGTTGTAAAGTGTGATTTTCATGTCAGTGAATATGGATGACAATGTAAAGAAAAATTAACAATGTGTTACAGGGGTGATGTGGTTATAACTCGTTCCCCTGTGAACCCTCACTACTTCCTATGCAAGAGAGTGGTTGGACTAGCAGGAGACAATGTATTTAATGGGACATCACAGACATTCAAGAGGGTTTGTATTATTGAACCCATCTAGGGTTAATCCATTAATTATTTGGGTCTGCGATTTTAGCTTTAAACAGTATGCATTTTTAGTCAGTTTTTCTAGACATATTTTCCCTGAAAGGATTGGCTGAAGAACCATTCTACTTAAAATATGGCAGCGGAAAATATATTTTGCAGAACCTGAAGACAAATTATTTAATCCAAGATTTGGGGGGACAGATTATAGTTTCAGACTGGTTATAATTGTTGTCAATGACACATCATCAGCACTTTGGGTTTTGAACATCGTGCTACACCAGAATCCATATCAGAGACAGAAGGGTAGACTGAATGTTCACACACCAATGTTGGTTTTGGTCATGCATTTACATGCCATTCTGAAATATATTATCTTATTTATTTTGAGTTTCAAGTTTAGTGCCATGAACAGTTTGTGAAGTGAATCATTCTTTATCTTTAAGTTATCTCCCTTGACTGACTTTGCTTGTTGAAGTTTTTATCTTATATCTTGCTGGTCATGTGTGATATAAATAAGTAGTGTTTTTTTCAAGAACCTGCCTGGTACCATGTAATATTTATCCCTGGTCCTGTCTAGTCATGTGTGGTACCATGTAATATTTAATTTAGATCATGTCTGGGCATGTGTGATACCATGTAATATTCAATTTAGATCCTGTCTAGTCATGGGTGGTACCATGTAATATTTAATTTAGATCCTGTCTTGTCATGTGTGATACCATGTAATATTTAATTTAGATCCTGTCTAGTCATGTGTGGTACCATGTAATATTTAATTTAGATCCTGTCTTGTCATGTGTGATAACACCAAAAGTTTATCTAACATCCCACCCAGTCAAGTGTGATAACATATTTATCCTAGATCCTTCCTGGTCATGTGTGATAAAAATAAATGTTTAACCATTATTCCACCCAGTCAAGTGTATTAACATATTTATCCTAGATCCCACCTGGTCATGTATGGTTGGAAGGAGATAACAAGGATAATTCTTCAGACTCCCGGGAATATGGACCAGTTCCTTATGCTCTCATCAGAAGCAGGGTTTTCTTCAAGGTGGGTTGACAAGACAGGAATTCAAATGGTACAGTCAGGGACTTGCATTTAAATCTGTACGTTTCAAGAGCAGACCAATCTCTATCTGTTGTGTAATATGGTGGTGGGATAGTCACCACAGCTTAGTGGTTAAAACATTTGCTTGTCAAAAGCTCAGGTTCAGTTCCCCACATGGGTACAGTGTGTTGGATATTGGTGAAAGCAGTGTAAAACCTATGAACACACAATGCATTTTAGAAACTGTCCAAATGTAACAGTTATGTTTGGGATTACATTTTCTTGGCAGCGTACAGATTCTAGTAATTTTTTTATTCAAACCCACTCGCTTATAGTGAGGCACCTAATCATCAGCATCCAAATTCACATTCTAATGTGTGGCCTTGCTCATTATGCTCACATCGGGCGGTGGGGTAGCCTAGTGGTTAAAGCGTTGGCTCGTCACGCCGAAGACCCAGGTTCGATTCCCAACATGGGTACAATGTGTGAAGCCCATTTCTGGTGTCCCCCGCTGTGATGTTGCTGAAATATTGCTAAAAGCGGCGTAAAACTCAGTCAGTCAGTCATTGTGCTCACATTGTGACCTGTTACATTTTACTCGTGCCATCAACCACTGGTTGCCAGGTCTAACCTGGATTATTTTCCTTCCACCTCCATACAACTGGAATATTTCTGAGGTTGGAGTTGAATTATGCAAAAAAAATGAAAAGTGGTCTGCACTACTTTCACTGGTCCTAGTTAAGTCATGATGTATTGTTTCAGATCTGGCCCCCGAGGAAGATGGGAACACTTACCATGATGCTAGATCAAAACAGATGACCCCAGCCAATGTGTTCCATGACATGCAGCCTTAGAAATTGTTTTTTTAAGACTACTCCAGGGGACTAGTGGAAACCTTAGTTTACTGATCCCCAGTGACTATAGCAAGTCCTGCTTGAATGAGGCAAAATATTTACTAATGTCAGATCAATTGAATTGTTTTGTAGCAAAACTAAATCATTGTGAACTGGTTCAGAATTATGGCCCTCAACTGTTATTATGTCCCCTATATCTACAGGACTCATATTTTAGTAAACCTACATTCTCTTAACGTCTTTGAGTGGCATTTAGAAGTTGGTGTGATAAACAATGGGGAGAGTTCTAAGGCTATATAACTTCTTAATGATTAATATCAGCTCATTAAGGGATTAGTATAGATTTACCAGAATGGTTTATTGAAATTTTTAAACTTATCCTATCTCACGTCTAAGAAGCTGTCCAGGAAGGAGAGCAGTATGGAGTGTTTGGGCGAATGGTACAAGAGAGGCCATAAACTTTGTTTACAGTTCCTTTCCACTCAGGTGTCGATCATGAGTGAGAGAGTAGAATAAGTATTTAAATATACAATTTATATTTAAAATTTAAAAATTGAATTTTCTACCAGTCAATGAGAACAACCATCATTGGATTATAACTTGTTGTCCAGAAAGTTTAGTCAAGAGCTGGTGTGATAGTGAATTACAAAGGCTGACATACCTACAGTAGAAGGATGAATAATGACTTTGTAATTTTGGTTTACTGTATACTTACCAAATGTTTTGACATATATCACATATACACTTGATTCATCATACCATATATATCGCGATATTGGACATGGGTGGTCCAGTTGTCTGAGGCACAGCTATTTGCTGTGCAGAGTTGCCTCCCTTGGATGTCCCAGAAACCTGTGGTTGTGGGTTCGATTTTCAGTCTGATAATGCATTGTCTCAGGGAATTTTGAGATTCACCCATTTCAAACACATGAGTCTGACATTTTTAATAAATGAAATCAAAATAATTTCTTAGGGGTTTGTTATCATTTGTATCCTGTTCATAGTGTAGAATGTTTCAAATCTACTAATTACCTGTACCTTCAGCAACCCATGCGGATCGGGTGGTCAGGCTCGCTGGCTTGGTTGACACACGTCATCGGTTCCCAATTGCGCAGAACAATGGTCATGATGTTGATCAATGATTGTCTGGTTGAGAGTCGAATATTTACAGACCCGCCGCCATATAGCAGGAATATTGCTGAGTGCGGCTTAAAACTAAACTCACTCAAATCTACTAATTATTGAAAACATCCTTTTTAAAGACTTCGAGTAAGACACATTAGCCCTTTTTTGTCAGGCTATAAACTGAGTTTCAGTTTTTGCACATGTTCAAGCTGCTGTGATTAATAAATTTATGATATTGAGGCTTAAACATAAAACAGCATAGACATATCACCATTAGTTTATAAGTATGTGATCAAGGAGAATATGAGCTGACATCTGATGTAAACATGCCAGAAGAATATATTTTTGGTATGTGCACAACCTAAATTTAAAATGATAAAATTGCAGGCATTATTTGGTCCGAAGTGTAGCGACCATAATCTTCACATTTCATGTAGCCTGACAGCATGGGATGTTGCTCATGATATCAATCACTGGATAGTGTGCTCCAGATTTGAGTGTTTACATGTTATCATATTATCAGTGAACAAAATATCAATGTGCAAATTTTACCATTCATTTAAAGGCTTATATTTAACCTGTGTTGTTCTTTGCCTGTGTTGATTTGTAGGACTAGCATTTGATGCTTGGGATCAATTCTTACCTGAATGCTCATCAGATCAACTGCTCATGAACAGTACTGTAGATATTCAACTCTGGTTGGTCATTTTAAATTTCTAGGTATCTCTCATACCTTTTTTTAAGGGGTTAGAGTGTTCGCTCATCACACTGAAGGCCCGGGTTCCATTCCCCACATGGGTACAATGTGTGAAGCCCTTTTCTGGTGTCCCCCGCTGTGATATTGCTGGAATATTGCTAAAAGCGGCGTAAAACTACACTTACTTATTCACTCATGACCTTTTTCATTCTTTGGTCAAGAATTGAAACCACACCTGTCAATTATATGCCAGCAATGTTGGAATGCTATACAACAGTCTCAATCCAATCAAAAACTTCCTGTGAATCCAATCAAAGTCTTATGCACCCAAATATGCATACCTTCTGGACTCCAGGTAAGAAAATATGTCACAGCAATCTGTGTTTGTGGTAAGAGCCCACCAAATTGTTTGGGTGGTCAGTTCCTGTAACGTGGATGAATTCCAGTCAATACTTATGGTCCATCACAGGATTGTCTTGTACAGACTTGTACCCCTTCAATAGGCAGATTATTAATCACTTCTAAATGATGATTCTTGTGACATTTCAGTTTGCAAAAAGCCTTACCTTTACTTGAAGTATTTGTCCCCAATCCTCCACGTCCTGGATTCATCACTGTATTTAACACCAGGATTTTGAATGTGTGATACATGCTTTGATTAATCATTTTATGAGGTAATGTCTTAAAATAATATACACATAACACTTCTATAATTGATAAATACTTTATTCAAAGAAAAAATGTTTAAAATGCATAGTGGTCTCAAACATCAATATTAGAACATTGTATGTTTAAAACTTTTCCCAGGTACAAAGTGTAATGTTACTTTGCTGATAATACCCATCATATCAATATGAAACCCTAGATATTTTGATTATTTTTAATGTAAATAGATGAGGTAGTGTTTTGTCGACAGAATTTCTTACCCTTTGTACACAATCTGTGAATTCTACTTTGACAAACTTAAAATTATTCCTTTGGGGACATAGAAGTCATCTGCTACTTCTCCGTGACCATCAATAGAACAATATTGACAAATTCATGGACAACTTCTCTCATTTTGTCAATATTATCCATAAATTTGTCAACATTGTATTTCCGAACTTCCAAAATCCCACTCAAAGAAGGCATGTACAGAATGCCTGATGTTTGTCATTCCTGAAGACATTTTGATACTGTAGTGTTGAAGGCAGCTTGATGTTTTAGACATTTTGCTTCATATGCTATTCATCTGACAACACACTTCCTTGATGGTAGCATCTGTACAGAAAAATCGCATTGAAAGAAGAAAGAAGCGGAAATGCCTGTCAGCTCTGACTTTGTCAAAACTACAGGTTCCTCAAAGTTATTAATCATACTCATATGCATTTCAGCAAAATTATATAATGTACCCTCAGACATATATATTTAAATCTGACTACATGCCAGTCATACAAATATAGAAGATCATGCTATGTTGTAGAGGCATGGATGAGGTATCCTAAATACTACTTACATTTTCTATATAGTAAAACAGCTGTATAGATCTGATTATAGAACCTGTACAGAAAATACAGTAAGAATATTTTCATCTAATTCATTCATGCAGTCAACACTTATAACATGATCTTAACGTAAGTTTTGGTATGGTAGTTAACATGGTTGAGATCTCAAGTTCAAATACACACGTTTCATGACCACTTGCAATTGACTGTGGCCACTTAATGTTTCAGTTATAATATTTCCAGATATAATGTCACAACTGACGTCCTGCCAGAGCTATCATGAAGTAATGAATTTTTATAAAAAGTATTACTCCATGATAAAGTTTAGCGACTAGGCCAACACACTGGCTTTGGAATGAGAAATATTCATTTGGTATTAATAGTGACTAAAGAATTCATATAAATAATTATACACTCTTTTTTCATGATAAAATGCTTTTATCCATTGCACTTAGTATGTTATAATATTTGGCAAAGTTAAAATTTGAGACAAATCTGCCAGTCAGAGAAAAAGTAAAATTCATGTGAATGTTTTTCCTTTTCTTCCAACACCCTGAAGCATAATCACATTTTTCAAGAACTTTCTGGGAAAATGTACTTCGTTTTTAAAGTTTGGATAACAGACACCCCCTCATCCCTTTCACTACCCCTACCCTTTTCCTCCATATATAAAAAGATTTAAGTAACCTTCACTGTGATCTTGATTTTTTAAGGATAACAAAACAAAAAGGTCAACCTCTAATCTTGATGGAGGCTACTACAAAGTTTAATCTGTTTTCAAAAGTTTTGAGTGAAAACTTCAAAATATTAACACAAAATTCTGTAACATTGAATGTGACCATGACTGTTAACATCCCTTTGTGATTACTGAATGAATGCAATTTAATGTGCTGCCTGATCTGGCATGGAAAAAAGAAAACCTGGGTTCGGTTCTTCACGAGTACAATGTGTGAATCACATTTCTGCTGTCCCCACCTGTGATATTGCTTGAATATTGCTAAAAGTGGAGTAAAAACTAAACTCACTCACTCGAAGAAACTCCTATTCAAAGCCCCATATATATACCTAGCTCCATTCAAATAAAGCTAACTATTCTTCAGATATCTTGAGTATACAGATCTAAACTGGATACATAAATCAATCAAATATTACATGGATGTATCACTGAGTTGTGATACTTGTTCACTGTTGTTGAGCAAATATAGGAATAAGCAAGGGTGATATGATGACACTTTTCAACCAGGTCAGCGAGCCTGGCCACCCGATCCTATAGTCGCCTTGTATGACAAGCATATGTTGCTGAAGACAAATTCTAACCCGGATCTTCACGGGTTACACATTACCAAGGCAACAGCTTTTTTTTGGTTTTACAAATGTATTTGCATTCAAATTAGCATCCCCTAAAGATACAACTTCTCAGAACACAATAATGTTTATAACAGCAGTGTTATATCAGTTATTTCATACCACCAAAAGGCCTGAGTATTAAGGTTCAGGGCACACATGCTGTAGGTTTTCTCAATTTTTCCAGGAGAATCTATTTTCTCAAAATATTTATCTTCACATGTTGCTAGCTGTATCTATGAAGGACACCTACTTTGCATCAATATCCATCATTCATCAATTGAGCATAACACTAAAATGAGCAAAAGAAATTAACATTAACATTGATCTTCTCTTTAGGGCTTGTTACAAAAAGTAAAATAAATGCATCAAGTATTTAAATGCCTGTATAAATCACCATCAAGGTAATTAAACCGCCAGCATATTTTAGCTCCATCTTAAAAGACTAAGTTGAGTCATATGTAAAACAAAGTTGCAATATGCATAGATTTGACTTAGCTAAAACATCTTGTGAATAGGCAGTCTATTTTTAAAGAGATTCTCACAAACAAAACACAACATCAGTACCAGGTATTTATCCCAGTGTTAACATAGCCACTTCTTATTAAAAAATCATTTTATGCCTATCCAATGTATTTATGCATACTGATATAAAATATATATATAAAAAGCTGACAACAAACCTTTCAAGACACATCTTAGGCCAAACCTTGTTGTTAGTGTTTGTTTCTAGCTGTTTTGTTTTTTTGTTTGAAAATGAAAATTGTACACATGCAAATTTCAGGGCATACACCTATCATCTTTCAAGAGTGATAACTGTACAAACAACTATGTCATAAGGAAGTGCAAGTGGTGACGCACTCTCTAACATTCATTATTATCATATGAACATTGACTGACTTCGATATATCACCCAATTTTTTCAATCATAAATTAAACATGAAGTTCCCCTATTTTTTATAAGAGTATATATGTGTACTTAATGTGTTTGGAATTGGTTAAAATCTCATAATAGATGATTGGTCCATTGCAACCGATCAATCATCGAAAATAATTGGTCTGCATCATTTAGCAAATGTTCCTGCTATCTTTGTTAATGCACAAAAAATAAAGAAAAAATATCTAGTTATTTGGTTTGTTTTTTTCAAAAATGCATTTGCAAATTTCACGTAATTAAAGGATGACTAGTATGTTAGGAACATACATTTCCTGGAGTCTTTAAGATAAATTCAATCATAACTTGGAATGAGCTTGTAGTGCTTATGAAATGTAAATTTAATGACACAGACAAAACCAACCTTGTGAAAAATATTGTTGATGCAAACAAGTGTTTCAAAATTGTTTGTGTTCCATTATGAGAAAACATGTTCGATTGCTTGGTAGTTTTGTCACAGCGACCAATTGTCGATTATTTCAATTAATCAGACCACCACTAGTTGTTACAGTATTCTGCAAACATATTGTTGTTTCATGACAGGAGGTAAGGTAAGGTTAGGTGGATGTATAAACCTAACACCTGCAGGTATCAAGAGTTTTATACTTCATAGGGAGTGAAGAATGGTAAATGAAATAGATACAGATCCACTGGACAGTGTAAAAATATAAACAGCATTTGAGCCAAGATGTCTTGTTAAGTGTGGTTTATAGTTGCAGAATATGAAAACTAAAATAAGCCAGGGTAGTTTTCCGGCCATATTACTGCCAAGTTTAAATATTACTTTCGGAAACTGATACAATTGGATTTGATACGTGGAAAGCATATTATGTGTTGAATAAGGCTGCGCAATATAACCGGTATTTACCGGTTCAGACATGAAAACGATACGTATTGCGATACGCTGAACGAAAACCGGTATTTTAACTTGCATTCGGAAAACTTCGTAACACTCGGAAATCTTCAGATATTTCCTTTTTTCATTTGCGCCAAATATTATTCACATTTTTATTTTTAATCATGAATAAAAATTGTTGTTAAAGCTTAATCAAGCATAGTGATGTTGCTGTGTATTTGCTCTATAAATCAAGCATTACCTCGATTATAAGTAGTTTTTTGTTTAAAAATACTTCATGCAATATATTGCAATACATATCGCAATACATGCTTTCGCATCGCAATATATCGCAATATGAAAATTCTCTGCAATACCCACCCCTAGTGTTGAATGAGATTATAGTTTTGATGATCAATATGTCATTGAATCCAGTAGTTTATGCAATGTTTTTACATACATCAAAATGATGAGTCATGTTGTCTTTGAATATGTAGAATTAAAGCAATATCTTTTTCACACTTATGCCCTCTGTGAATTGCAAAATGTGTATATAATATTACCTGGCATTACTAAACCCTACTTAGATGATTATTAGGATATTGTAGACGCCTTTGAATATTGGACTGAGAGTAAATTTCACTGTGGTTGATGATGTTAAATCAGAGGCTCCTTCAAAGACAAGAACGCATCCCGTCTTCGGAAATATTCCTTAAATCTTGTAACTGAATATCTGAAAGACAAATTGGATATCAAGGTTAACATGGTTGACTGTAGGTAAGTTAATAGTTATAATGGTAATAGTCAGGGCATTATCAGAGCATATTGCTTAAACAAATTACTGAAATACAGAACCTTATGATTTCAACAAATGACAAGCATAACCCACTCAAATATAACATGGATACCCCACTCAGAGAGTATACTGACTCACAGCTGACTAGTCCAGGCCCCGATTTTTACTTGAATTTGAGAAAACGCAGCAAAATGCATTTCTCAAAATAAACTCCGTCTAAGTAAACTGTATTAGTATTATTCGTTACACTGCTATACTGAGTCTAACAAAACCTAGTAGAAGGTCGCGTCAGTTAACCTTTTGGACTGACCAAAATAAATAAACTGAGTTCGATTTTGGACTCAAACTGAGTTTGTAACTTGAGTAAAAACTGAAGTTTGTTTCGGGAAATCAGAACCTGCCTGGTGCCAGGTATTGATGGGATGAGACCAGGCCCCGATTTCTCGAAACAAACTAAGTTTGACAATTTGAAACAGCTGAATTTTAAACTCAGCTGCATTTATAAAATAAAAAAGCCCAAAACACTTAATTAATCTATCCACCAAACTCCAATTGTCTCCTATGTTTGAGTTTGATATCGTTTTCAGTTCATTCTGACAAATGCATTTTCCTGCGTTTCCTCAAAATTCAGTAAAAACTTAAGTTTGTTTCGCGAAATTGGGGCCTGTTCTCATCCCATCAATACCTGGCACCAGGCAGGGTAACATCAATTAGCTGAGAGAGTAGGGAAATGGAAGGAGCGAGAGTGGGTGGGTGGATGGGTGAGTAAATGTGTACAGGTGCAGTGTGCAATATTACAGCATCCAGCATTAGGGAATCTGGGTGCCAGGAAAGAGACTAAACATGGTCATTAATCACACCATTGAACATGTTGAACACAAGGGCTCACAATCAGTTAGGTGAGAGAGTGAGCTTGGTTTTATTCCGCTTTTAGCAATATTCCAGCAATATCACAGCGGGGGAACATTAGTAATTTAGAAATGGACTTCGCACATTGTACCCATGTGGGAAATCAAACCCAGATCTTTGCGTGACGATCGAATGCTTTAACCACTAGGCTACCCCACAGCACCATCAGGTGACACAATTCAACCATCCAATCTTCAGCTATCAATACAAGCTTGGTGTAATGGCAGCCTATTCTGACTGGGAATCCCCAAATAACAACAAACATTTCATTACTTCTGGCAAACATACTTACGCTAGGAAATCAAAGTCAATCTTGGAATTTTGGGCTTGTATAAGTGCCCAGACTCCCCAGAAGAAATGAGAACCCTGCAACAGAAGAATGAGAACATTATGTTGGATTGATGCACATCTGTACACATTTCAACCAATTGACAAGTCTTACTGAAATTTAAAGGTTCAAATGGTATCTTGATACATGATCAACCTGTAACATTGTTATATTATTAACATTAGGTCCACATGGTGAGCTGGGAATTAGACATTTTTTCAATGAAATTACATGATATATTTTTATTGTGTGTATCAGGTCAGACCCGTGAAGATCCGCGTTAGAATTGGGTTTTCAGTAACCCATGCTTGTCATAAGAGGCAACTAACAGGATCGGGTGGTCAGAGTCGCTGACTTGGTTGACACATGTCATTGGTTCCCAACTACATAGAACAATGGTCATGATGTTGATCACTGGATTGTTTGGACAAAACTCGATTATTGACAGACCGCCACCATATAGCTGGAATATTGCTGAGTGCGGCGGAAACCAACAAACCAGCCCTACAGGTCAGAGGGACTCCTGAAGGTAAGTTGTGTTGCAATGGTCATCTTACACCCTTATACAATAGTTTGAGTGGATTAAACATTCTCTTACATTTTGCCTCAAACATGTCTTTGGATAAATCACATATTTGAAACACCAACATATATTTGGAATTGAAGTCCATTAATCCATATGGTAACTAAGCATGAGGTAGATACTAAACATTTAATTGCCAAAACCAATTCAATATTCCTGGAGCTCTACACACTCTGACTGTTAAAGCAAGACAGATTGGTAACCCTTACAAATTGAGGATCCTGTTAAGAGAGGGAAAGAATTATGTGATATACCACATGTTAAAGATTCTACACTAAATCAGAATAACAGACAGTGTCGTTGTAAACTTCTGGCCATATAGAGACATGTGACCAGAGGTCTAGCTACCATCATAAAAAAAAGCCCAGGCTTACACATGAGTTTAGCTATGAACGTTGGGCAAGCCGTCAATTCTATCTGAATATAAAGCTTTGCAACCTATCAGGCTTACACGAAAAAAATGGCTTGCTACGCGCCTGGTGACAGCTGTGATTGGATGAAAGAGTGTAAGATTTTCATGTTTTTTTAAAAGCACATCAATCCAGTAATTAAAACTGACCACAATTTAAGTATATAATGCAGCAGTCACTTCTATCACCATGACGTATGCTTGATGTGTGTACAGATATTTTCAAGTAGATGACATTTGGAGCGGAACTGAGGTTGATTGGTTCAGCTTCCTGTGCTCAGAAAATAGACAGGATAAGTTGTGTTTTTATTGTAGTTTAAAGGCTATACTGTACCCATGTGTATATAGAATGGCTGCTGACAGCCTACATGATTTAAAAAAATATATATAATGTTGCAATAGAAGTCTATGGGAAAACATTTGGTTTTGTGTAACTTGGCTATAATCTAAGGGAGACTACTCTGAGTACTCACTAAGGCACACTTGTTGACCTGTACATAAAGTCTCTCCACATCAGTATCACTGACTGTTGACTGCCTCCCAATAAGTGAATAATACTCCTCCAGGTAAATACGTATCCATGACAACTGATAGTCACGGTCAGGAAAACGACTGTAATCTACTTCATCTACACCTGGAAATAAAAGAAATCTCCGTTATGTTTGTAGCTCTTCGAAAAGGAACAGTTTCCCTTTGGGTTCCAACAATGATTTCAATACTTTTCAGAGGAGAATCCTAGCACTAGGTCAAAATAGCAATATACAAAGAGATGTTTCAAGGTCTGAAACATACTGTGAACATCCAAAGAATAAACTGGCTCTCAATATGGCCAAAGACTTAAGTGTCATGCTCTCATTCACCATGAAGTGACTTTAAAGAAGCACTGACTGACTGACTGATTTTGGTTTTACGCCGCTTTTAGCAATATTCCAGCAACATCACGGTGGGGGACACCAGAAATGGGCTTCACACATTGTACCCATGTGGGGATTCGAACCCGGGTCTTCGGCGTGACGAGCCAACGCTTTAACCATTAGGCTACCCCACCGCCCCCTTTAAAGAAGCATGTAACTCCAGTCCTCTGTATGACCGTGTACTACATCTCCATTATATTAAGAAAAATAGTCTGGTCTAATTTGCTACTTGTTTAGGAAGTGACCATGGTGACATCACATATTCACCTCATACAAATGAGAGTATTGATTCAAACCAATTTCTGACAAAGCAAAGTCAGTAAATTGTATCCTGCCAAGTTATCACAATAGAATGGAGATATAAACAAATACTCATACACTGGAGAATTAAGACGGGTCAAACTTTCACTTTATCGCACTTCACAGGAAGGCGGTTACACAAACCAAGTAGACAACTTGTTTAGTCTCCTGGTCTTTTAGCTCGTTTTTAATTTGTTTAAAAGAAGACTATATACTCCTACATTTTTAAATATTTGTGTTCCATGTTTCATTTGGTCATATCAAAATAAATATAATTTGGTTACACACTCACCAGCGTATTCGTTGAAATGATTACCAATGTCAAATGCTTGGAGGTTGTAAAAACCATACTCGTAGTCTATAAAACCAACTTTATCTGAAACAGGAAATTGAAGCTGAGTTGACATTTGGTAAAAGCCTGTTACTTTCATCACTAATAGTCAAAACTAAACCACATCTAATTTCACTATGGCTCCAGTTTCTCATGGTTATAGTGTTCCTGCTTCAAGTTAATCCCCCTAAAATAATAACATACATTTAACATGTTATATTTGGGATTATACTTTCTGTGTAAAGTACAAAATATCTAGTACTTTTGTTGGGTTGAGTCCCATCCGGGATTCAAACCTATACCCTCAGAGTCAGGCATCTAAGCACCTTACTCTGAGGGTGTTGGTAAGAATCCTGGAATCCCAATATATAGTGAGGGAAAAAAATAAGGAATCACACATAAGGACAAGTGTTCCTCTATTTTGTTCCAAGGTTTCTTCACAAGCTTTGTAATCGCATAGCTTGTGAAGAAACCTGGAAAAAAATAAGGGAACACTCGCGTTTTCATGTGATCCTTATTTTTTTCCTCAGTATATATATAGATATCTATATATATCCATCTTAGAGTGGAGGTAAGCTGTATGAAATGACTGCAACTCACTTGACTGACTGTCAAACACAATGTTCTGCAGCAGCAAGTCGTTGTGGGAGAAGACAACATCACAGGTGAGAGCCTCTAGATGCCCCTTCAACATGTTGAACTCTTCTTGAATTGCTGCCTTGGACTGTAACTCACCCTCGAAACTGAATTTCAACAGGATGAATCACAAGATGAAACAGCACCATCTTCAAGGGAAGAACTCATTGGACACATCATTAATATGCACATCCAGAGGAGACTTCAGACCAAAATTTTGGAGCAAACTAAACTTAATGACATAAAAACTACATAACAACTAAATCATGTCGAAAATTATAAACCTCCAGTTACTTCACTTTATTGCCTCGCCAGGCTCTCCTTTTTACCGAGTAAACCGCTTCAGGCACTTACGTGGGCATTCTCAAAGAAATGCCCGGGATTTTCTACAGAATTGCCCGATTCCTGGGGATTTTCTGAGGAATAGCCCTTGACTTTGAATTATTTTACTTGTTTTGAAGATTGATAACTTGTCTTGCTTTTAACATGACTAATGAATACAATCATAAAATATCACATTATTGAAAACTTCCAATATATTGTGCCGATGCCTGGTTTCGAACCTGCAACCCTTCGCTTACTACCTTGGAGGTTTATCCAATAGGCTACGAAGGACTGCTGTAAAGAATGACATTGTTTGTCTGTATAAACTATGTGTTCCTCGCAAGACGGGTAGTGCGTGGCAGAGCATATGCAGGACACAGGTAGCGCGTGAAGTGCATGTGCATTACACGTGCGAGTGTCGGCTGGGTGTCAGTAAATATGATACCAGTCCTGAGATCAATCACACCTACCCCTATAATGAATGATAAGTGACTGAGTGCTGACATAGCAGTTTGGTAAAGGTAGGATTCAATTTTCGAAATAAACAAAGTGAAAGGTAAAGAAATAAAATAATTAAATAGTTGATAAAATCAGAATCCTTACATCTTCTGTCTCTCTTGCTCAGGGAAACTGTCAGGTGCCAAGTTGATAAAGTTCTGTATCTTTGTGAAGATATAGGGTACAGGATTAGAGGTCCCTTGATCTGATTTTTTAAGTGAATGCAGTTTGGCAATTTCCTTGGCTATCAGACTGAAACAAAAGAAAACAGTTATTAATTTCTGGTGTATAATACAGAGATTATTAAGAATGACAGGTAAACATTGAATCAAATGACAAGGAAACCAATGATTCAGAACTCTCAGAACTCATCTGAGTGAGTGAGTGAGTGAGTTTTTACACCGCCTTTAGCAATATTCCAGCCATATCGCTGCAGGTCACACCAGAAATGGGCTTCACACATTGTACCCATGTAACCCCCGGTCTTCAGCTTGACAAGTCGAACAATTTAACCACTAGGCTAGCCCACTGCCCCTGTCATCATAGTAACAAGAATTTAATAAGTGTGTGACCTTCTGACTGTTTATAAAGCTCCCGTGACATCACTCTATTGTCTCGCCAGGTTTTCCTTTTACCCAGTAAACCTCTACAGGCAGTTTCGCGGGTATTCTCCATGAAATCAAGTGGATTTTCTACAGAATTGCCCGCGTCCTGGGGACTTTCTGAGGAATAGCCCTTGTCTTTGAATTATTACTTTTTTCGAAGATGAATATAACTTTGTCTTACTATCACTGAATACGAGCGTAAAATATCCCATTATTGAAAACTTCCAATATATTGTGCTGATGCCTGGTTTCGAAACCCGCAACCCTTCGCTCTCTAGCTTGGCGGTTTTATCCACTAGGCTACGAAGGATCGCTGTGAAGAATGAGATTGTTTGTCAGTATGAACCATGTGTTCCTCACAAGGCGGGTGGGTAGTGAGGACAGTGCACATGCAAGACATGGGTAGCGTTGTGCAAGGCAAGGTGTCGGCTGCCAGTTGCATCCCACTTGATTTCAACAGTAAATACCAAATATCAAAATTATATCTAAAGTATATCTTCAGTCGGTTCATAAGATGGATCAAAACCTCCTCCTCGGTTTTGATCCTTTACGTACTACTTTGTTACAACAGTACTACCAACTGCTGTGGTATTGATCTCTGGTTTGCATTGTGTCTGATAACCATTCACAGATTCACTCACCTATTTTTAGGCAATCTCAATAACAGACACAAATAATATCTCAAACAGGCCAATCTACCGGTATACATATTTGTGACAGATGCAATCTGTGCATGACATCACACATCAGGTAGTTCTCCTCTCAGTAGATCACACAACACTCACAAGCCATTGTGGCCATGCCAGTTAATCTCTCTTCTTCCTTAGATCACTGAAATACTCATCAGGACCTGTGAAGGTCCGGGTTAGAATGAGTCGTCAGTAACCCATGTCTATCGTAAGAGGCGACCAACAGGATCAGGTGGTCAGGCTCGCTGGCTAGGTAAACACATGTCATCGGTTCCCATTTGCACAGATCGATGCTCATGCTGTTGATCACTGGACTGTCTGGTCCAGACTCGATCATTTACAGAGCCACCATATAGCTGGAATATTGCTGAGTGTGGCGTAAAACTAAACTCACTCACTCATCAGCCATTGTGGTCATTGTAACTCTCATGTCACACATCAGGTAGTGCCTCTTTAAGTAAATGGCTACCAATACTGTATCTGAGAACCATAGTATTTATAGTCAAACGTATGAAAGGAGTACTATTGAGGAAATGATTGTGTTCTGTATGAGGATACCTTGGTTAAAACAAAACGGATTTGAGCTTGAAAAGAAATGAAGGTGCACCTATTAAATCTGGCATCAAGCTTGCTCCAGAGCCAAGGTATCTTCAGTTATATTGGGTAGTCAAAGTTTGCTTGGGGTTTACCTGACACGACATTATATGGAGTGATTATCTTACTTTAATCAGATTGGATGTTGGGCCATTTTGCTTAATAGTTTGTTAACTTTATTTATGGATGTTAAGTTTATTTTTTCACATGGAAATCAGCAACATTCAGCATATCACACTGAACTGTTTCCAGTAGGTTGCTCATATTATCAACCACTGGTTTTTCTAACCTTGGTTATTTGCAGGCTTCCATCATATAGCTGGCCTAAACAACAGCCAAACAAGCTCATTGTTAAACTTAAAGGTCACATGCAACGTAACACTTTGCAGATTCTGTTACCTTTCGGTATGGACTTACTGAAACAAATCATCAAAGATACAAATTCAACTTATAAAGTTGAAAAATAATGTGATGAAAAAATCCGTGCGCTAAATCGGAGTTCTAACGATTCACTAATTTTCCCCCAGCGGTTGGGGGAAAAGTGGTTTCAACAGCTGGGCTGCGCTCATAGCACATGCGCAGTGAAATAGGTTCGTACACAACTTCGATCACTGACCACATGCAATTTGAACTTAACCAATCAGGCACACCATAAACAAAACGCATTGATTTATGGCCCGAGTTCGGTCTCTGTCACATTATGACTGGGTTCGGTATCCCGGCTGCTTCGTTTCTGGGGAACTCAAGCCCAAGTACAAAATATTGCACTTTTTATTTGCGATTATATGCTTATAATATTGTTTATATGTTTTTTTATAATCAGAAATGTATATCATATGTCATGAATAAGTGATAATTGTGTTTTAATTATGTTTAATTTTTTGGTTGCATGTGACCTTTAAGTGAATGAAAATTGAAACACCATTTTAATGTGACCTCATCATTTGCAGATGACAATCTTCAGCGGGAGAAGAAAAATATCTTGTCATGGTGTCTCAATTACCATTGTTACAGCAAATATTGTCATCACATGATCTTGAGTACAAAAATGTCACAAAACTCACTGTTAAGCAAAATTTTGTTGGCCTATTAGGCTCAGGTAATATTATCATGTTTTAAATACCAATAAAAATTAAGCTAGAATGCAAGTTCGGTAAGCATGGTAAGTAGACTAAAACATTTTTGGCACAGACTGTATCATGTCAACAGTTTGATATATATGACAGTTATAACCATATCACGTATATAAGATGTAAGATATGTAATATATTACACAGTATATAAGCTATCATATAATAAATCAGTACACATGATGTAAATATGGAATAAATCACTGAAGTATCTGAGAATGTTGATAAGTTGTTATCATGACATGGGAACTGATACTGAAGTCATGTGCAGTATTAGCAGATCTTTTATGAGTATCCTTTACAAAATGTTAGGCATATTGCCAGGATCTAAATATGACTCAGTCATTTTACAAAGTAGGGTTGTTACCATGCATTCGCATATTCAGTGATTTGAACCATATCCCTTCGTGGATTCAATTTGTTATTCGAGATCACTAGAATTGAATATTCATGAATTTGTTTAAATGGAGTGTTTCACTTGAATTTGGGGTCTATTTTTCAAACCGACATATGCAAAGTGGAACATATCCAAGACAGGCAGGATAATAGTCAACACTCTTATATATTTATTTTGAAAGTAATGTTCTCATTGGTCATTGTCGTGGAAAATGAGCAAGTCAGCATCGAGGAAATTTGTCAAAGGATATACTTTATTATTGTTTCACTGAATATCCTGAATAATACATCAACTGCTGACTTGTAATTGTATTTGTCACCCAGTATTCATGATATGTATCATATTCTCCTCATAGAGGATTCATTGCAGCCCTAATCATGCTAATACCATGACTTCTTTTCATGGGCTAATGTACACTGGAATCATCCTATGATCATTGTCTGATAAACTCATGAGTAGTCCTTTGATCATCTGATTTGAAACACTATATCAAGTATGCATCCAAATAAGAGGGGATATCCAAGTAGAGGCTCACTCTTCTTTCATGGTCGCAAAAAAGTGATATTCAGCGAAATTAAGAGTAACAACTAAATAGTATAAATGAGGGCTGTCTTATTCAACAATTAGCTTTCCCAATCCAGGACTAGTGGAAACATGCCTGGATCGATATGTTTAGCTATTGAAACTCCTTATGAAAGCCATTGAAAATGAATATGAATAACAGAAAACTCACCACTCTTAGCATAACTAACACTGATGTTTACAAAAAATAGTTTGTTTGGTTTCTTGTACGATAAGGACAAACTTTATCAAGTTTACGGACGAGCAACTTTTATTTCAGGTGATGCCACTTCTCAATTATCTTGTTTTTTGTTATTTATAAACTGTATATATAAACCTGTTTTCTAGCTGATTCATACTTGCTTAACAATGACAAAAGAATCCGTATCGAAACGTCACATCACCTGAATAAAGAAGTTGCTCATCCATAAAATATCTGACTCTGCAACTTTAAAAAAATGCCACTCAAAGAAGTTGGTCTCTTGTATTTTCCATTGGCTTTAATAACCAAGAGGTGCAATGCTACATAAAAGTTCCCTGTGACACAGAAAACTTCCTCAGACTTTTATCAATCATGCTTATGATGTTTATAACGAAAAGGTTCTGGAAAATTCTATGGTTGTAACCACACAGCACATAATGTGTAGCTGATGATATAATATGATGTAATATGTATTACAGTTTAATCGCATGGAAATTTCTTGACTACCGGTATGTATATTTCAGAGGAAGTTCCAAACGAAAAGCTTGCTGTAAATGTGTCATTATCATCACATTAAAAATACAGATGCACTGTTGATTGTTTCACCATTGGCAACTTTTCTCACGAATTAAGATAAACAAAACAAGCAATGGTGAAGTCTGACCACATTGATTTACATTCACCTGTCAGTATGTTTCTGGCGTTCTTCTACAAACATTCACTTACGTCCTTATATTAGCATCCTTTACCATCTTCTCATCAAGAGGCACCCCTTTCACGAAGCCATAAGCCATGCCGTTGGTAAAGGTGCAGTAGAGGGGTGGGGAACATCCTGCCCCACTCAGCAGGATGAAGGTATCCTTCTCTGCCTGCCTGTCAATGATCAACTCCGTCTTTTCCCCATAGATCCGTACAAGAACCATGTCATCTTTGTTGTCTGGCTGGTATCCTCCGACAAGAGCATTGGTAATTCCCTCTGTGAAGAGCTGTAAATACACGGTAACGATAGGCTCAGACTGTGGTGCATTTCAACATTATGTTGTAGTTAGTGTATAGTGTGTGTGCATACACATGTCAGTGTGTATGTGTCCACAGGGTTTTATGTCAAGGATCAAAACCAACTCCAGAGTTTTGAAGGATCAAAACCAACTCCAGAGTTTTGATCCAACTTATGAACTGACAGAAGATATACTTTAGATATAATTTTAATATTTGGTATGTACTGTTGAAATCAACTGGGATGCGCCTGGCAGTCGATACCTTACCTTTACATACAATGCATGTGCACTGCACGCGCTACTCATGTCCTGCACGTGCACTGCTTGCACTACCCATCTTTGTGTGGAACACTGACAAACAATCACTTACTTCACGGAGATCCTTCGTAGCCTAGTGGATAAAACCACCAAGGTAGTAAGCGAAGGGTTGCAGGTTCGAAACCAGGCATCGGCACAATAAATTTGAAGTTTTCAAAAATGTGATATTTTACGATCTAATTCACAACTTGTACAAGTACAATAATTCAAAGTCAAGGGCTATTCCTAAGAAAAATCCCCCGGGACCCAGGCAATTCTGTAGAAAATCCCGGGAATTTCTTGGTGAATGCTTGCAAAACTGCCTGTAGAGGTTTACTCTATAAAAGGAGAACCCGACAAACAATAGAGTGATGTCACTGGAGTGACGCACAAATGTGCATCCAGTACGCACAAAATCCCCAAATACCACGTCCGGAGAAATGTACAAAAATACCTACAGCACATCAAGAGTAGTTATCTGTGTACGTTATTTCACCCATCAGGCATGACCACTTGACACATGACCACTGATTTATTCCAGGTTCTGCAGTCATTATCTGAACATACAGTAGACAACACCATTTCAATACTTTACAGGACCCTCATATTACCAGCAAGGACCTGTAAGATGTATTGATGGGGTCCCCTGGACCTGCACTTTTGTAAGTCAAGGTAAAACCATGTGTGCACGCATATGTGCTTGCGTGAGTGTATCATGTGCATGTTGTCACATGGAGGAAAATATGTACATGTGAAGTGTTTTATCACAAAGGAAGCCTAACAGAACTTGTGGTAGAGTACTGCATTAAATGAAATTTTACAGTAACTTTCTGTGTTACATTTTACGCACCTATCAACTATTGTGCACTGATCACACTCTCAAAATCACTAAGGAATATTCAATCACAAAGAATATTTAGAAGGCATTGCATGTTCTACTTAATTCAGAGTTCTCTGGTTAAAAATCCATGATTAATTATCTGTTATTATTAATAACTTTCAACCAGAGTGTTCAAAACACAGTAAAATATGTATAGACTTTTATATTTTACATGAGTTTCCTAAAGACACTGTGAGAGTGTGATCGTGTGATCTGCGATAAACATATGATGAAAATGCCTGATTATCACACCAGATTCGTGGGAGTTGACATGTGTGTAGAATGTAAGACAGAAATTTACAGTATTTTGTGGAAACTTTTTCTCACTCAATATGCTTCAGTTTACTTGACCAATAATGCGGTAAATAATACAACAGAATTGATATATATGATAAAAGTTCATGTCACAACATTTTGAAGTGGGCTTAGGAGACACAAATAAATCATAATAATTATTTCATGCTATGTTTTATTATAGTTATGTATAGGGGGAGTAACCTGGGTTTATGATCCTATAACTGTAGAGGTCAAATCTCCGAGGGAAATGGTAATATATTTCAGGGTCTTTGCATTAAAAGAAAGAAGAAGCTGAAATCCATCTGTCAGCTCTATCTTCATTCATCTTACAGTTTCTAAAGCCTCTTGAGGTATGAGAGTCCAGATGTTCAACACACTGCCATGTTAAACTATTGAAGACAGATAGGATATATTTTAAAGGATTGCTGAAATATTCAGCGTTTGTTTCTGTACATATTAAGCAATACTGCTCCTTTACAATTAATTTGTAAACATGCATGTTGCAGATACAGCAAACGGATAACACAGACGTTTGAGTGTTATTTCCATATTCCAGTGTTTCACATAGACTTTGCTACCTGAGAGTATTCTTTGACACTATATTTGGTATTAGGAGAAAAATGTAAACTGAAGGATGGGTATGTGCTTGCAGTCTGATATCAAAGGAATCCCGCACTGGCATTATAACAGATATGATGTCCTGATGCAGTGAGTTAGTGAGTTTAGTTTTACGCCGCACTCAGCAATAATCAAGCTATGTGGCGGCAGTCGGTAATCAACAGCACGAGCATCGATCTACGCAACTGAGAACCGATGACATATGTCAACCAAGTCAGCATGCCTGACCAACCAATCCCGTTAGTCGCCTCTTTTTACGGCAAGCATGGGTTGCTGAAGATCAATTCTAACCCGGATCTTCACGGGTGATGTCCTGATGCAATGGATGATATCTCATGGAGACATGACAGCATTCCTTTACCAAAGTCGTCAATGAGATAGTCAAGATTTTGGTCATATAATCTACTTCAGCAAGCAACAGTCACGCCTCAAGTTGTGACCATCAGCACTGATACAAGCAGTTTTAAAGATTACCATTATGAGACATGAATGAGATTGCCACTAAAGTTATAATGAGCTGACCCATATTTTGCTGTGAATCCCTCAGCATTGTGTAGTACTTGCAGTATGTGTACCATTGTGCCCATCTCCGTAAAAGATAACAAATAATAGTTTCTAATAGCACAAGTTTACACGACAATAAACCTTAGTTTACGTCTAGTACCGTTTCATTATAAAATGAATTTATCTAGCAGTTTCATGACCAGAACAGTGCAGCTGCCACAAGTAACTCACATACATGATATATTTTTGGCATAATATCGATTAATATTTTGCACATTTACCAAGAGTTCTATTTTCATAATGGACACACCATGGCTAATATGTCCTGGCAATATGACGTCATTAGGCCTTACTAGACCCATTTCACATGGTGTAGGTGCATGTGAATACACATTCAAATACATCACAAACATAAATACACTTCTCTGTTTTGAATTATGTTGGAAACTGTCTTGTCCATGATATCGCCCACTCAGTGAAAGGGAGCAAAATCCCTAAAAACTTTATACATCATCAATCTCACCATGTTTTAATGCAATACTAATTCACTATTCACTGGCATATGTAGTGTATTTTTTAATATCTAATATCGAATATTTACTCTCAGAACTGAATGTCAGTAAAGCATATTAGTGATCATGTTTTTTTGGTTTTTTTACCAAACCGCCAGTGACCAGTCATTGTCATTGATGCCCCCTGGATTTGCACAGAATGTTTGGAAAACATGCAAACAAGAACGCCGAAGTGAACTTCCCACCATATTGACAGTTTATAAAATCACATTACCAGTATGTCGGTTATTTTACATCTATTACACTATATATATAATACTAACTCAGCTTCCTTACATAAGTCCCTGAATTCTCATACATTTCACAATGAAGTAACAAATGGTCTTTGTTAAAAATCCCAAGTGTATCGGTGAAATCAAGCAAAATAAAATCAGGTGTGAAATTGAACACTGTACTCCTAAAACAGCACTTGTTTGAAAGGTAGACACAGCAAAGATAAGATTTTACACTGTGTATCATATTCTCATATTGTGAGAGATCCGTTTACCTGTTCAATGCATACACTTTTTTTATTATTTTAGGATATGGATGGGAAGAGTATTGTAGCAAGAAACAGGGAGATGAAACTGGATGTATTTCAGTGATTTGGTACATTCAACACAATTTTTTATAGTTTCTGTCAAGCATGACATCATGACTGACACAAATGCAGGCACAATGTTAATGGTAGTTCGCTCCTCATTTCTGACTATTTCCCTTGATCACAATGAAAACAAAACTAAAAAAAATGCAGATTGTCTGAATGATTAGTTAAATGTTACATTCATGCTTATACATTCCCTGAATCAACTAAAATCTCTTTCCTAATATCCACATACTAGTGTTAGTACATTTGAGGTGAGGTTTTTGTAGGAAAATACACAATTATAATGCATACTAGTAGTTCATGATTTGTAGGGTGGTGGGGTAGCCTTGATATTTTGCTTTGGGACGAGATAGGACACCAGTCTAAATCCATTTGCCAATTAAGCTATAATCTAAAGGGGTGTGACACTACCCTGTTTACCTCGGAAGACAAAGGTCTCATTATGGCATAACATTTCAACATTTATACTGATTGTGAACTTTCTATGTGAGAAAAATTAATTAATGTATAGCATCAAATACTGATATTAACTAACTGTTAACTGTTTCACATTAGAATGATGAGAAAAAATCCTGTACACTTCCCCTATAAACTTTTTCCAGTGATGAAAATAAAAATACGAAACAGCAGATATGATTGGGTACAGGGTATTCAAAGGCATGTGCTGAATTGACATTTACCTGACCATTCCCGATCATCGTTCTCATATGGAGACAAACGAAACATAACCTAGCTACCAGGAAGGGCGAAAACTTCCACAGAAGTTGATTATATTCCACTTATCCACACTGGGGTCGGCTGACCTTATCCCGTTGACATATTATGTAAGGGTATACAGATGTAGATTTTATTACCACTAAGTATCTGGTTGCACTTCACAACACATTTATATCGCCATTAGCGTTGTATATCACGGAACTTTTTATCATATGGGCGATAATTGAAAGGGTTAATCTCCCGATCACTTTAGATTTTGACGATCGAGGCTCAACTACAGGCAAAAGTAACAAATCATTGCAGCAAATGATGATCGAATTTATGTATAAATTAGCTGAAGCGATAGTTGAGACAACAAACATTGGAAACAACAACGTTTCTCCGTGATGTGAAGCCCATCAATCTTGAGCCACTCGCCGAACTATCGACTGTTGTAAACACCTGAATCTTATCATTACCTTAAATGTAAGACTATGTATGTCCCATGCAGGTTTAACACGTTTGATAATTTCTCTCGCTCCATCCTGGATCTTTGTTGTGTCCACGGAAATCTCGTAGTGAGGAATAGAGGCAGCCATGTTGGGAGCTGTCTGCTACGTCCGTGTCGCCTGACAATCGGAACGTTCCAGTGAACTCCGAGCGAACTTCGCGGTGTGACCGAAGGTAGCCTTGCTCAAGGTTCGTGGGTGTGTTGTACTTGTAACTCTATCCGTATAATATAGTAGTCGAGTCTACATAAACGGAGATCTAAAGTAAGGTCGCCAGTTTCCATAGCAACAAGTTGTTCTTTTTCTTTATATAATCTTGAAATCATTATAGCAAATAATATTTATTGCTATGCATGTTTATGCAAATCTTGAACGAATATAGTCAATAAGCTCAAAACAAATTGAAATTGTTTGAAATGAACCTGAACACTTGATACTGCCCCTCAAATCTGTTTCACCACGAACTAATATCATAATATCGATAAAGCTGCGTGTGCAGCTCACCGAAGATGGATTCAGAGTGCGTCACTAATATATACACGTGGTACTTAATTACGCACACTCTGTTGTAGAACATTGATATGAACAGAAAGGTGTCAAAGCTTTCATACTTCTAGAAGGGCAGTAATCCCAGCTTATCTGATGGAAGATTAAACCATTGACTTCAGAAAAACAACAAAATGAAGGCAATATGTTACAACACATGATGAGATAGTGCCTGATATCGCTGTCTGTAGAGGCCCCTTGAAATCTACCGAGGTGTTTGACATCAGTGTCTCGTGTATCCCACAACTGCCTGGGTGTCACCCTCCACTCTTCTCATGTCACCAGGGAGATTGCGGATACGTTCTCGAGGTAGCTGCCGCCACTCCTGAAGCAATGCTGCCTCCAATCCACCCATATTTTGTTTATAACGGACCCTTGCCTGCCAATGATGACCAAGAGTGTCCCAGATGTGCTCGATGGGGATCAGATCAGGGCTTCTTGCAGGTCAATCGAGAATCTCAATATCTAGCATGTCTCTGAACCAAAGCATTAAATAGGTGTTATCACTGCATCAAATATTTTTAAAGGGTCAGAGCAACATATGTTTCGGCATCTTCTTTGAAAATAATTAACAGAGTGTATTGCCTCTCTGGCTTGTGCTGCTGGACAGGTTTCAGCTTTAGACCAAACATCAGACCCAAATACTTCAAGAGTGAAACAGTTTCAGTTTGTTCCCCTTTAAAATACCATTTCTGATAAGAGCGTAGAGGATCGCGATTTCTAAACAATAACTTTGGCTTTCGTAAAATTAACTTGCATATCTGATTCCTAACAAAATATTTCAAGAACCTTTTCTACCACTGATTATATTTATATCTGACATGGCTGAAATATCGTCAGCAAACATTAAGACAAACACATGATTAAAAACAGGCGTAATTAGTATCCCCTGTCCGCCTTCATCTTCCATCGCTGTACATAAATGATAGATATAAATTATACACTTTTGGGGGCTTGAAATTCAGCCCTACAGATTCCACCATTATAGAAGAACAGATTTGATAGACCCTATAGGGTGCTCTCACACAAGCTGAAAGTGTATTATACATAGATATGATGATGTTAAGGAAATTCCCGGATAGCCATGCTTTCTCTAAGGAAAAATAAGAAAAAAATATAGTTTTTTTACAGAATTATTTCTGGATAATAGCTTGCGGTGAAAAATATGATCTGTTGTGGAATAGTTTTCCCTGAACCCAGTCTAAGATGTACTAATTATATTATTTGTTTCACACCAGTCTTTTATCCTCATTTTTAGGGGGAGGTGAATATCTTAAGCTTACAGGGAGTCAATTAAAGCTATACCTCTATAATTATTTGGTTCGTTTCTGTAACTGGATTTAAACATTGGGCATTTGAATCTTTTACCTCCAGTGGAAGGAAAGAAGCCTTTCTGATAGATTCCGGTGAAGGAAACATTTAGTAATGGCACAGTGAATGGTTTGGACACTTTAAGGAACTTATTTGCGATGCCATCTGATGGAGAGGCCATATTGATAATCAAATTATATTGATATTCATATGGATAAGGATGAAATGTTTTATATTACTTCTTGCTGAGAGATAGGCTGTTTTATTGAATGAGTGTTCCCTATAATACACGAGAGATGGTGAACATGTTCATCAGTGTAGTGCTGGCTTTCAGGGGAAAAATAGTTTTGTAAAGTGCTCTGTCTACTGCTTGAGATATTGAAGGTGATCTCTGCTTGATATTTGAGAAAGGTCTACGCCGTCGGGTCACAATACGATAATCAATGAAACAAGTTACCGAGTGAGTGAATTTAGTGTTACACCATTTTTAGCAACATTCCAGCAATGTCACGAAGGGGGACACCGGACCGGGCTTCACACATTGTACCCATATGGGGAATCGAACCGGGGTCTTCGTCGTGACGAGCGAACGCTTTAACCACTAGGCTTCCCCATCGCCCCTCAAGTCACCGAACAAGAGCCAATCCATTTAAGCCATCTCTTAGACCACCAGCATGGGATCCCCAGGAAGGTAATATAGTCTATAATAAGACTTTATTTAACTCAACTAGTAGCCACAGGGGCTTGTAACGCTAAAAACTGCCATCAAGGTATGTACTGTCACTAACGGGATTTTAACACTATGTAAAAGTGCTAAGACCCCGTTAGTGACATTACATACCTTGATGGCAGTTTTTAGCGTTACAAGCCCCTGCGCTTTGTAGCCATATCCTTGACAGCTGCAGTGGCAGTCGCGGCATAGTTCAATGCGGGGAAGCCTTGCTCCAAGGCTTTCTGAATGCTGAGCCCATGGATGTATGGTAATTCTATCCTTGGAAGAGACAAGTCTAGATAAGCGGACAGTAAAGACCCCAATCTGTTGTGTATTTATTTTTTTAGAAATTATCATTTAAACTATTATTTTTTACCTTGTGGAAGTCTTAAATGCGAGGTTCAGGGGGAATTCGGATAAATTGTGTCCCCAAAATGCAACTAACAGTCGCAGGAGGACACGGAATTGAATTGGTTGGTCATGCTTACTGACTTGGGAGGTTGCATATCATTGTGACATGTCTCTCAGAAATTCAAGCACTGGTTTAGCTGTTGCAGATTCGAGTTTTTACAGGTCACCATGATACTCCAGACTGTAGCGAAAACCACACAAGGAGGTTATATATTGTCAGAGTGGAATTAATACCACTCTGTCCCGACAACAGGTTAACTTTCATGAATTATAGCATCCAGACTGTTTCACGTTGTATAACATGGAAATCTAGCCTGTTCACATGCTTTAATCCACGTGTAACATCTGTGAACTGTGCCTTTGTACGACACTGCATTCCCTGTTATGACATTTATGATCTTAATTGATTATCCCTGGGCCGTGCCTGTCATCACATCAAGACGACATATGCCAATGGACAAAGCTATTGTCCATTCGTTTGTTCAGGGAGACTATATAACGTTGTAGATTATCCCTGGTTTGTCCACCAGTGTCTCTGGAAATCTGAAAATACATATGCTTACAACTGTACGTTTAGTCAGTCTGGTAATCCGGCTGGTTTTGTAAAGACGACCACGATCTGGATGTGCCGCTCGTAGGAAACGCCCTGAGGTTGAAATGGGACCCTTTATTTATGTCTGAGCCTGAAACTCCGCTCATTGCTGTCCTTGTGATTTCTGTGTATTCGGCTCATTGTGTATCTGTAACTATTGAGCATTAAACATTACGGAACAGCAAAGGCGATGTTGTCCTTGTTTTCCTCAAAGAGTTACTTCTCCCGTCGTCAAACACGCGTTAGCAGTATAACTACACTCTAAACCACAAGTGTTCAAGCAGAACAGAATTCTGAATTGGAACACATAGGCCATATTTAGAACAGGCGTGTTCTGTTTTAGAGCACATGTGTTCAAAGTCTGTGAGGTAGGTGTTCTAATTTCAGACCACAATGTGTTATTAGAAGACTGTAATTTCGTAAATGAAATGAATAAAATACTTTTAATATAATCATTAACCTGTTAAGATATTCTAAGACAACGTTGAACATTATACAAGCGGACATTTAATTTTTTTTTTATAGAAATTGATAACAAGGAGAATAAAAATACATGTATTTTGCAAGAGGAAAATGATTCCTCAAAATGTTCTAAATAACTGGGTAAAATCTGGTTATATATGGTTTACAATTGATAAATAACTGAATAAACAACCTCTAGACTATCAGAACGCATAGTGTTCCTTTACATTTCATAAAATGAACACTTTCGGACGGTATCTGTTCTATAAGATTTGAATAGATATAGTTTCGGACGGCACGTGTTCTGATTAGAACAGTTGATGTTCTAACAAAGTGACGTCATGATAAGCACGCGCAGTTGTCTCTTCCCCAACGCTACAGAGCGTTTGGCACAGGTCAAAATGAAAATGCTGCCTGTGATTCAGTTTATGGAAGACAAAACAAGACTCCATCAAATCCAACAAGACCACAAAGAGGTCAATAATAGAAGTTAAAAGGGTGAGTGGTATATTAAAATTTATGTATTACATACTTTTATATCCTGTTATGTAAGAAAAATTATCCTTAAGTAGGTGGTTACAAAAAAATGTCCGCAATGTACAAACGTGAATTGCACATTCTTACAAAATGGAACCTGTTTTGTATTGACTAAAACCGTTGGATAAGCGTTTTACGTATTTGTTTGTGGGTGAAATCAAACAGTAGTTTCATTCATTGTGTGTCATGAATTAGAGTTCAGTTGAAATTTGAAATCACGTGTATGCCACATCATATCTTTCAAATGAATTATTTAGCGTAAAATTTGTATTGTTTATTGTAGGATGTGACCGTTGATGAGATTGAAGGGTCTCTGAAGACAAAAGCCTCAGAGGGTCCAAACATCGTCGCTTTCGTCAGAGGTGACGCACTGGCCTTCCTCCACATCGCTGCCGACACAGGTGTCACGCGAGGTGAATGTCGAGGGTGGCATCATGGCCGCAATATTGAAACTGATGGCGATGTACTACATTTTCAGTTTAAGCTATCCCAAAGCATACACGGTGGTTTTGTAAGTTGAGAGATGGGCGAAGTTATCTAATCCTTGCCCGACCCTGAGATATAGGAGCTCTTTTTTCAGTGTTTTCTACAATGATTTGCGACTTTAACTGCATATGTTATGAGATGTGCACGAATGAGTTGTTGCAGTTATAAAGTTAGCTCCTTCTCCTACACTCCATTTAGCCGTCCGCAGTCTAACAAAAGGATAGTAACAATAACACGTTTTCGTATTCAATATAGGTGTTAATAAAGTTTTGATTCATTTCATATTGTTGTTGTTTTTCATTCGTTCATGTCAGGCTGGTGGAAGTTTGAGAACACTAGTGTTCTGAAATAAGGCTCAGAACACTCAAAGGGCGCTCTAAATCTGTTACAGCGTCCGAGGCGTCCGGGGGTGTTCTGAATTGAACACATACAGAACACACAAAGAGTGTTCTGAAATCTAGAACACGAGCGTTCTGTAAGTGGAACACTAGTGTTCTGACGGCAGAACACATAGTGTATACATCAGAACACTCCGACTGCGTTCTAAATCTGTTATGCAGGAAGGGTGTTCTCATAGTGTTCAGAACTAGAACACTTAGGTTTAGAGTGTAGTTGTAAGCAACATTCTTGAACCAAGTTCCATAAAGACGTTTCAGGCGGATGTTATGTAAACACGTAAATGTGTCTGGTGTAAATGAAACACACTAATGCATTATAATTGAAGTGGCCTTCAACCCAAATTTATTGATCCTGCACTGATACAGATGGCACGCACATAAAACCAGGGAAGTCGTGATGATTCTGAGGGTTTATATCGGATCAACAAACGAATGTGTTAGAAATGTAGTTGGATTATGGCATGTCAGCGTAGTGTGAGAACGTTAACCTATACGAACACTGACGTGGTGTTAACGATCCGAATACCGGATACCTTCCGCCATCTTTTAAAGCACGCGAGTTTAAGGTTACGTTTAGGGTTAGGGTAAAGTTTAGGGTTAGGTTTAGGGTTAGCGTTAGGGTTAGGGTGACGTGACACTAAACAATATGGCTGGTGGGTATCCGGTATTCTGTAGGTGTACCATCGCGAGGCTCATAATCAAGCGAATCGGGGATTGAAAAACCAACGATCATGGGATTTTGGATGACAGACTCATCGACTTTGCGCGTATGCGTGTGCGTGCCTGAAGGTTGGGACTGAAGATGGATTCTGGAAAAAATGATACACTGGTTCTACTTCTGTAAGATGGTAGTGTTTGACCTGACCTTTCAGAGCACAATCAAAAATATATTTTAAAAAACCCCCCAAAAAACAAAACACACACACAACGTGTAAATAAGATTAAAGCGCGTCACTTTTAACAACTTTAACACTTCGAAGAATAACATGTGAATCTCTTCACATATAAACGCATATGGGGAATCAACCCGTTTTTTTTCATGTGTGGAGACAACTCTTTAATCACTAGGCTAACCCATGGTCCCTCTTCGATTGATGAATATAATCAATATCCGGATGAAAGTTTGGTCCTTAAATATTTTATGATTTAGTAAATCATGCACAGAGAAATAGAATAGATGTCACTGATGTGTTTTTTCTGGATGGGTGGCCCAGTGGTTAAGCGTTCACTCGTCACTCCGAAGGTCAGGGTTTGATTTTCCATATGGGTAAAATCTGTGAAGCACATTTCTGGTCTCCCCGCCGTCATATCATCCACAATCGGCGTAAAAACTTCCTTAATCAGTGTCAACATGCATGTAAAAGACGTTACTTAGCGTTTGCTACATGCTGTCTTAATTTGGAGAACATATGTTTCAATTGGCATGCTTTAAATCAACAAAGCGTTATCAAATGTAACTTTATGAGTGTTGAGTTGCACTTTCTAACGGCTGCCGTCAACACGACTATTCAAGCGTTATTGATCACAGGTAACTTCCCAAACGCATTTGTCGATACTTTCATCATATCGCTTTTATTAAAATGAGCATGCTCCGACATAGCTGCTCCAGCCTATCGTGGTATTTTATGGATATCAACATTCATACGAACAGAGCGACACACGAAAATCAATACTGACGTCACCGCTCGTGCAACAGGTGTCGGCTACCTGTTGCTCACGTGACCGCTGCTGAACAGGCGTAAAGCCAGTATCAAAATAAGCATATATTGAATGTTGGGGAAATGGCATGGTAAGTAACATGTTGACTCGCAATTGATACTTTTGGGTGTATTAATCATTTTTATAGATTCGACACTTGTTTTTGTTTATTTCTTTCGTCATGCTGTGGCTTTTAATATTGATGTTACCTGCACATATGCACACGGGCTTCGATGCTGACCTATTTCATGGTGTCGGTATGACATGTCGTCGTACCAGAAACCTTTCCTCAGGAGATTAGCGAGGTTTTAGGTTTGGTACTTCAATTAATTCTTACACTGAGTCAGTCTTTAGGCTCAGAGTAATTTTAGATGTTCGAACAGTTCTGGTATGAGTTGTACCATCGTCCAGATCTTGTAAGGTAAGTGCCAACCTCATCATATCTTCATCAAACAGTCATATAGTACTTAATCTTCAAGGATGTTACAAATATTGAGTGCTCTCTGCGAGAAATACAAGCAGTGTTGAAAGGGCTATTTCGCGTGGAGCTAATAGTTTTCTTATTGCAAGTGTGAAATGTATTCTAAAACAAGACCACATGTATACAACCTCATCATATATCTTCATCAAACAGTCGTGTAGTAATCTTCAAGGATGTTACAAATACTGAGAGCTCTCGGCAAGAAATACAAGCAGTGTTGAAAGGGCTATTTCGTGTGGAGCTAATAGTGTTCTTATTGTAAGTGTGAAATGTATTCTAAAACAAGACCACATGTATACAACCTCATCATATATCTTCATCAAACAGTCATATAGTAATCTTCAAGGATGTTACAAATATTGAGTGCTCTGCGAGAAATACAAGCAGTGATGACAGAGTTATTTCGTGTGGAGCTAATAGTTTTGTTATTGTAAGTATGAGAGGTATTCTAAATCAAGACCTTTTGTATATTGTTCAAAAGAAGTTAAACACTTCAGTTATAGTAGTTATGTATATAATTATAGTGTGTTCATTTAGCGTAAGAAAAATATTGATTTTCGGGTATATTTTTTCATCTTATTTTAATACTGGTTGCCTATCATTCATATTTACAATATTCGTATTCCCAACTGGATAACTCACTTTGTGAATAGCTTTTATAATCTGGTTTCCATCATCCTGGATTATCCACGATATCATATTTCCATCATATTATTGATAAATATCCTTGACTCATTCGCCAACATAGTATCGTTTTGGAAATGACGTAACGGCTTTTAGTTCTTTTCTCTATCTTAGCTAAGCATCTTTATCGCTAATGTCAATAATTTGATTGGAAGGTTATTTTTAGCATCGTGCCGTTGAATCGGGCGGAACACGGAGGTGTGGTTGCGAATTGTTATTTTTTTCATAATGCAATGGAGATATGACACATAGGATAAACGAAGATGGGATTTCGTAATTTAGATTCCACATTTTACTTTGAAGAAATACACGGGCGTTAATTTTGAGGGATTCTGTTGTGTCCTTTCTTCAGAAAGTTGCTATTGGCAGCATATTCTGGTATAGATTCTGTGACAGTAATGGCAGCGAATATAGGAGATAAGATGCTTGAAATGATACATGAGGTGTATTTACTGCAAGGAATTAACATATAAAAGAAACAGATTTTCGTTGTGCAGAAACGTTAGTTGTTGTTATGCTGTGTTTTAAAAGGCTTGTTTTTTGTTGTTGTTTGATGTCGCACTTAGCAATATGTCAGCTGTCTGTACATAGTCGAGTCTGAACAAGGCAACCAGTGATCAACATCATGACAATCGCTGTTTGCCGCGGGGATCCAATGACATGTCACATAACAAAACACTGAACCTGACCACACAATCTATATAGTAACCTCTTACAACAAACGTGGTGCCTGGTATTTATGTGCTTGCTTTTAAAGGAAAGATAAAAAAAACTCTCGTCAGTGACTGATATATCCCCTGATTTGGCCCCTAATAAAATGTATGCTTGTCGCTGAAAACTGGAGAGTGTTGTCCTTATACTCTGTGGGCAGAGTGAGTCATAGTGTCATATTAATTAATCTTGTCCATACATAGCGACTCTTTACTGACCTTATGAACTTGTCGTGTACAAGTAAGTACACACCCATGTTTGACCGTGATTAAAAATGAAACAAACTTTTAAACGGTTAGTCGATTAAAGGATGTATTTCATAAGGGTATCATAGTTGTCTGGAACATCTGTGGCTCAATTATCTAGACAAAAATAACTCAATTATCTAGACAAAAATAACTCAATTATCTAGACAAAAATAACTCAATTATCTAGACAAAAATACCTCAATATTCTAGATAAAAATACCTCAATTATCTAGACAAAAATAGCCCAATTATCTAAATAAAAATAACCCAATTATCTTTGTTGATGTGCATTTTGTATTGTATAGTATGCTTTCAACGTGTACGTGTTGGGGGCAGAGTGAAAGTGTGTATTTGGAGATGGGCAGGGTGCACCCATCTCTGTAGTCTGTCTCACAATCCCCTGAACTACATTATTTTCCCTACTATTTAGGCCCTCCTCTCTCTCTCGATGCTCAAGCCCTAGTCTATATTTCCTGAATCTCCCAACTCACTGGGGCTCCTTTTCAATTCAAATGGGCTTACGTGTTACTATCAACAAATATATATGGTCAGAGACTAAGCGTTAGTCTGTTTTCAGCCTGTTAACGTCAAAGGGGCCGTGGGGTAGCCCAATAGTAGAGCGTTCGCTCGTCACGCCAAATGGGTACAATGTGTGAAGCACATTTCTGGTGTCCCCCGCCGTGATAGTGCTGGAATATTGCTGAAAACGGCGTGAAACTCGTGAAACTAACTCACTCACTCAGTTAACGTCAAATCCAGTTTCAGTGTGTATACTCTTTTTAGTCCTGCAGTTAGCTGTTTAGCTGAAACATTGCTGACTGCTAAGTTTAAACGGAAGCATTATGAAATATCTGATGGACTGTTATGTTTCACTGATGACATTTGTATGCAACTGTTTGAAAATTACTAATACCTGCTAAGGGAACCGAAAAATAGTATTTTTAATGCAGGGGATGCACCAACTTTAGCCACCACATACACATTCCTACCTGAAGCCTCGACACAGTATTGACAATCACAGTGTTATGAACTATGTGTACTGGTGTGACCTGTTGACTGGTATTCTCCCACTATCACGATCAATTAGGAGCCGAATGACTGAATCCGAGCGCCCTTTGACATTTACTTACTCTGGAGGGATCATACGAGGTTGTTATGGTGTTTTCGGATATATGGTAGACACCATGGTGGATGCTGGTGTTTGGAGTGACCATGGTGGGTGATGTTTGGTACAGACCATGGTGGGTGATGTTTGGTAGAGACCATGGTGGGTGATGTTGTTTTGGTAGAGACCATGGTGGGTGATGTTGTTTTGGTGGAGATCATGGTGGGTGATGTTTGGTAGAGACCATGGTGGGTGATGTTGTTTTGGTAGAGACCATGATGGGTGATGTTGTTTTGGTAGAGACCATGGTGGGTGATGTTTGGTAGAGACCATGGTGGGTGATGTTGTTTTGGTAGAGACCATGGTGGGTGATGTTGTTTTGGTAGAGACCATGATGGGTGATGTTGTTTTGGTGGAGATCATGGTGGGTGATGTTCATTTGTTTAGACAGTGGTGGGTGATGGTGTTTGGGACAGTGAGTGAGTATGGTTTTTACGCCGCATTTAGCAAAATTCCAGCAATATCAAGGCGGGGGACACCAGAAACTGGCTTCACACATTGTACCAATGTGGAGAATCGAACCCTGGTCTTCGGCATGACGATCCAACGCTTTAACCACTAGGCTACCCCTCCTCGCCTGTTTAGGGGAGAGTCGGTCAGTACTATTTCGTAGAGACCATGGTGGGTGATGTTGTTTTGGTAGAGACCATGATGGGTGATGTTGTTTTGGTAGAGACCATGGTGGGTGATGTTTGGTAGAGACCATGGTGGGTGATGTTGTTTTGGTAGAGACCATGATGGGTGATGTTGTTTTGGTAGAGACCATGATGGGTGATGTTTGGTAGAGACCATGGTGGGTGATGTTGTTTTGGTAGAGACCATGATGGGTGATGTTGTTTTGGTAGAGACCATGGTGGGTGATGTTTGGTAGAGACCATGGTGGGTGATGTTGTTTTGGTAGAGACCATGATGGGTGATGTTGTTTTGGTAGAGACCATGGTGGGTGATGTTTGGTAGAGACCATGGTGGGTGATGTTGTTTTGGTGGAGATCATGATGGGTGATGTTGTTTTGGTAGAGACCATGATGGGTGATGTTTGGTAGAGACCATGGTGGGTGATGTTGTTTTGGTAGAGACCATGGTGGGTGATGTTTGGTAGAGACCATGGTGGGTGATGTTGTTTTGGTAGAGACCATGGTGGGTGATGTTGTTTTGGTGGAGATCAGTGTGGGTGATGTTCATTTGTTTAGACAGTGGTGGGTGATGGTGTTTGGGACAGTGAGTGAGTATGGTTTTTACGCCGCATTTAGCAAAATTCCAGCAATATCAAGGAGGGGGACACCAGAAATTGGCTTCACACATTGTACCAATGTGGAGAATCGAACCCTGGTCTTCGGCATGACGATCCAACGCTTTAACCACTAGGCTACCCCTCCGCGCCTGTTTAGGGGAGAGTCGGTCAGTACTATTTCGTAGAGACCATGGTGGGTGATGTTGTTTTGGTAGAGACCATGGTGGGTGATGTTGTTTTGGTAGAGACCATGATGGGTGATGTTGTTTTGGTGGAGACCAGTGTGGGTGATGTTCATTTGTAGAGACCATGGTGGGTGATGGTGTTTTGGACAGAGACCATGGATGGCATTTGATGTTGTATCAAGGCGGGGACACCAGAGACACATTGTACCAATGTGGGAATCGATGGTCTTGGCAGACGATCCAACGCTTTGGTAGGGTGATGTTGTTTTGGTAGAGAGACCATGGTGGGTGATGTTGTTTTGGTAGAGACCATGATGGGTGATGTTGTTTTGGTAGAGACCATGGTGGGTGATGTTGTTTTGGTAGAGACCATGATGTAGAGACCA